GGCTCATAGCCAGTCCAGCCTGTGCAATGACGATAGATCTACAGTGCCCCAGTACGTGACTTATTGAAAAAGGCAGGCACTGCAAAAAAATGGGGGAAAAAAAGAAAAAAAATTCACGATGACAGGGTCTGAAAAGATTCAACATAAGTGTCTTCAGTTTTTCTCGGAAGACGCATTGTGGTGGGAAATTGTTAAAAGTGATTAAAATGATGCCTCGAAAAAAATTACACAATGTATCACCTGTAACGATAATTGTGAATGTCACAATTGTACATGTATGCTTTGATTAATTAACCAAGTCAGCATATCTGCATTAATTAAGGTACAGTTGATACAATGTTATTAAGGAAGACATTGTTTTACATACAGTACATGGATACCTTTACTATTGTTCTAAATTAGATGCACTCATGCAGCACAATCCAATCTACGGTAGATGAGATCATAAGCGTACTCTCCATTATGCCGACTCTCATACGTGTACATGTACATGGTCAGCTGTACCATAAGTATAATATAAATATTTCAAACACTCCCTCACCTATACATATCCACAACTAGCAGGCCCAGCCTCTAGCATTTTTTTTTCATATTCATATTTTCCTGTCTCTATTCATTGCAGCAACTCCAGCGTTCATATCAGCATTTGCTGTAAAAACACCGAAGGGATAAATGTAATGCATGCCCTCTCTACGCGCATTGCTCCTATTTACCCTAGAATCTCTCAGTCAAATGGCCATATTCCTCTGATCCATTCATATGGGCCCCAGGGGCAGTGCATATCAAGTAAATATACAGGCATTTCTGCTTTCTTCCTTGTGTCAATAGTAGGTTTTTCCGATTGGATGGGGTGCGAGGCGAGATGATTGCATTTTGAAAAGTAAGGCAGCGGTTGTCTGGCATTTATTCATGAATGTCTGACGTTCGCAAGCGATGAATGGTCCGTACAATGTCATTAGCCTTGAAGGCTCAATTTCCACTGAGTTGACGTGTTGGTAAAAACAAATTAGCATGTCCCGGTACATTGATTCTAATAAATGTTGAACTACAAACAGTATCATGTTTATGGACGTGTTTGTACTGTAGGTGGTTCGTGTATATTTCATGACAAAACAGCACTCTTTTTCTTGGTTGTCTCTTAGTGTTATGAAAATTGTAATGTACCTGGAGGTTTTGGGGCTCCTCGTGATGAATGTATTTGTACATAGGATCTTCATTAAAGTTAAGACATATTTGACCCCTGGTTAAATAGTTTTTTTAAGCTAATATTTAAAAAAATTGCTGTTTTTGGAGAATGGCACATGTATATTGTAATTGTACATACCGGTGTAGCATGAATTTAGGTTTTATGAAATACGGACTCATTGGTCGTATTGCGCATGCTCATGCATAGATAATTAGGAGAGGGACCGGTCACGTGAGAGGGTTTAACCAATAAAAGGGAAAAAGAGTCCGATTTTCATACGAGTCCGATTTTCATGTGACACCGGTATGAACAGTTACTGGAAGGTGGCACATGTACATGTACTATGTACAGTTACATGTACATGTAAATTTCAATCAAAACACAAGGTTTTCTTAGCTTTTACAAACCTCCCCAAACTGTGAGGGTCACGTAACCTCAGTAACAATACCCACCCGATCCCGGACTCCAAAGTAACAGTAACAGGATTTTCTTACCTTGCCTCCAACCTACAAGATTTACGCACGATGTGCGCACTGTTTTGGCCAGTGTAGCTACAGTTACCAGTGCAGCGGCGTGGTTTATTTCATTAGCATTGATGTCGGGGTCTGGGACTCGCAAGACACCGTTGTAAATTCAATCAACGCCCTCCATCAAAACTCCATCATAAAAGTGTGGACTGGGTTAGTACGTGTCCAATGTATATGTCCATGGATGTAGATTAAATATGCAAACGGGATTCCGTCATAATTGTACACAGTGAATTATTGACATGGTGCATGCACACCTGTACATGTACAATGTATGCACATTCAGATGATATTGTTTAATGCACTTCAGTCATGCTTCCCCCCCCCCCCCTGCACTGTACTGTTCCTCATACTTTTCAGTCTTGGTCAGGTTTCATTTTTGTTTTACAATACCCAAAAGATTGGGGAATATGATCATCTTTTCAGTGCCAAAAAAACCGATATCTGCTGTGAACTAGTCAGCTGTGCTGCCATACCGACATGCAAGCCAATATTAACCCTTTGGTGCACAGATTATTTGGATTAGATGCACAGATTATGCCGTTTCCTGGGGCCGATTTCATGAAACTCATCTTAAGACTAAAGACAAGTCCCCGCTCTCAGATCAATCCTAGCTAAGATGCGTCCTAAGACCGATTTCATTAAATGCATTATAAGCAAGACGAATCAAAATTACCAATTTGATGGTTGTTGCATGTTTATTGTTACTGCTTGATGAAACGGTCTTTGAAAAGAAACGCGCAAAAGCAATTTCCTGCGCGTGTGCATAGAGCGCAAACTTTCACTTGAAAAATGTATCTGGTCATTAAATTTCACAACTGCTCAGAGATCAAGATGCGATAGAGTCATTAATACCCATATATGACTAAATGACTTGCTCCCTGGTTCTTCACTCTAATTATAGAACTCAGAGTATTTCTGTTTTAAAAAAAGTTGACTTGGTGTTGGTGTATAATTAAATTTTGTAAATACATGTAAGTTTATTTTTGATTAAAACTACCCACGTGTCAGAAATCTTTTCAAATCGGTTTCTACAGTGGTTTTCCTCCTCTGGCATTAAATTCGTAGCTACAGAAACTATCTCGAAACTATCCACTCCGTTCACAAGTACCCCCTCACCGGCAAAGGAAATACAGTTGGGGGTTACAGACCGACGCCATCTTGCCTCCGGACTGCAATTTTGCCGTGACGCGCGGCCGTACCACTGCGTGTATATAGTACAAATCCCCTGGTGTACGTGCGTCACACACAAGGAACGGTGCGCGTCAACCAGCTAAATATCCCGCCCATGGGACGTTTTTGCTAGGTAAAAGGGCGCCCTCTTTGTTAGCGCACAGAGCTCATGGCTCTAGGCCGACACTTGTCTGTAGCCAAAAAACAGTGCAATACTTTCCAGACGATATACAAATAACGCACGTACTGGTATTTATGAGAAGAGAGGACCCTCAGACAGACTGATCTTATGTTAAGATGAGTTCCGCCACGTTGCTAGGAAAGTTAGGACGAGTTGAACGCATCTTCAATTTGGTGAAATTGATCCTATGCAAGTTGCGAGTTACTCTTCCTAAGACACGTCTTAGCATTTTGTGAAATTGCCCTTGGGCAGTTGCTAGCAACCGCCCTCTTCACCAAACAGTCTTATATTAACACTTTGAAACGACTCATATTTCAGGAGATACATGCAGTGCACAGAAGAGAACAGTTTGCTGAAAGGTGACATCACATGACCACAACATGCAATTTCGTAAACAAATGTGACATGGTCTATACTTTTGTACATGTGTCCGTGCACTAGGGGTGGGGGTTGGGATTTGGTCACCCTGACAGTTACAATCCCCACCCCGGGGGTTGGGGAGGAGAGGTGTTGAGGGGGAGGGGAAGAATTGATAGATACCATTAACTGAGTTACATGGGCGTCGCCAGGATTTTTTCTAGAGGGGGGCAAAAAATTTTTTTGCTAAAAAATGCTTGTATTTCTCAACACATTCTCGATTTATCAGTTTTAGAGGGGGGCAGGGACATTTTGCCCCCCCCCCCAACTCATTAAATTTACACCACTTTGTCTTCGCTCCTCTTTTTCTTTTCTTTTTTTTCTTTTCTTTTTCTTTCTTTTTTTTTTTTTTTTTTTTTTTTGCTTTTCCAGGGGGGGGCAAGTGCCCCCCCTTGCCCCCCCCTCGCGACGCCCATGCTGAGTTATCTCATAGAAGACCCCCCCCCCAAAAAAAGAAATGAAAGTAATAGACATTGATTTGAATAATGAACAATACTATTTGAATATCTAAGAAAAATGAGATAACGCAGAAAGGAAACTTCTCAAAACCACAAACAAGGCAACCAATAATATACAAATCCAAAAACTGGCTAACGTTCACCAAATTCATGTATAGTGGCACTAGCAGAAGCCAGTTGCCTTGTATTGCCATGCCAAGAACAAAAAGCATGCATGAGAGACAAAAACCAGGAACGAAGAGGACCAGAAGAACGAGGACGAAAAACAAACATCAGGATAATGTATTCAAGAGAGATGTTCCTGCAAGTAGTAATACATGTAGTACTAATGTGGTGCTTGTAGCGCTTTATACCAAAGGTCTCAAAGCGCTTCACACTTATTACCCCATGAGACAACTTTCTGCAGCAGCACATTCTGGTCTCTACCTTCACAGGCACCCATTTATACTTCTGGCTGGAGAGAGGCAATTGTGGTAAAGTGTCTTGCCCAAGAACACAAGAACCATGTCCTCCATTGGTTAGGTTTTGAACCACGTACCACGGCACGTTAGTCGAACACTGCAACCATTGGACCACATCAGCACTTTCACAATATGCTCTATATGCTCTATGTTTTGTGTTTAATGTTGGGTGATTGGGCGCGACACTAGACAGTATTTGGTTGCACTTTGTAGTGTAAGTGAAGGGGCAAGCTCATATTAATTTTAATTGTGTAAAGTAGTTACCAGTCATATGTGGGCAGTCCAACTGTAATGTGAGTAACCATGTACATGTAATGCGAGTCACACTGTAATGCGAGTAACTAGACTTGCAGCTCTGCCTTCTAACGCCAAAATTGCATTTCAGTGATCTTTTGTTTGCATTAAATACATGTAAATGATACCCCATGTCTATTGTATTTTTTCAACCACCTGATTTGTATTCTTCCTGAGAATTTTTCGTTAAAATGTTTGTAATTTACTCACTTTGTTTTTCTTTTTTTGTTATTTAACCCTTTTAATTTGATCATTTTTGTTTTGTTTTCCTTTTTTATTGTTTTTGCTGCCTGCTGCCAAAAGGATCGCCAGGTACATCTTCAGTTCAGTTTGATTTCTTTCTGTTTTTGGTGATTGATTACTAAGTAGTATTTCTTCCTCAATGATGTTGATTAAAATGTTTATGTTGCACTGTAGTTTGTGTGTGTGGTTGCACTGTTCGCGGCTCATTCAGAAAGTACATGTATCTTGAGTAGAATATGTATGTATTGTATGTCTGTTCACAAGGCAGTGTGACATAGTTAACAGAGAAAGTTCTGTAGAATGTTATCTCTGCTTTTGTTTTATTCATAGATGCATATGTGCCAAAATTTTAGAATAGATTAGGGGGTAAAAGTCAAATGTGGCAGAAATTAGAATAGACTTTGGGAGTGGGGGAATTGCAATTAGAAAAGAAAGGATATTTCAGATCATCATCTGGAGAGAAGAAAAAGACAGTCAAATTTACATATGAAAAGATGCGTTACCCTTGCTCTTTAAAAAAATATTGGCGGTTTTTTTTCAAAAAAAAAAAAAATTAAATTGAAAATATATTTGTGGGCGTCGGCAACCCTCTGAAAAAAAAAGAGCTTTTATTTTGTGCACAAACTGAACCTCCGCAAATGTCGGGCCGCATATAATCCAAGTTTTGGAGAGAAATTATTCAATAAATAAACGGTGGTGGATTTTTTCATTGGGTGTCTTATTCAAAAGTGAATAACTTTGGTATTGCTAGGAAAATAGCAATTGATAAAACAAATCTAATTTTTTGGGGACTAAACTCGAAATAGCATGGGAAATGCATCTTTAAACTTATCATATACTTTTTGCGTTTCTCCGTTTCTGCGTTTTTTCGGCACGTACACGTTAGTATCCATCCTGATTGATTTTCCCCTCTGAATCGCTGGTGCTCAGAAAGAGTCGCTCTCGTGCGTCACGACCGACACACCGAGTGACCTCTATCTCTCCTTATAGCCTGCCATAAATTTCTTGAGTTGCTCTCAAATGTTCTTCACGTGCGAAGAGTGCAATTTTCTTTCCTCTCATATTGAACTTCAGGGGATTGGTATTCAGTCGTTGTCTGTCTCTGGGTACTGGACTGAGTCCCAGAGCAAAGCTTTAATTACGCACAGCCTGTTTACACTGTCAGAGCACTAATACTCCGCTTGATGCTTTTCATGTTGGTATTTTCAAACGGTCTCATTACTTGGCACTCTAGGCGTTTTGGCTTCGGGGGGCTTGAAATGGTAGGACTTACAGATAGATCCTCTGTAATTGTGTAAACACAAAAGTGTGATTGATTTCTTTATTGAGGGTGACACAGACATGCGATCCTGCATAGGATTGCCTTCAGGATATATGCTCTGGTACATGTCCGTGTATGTGCAAACTTTGCGTGGAATTACTTTTGAATAGGTCTTAATTACTCCTCGATTGTGTTACTTACATACCGGTATGTACATGTAAAATGTAGAGTATGTAGGAATTCGAAAAAACCTATATCATGCCATTTTCACCTTGGCTTTTTAATTGAAGTGACACAAACATGACAAAGACAATGAAAATATTTAAGTTGATGTTATACTGCCATTCTTGAGTACCAGTATTAAAAGTTACATTTACACATACAAATCGTCGCGTCAGTGCAACAAGGTCGTAACTCGATTCTGCAACAAAGTCGTATCTCGCGCAAATACGCTCCGTGCAACAAGGTCGTATCTCGTGTAACGCGGCATCCATTGACTTTGTGTGGACATCCAGGTTAATTTAAGCAATACTTGACCTTTTGACATTGAAAACTCGCGTTTCATGTACATGGCGTCACACGCCATTTTAGGAGATACGACCTTTTTGCACAGACACGACGAAATGTATGTTCAACTGTACATGCAAGTACTTATTTAAAAACAAAACAAACTTGATGTCACAGCTTCATTTACATATGATTGTTTCGGCCAAAAAAACCTTACAAGTGCCCCAACAACCAACATGCGTAAAATCAGCCAATGTTCATTGGATGTCAGAACAAATTGCAACATACTGATTTCTAATACATGTATGTGTAATATTACCCTACGTCTTGAAATGCTTGATTTATTTTGTGTAGTGAGTACTTACTATTACAGGCATTTAAAATAAAGTATAGTATTCTCTTATGCTTTCCATTTATGATTGGAGTATGTCTTTTACCCACTATGGTAGCACCTATACTTCATTGTACTCGATGAATTCTTAAAACCATACAGAGCTGGGATGGTTTTGGACAATAGAGGGAGTAATAGGCAGGACGGTTTGGGGCAGTACAGGGAGTTGTAAGTTAAAGGCGACAATTATCCAACCCATAAGTCATGTCTTACAAAGAACTGTTGTAGTGATTTTAACTTTTTGTTCTCACCCTTTTCTGTTCCCATCTTTGTGGTAACCAGAGCTCAAGTGCATGACGCTTTCAGAGCTGAACGATCTCCTGGAGGACCTAGAAGCCACTGTCAAGGAGTACTCGGAGGCCCTGGTGACAGAGCTTGCCCTGCGAGAGGAACTCTGCTTTGAGAAGGAGACCAAGAACCAGTTCATCTCGGCCCTGGTGGCCGTCCAGAACAAGATCAAAGGCTTCAAGAAGCAGCCTCCAACGACGGCCAACAAGAAGAAGGGCAAGAACAGCGTGGAGCCAGGAACGGTAGGGGCCTAGCAATGCATTTTGTTTTTACTGGTCCCAGAGGGCTGGTCTTGTGTCCTCTTTGCAGCGTTGTAGTTGTGTACTTTGCCATGAGTATGAGTATGAGAACCTTGCAATGAGTAAGAGTTCAGGTACATTTCCATAATGTAGGAATACAACTTGTACGAGTACATTTCCATGAGCACGAGAACAAGTACTTTGCATGAGAACAAGCAAATTTCAATTTCAAATTTCAGAGCACATTACAAATGTTCTCAAGGGCTTTTTGCTGTCAAAGTAGGCATTAGACGATGCAAAAACCTCCCGAACAGTAGAAAATTAGTTCTTTTGCTGCATGTACAGGCCTCTTAGAAAAATGTACAGTTCCAGCAGGAGAACATTTCCATGAGAACGAGTACTTTCCGGTAAGTACTTTGCCACAGGCGCAGTTCTAGAGCCTATAGGGGGGGGGGGGGGGGGGGGGGGGGGCTAGCAGGGGTGGATCCAGAAATTTTTTGCAGGGAGGCCTTTTGTCTCCGGACACTTAGGCCTCTGAAAATCAATGGGGGGGGGGGGGGGGGGGGGAGGGGGGCTCGTACCATTTTTTCAGTGGGGAGTGCTGATAAAAAAACTTCAATCATTATCAGTATTTATGGAATTTTGGGGGAGGCTAGACAAAAGGTTTTTTGGGGGGGTGAATGGAACCAAAAATGCACGGTTATGATGTAGGCTGTGCAATGGTTCGATTAATGAATGCCGCATGACCTACAATCCTCCAATCAAATGACAAGGATCTACTTGGGTGTTAGATAATATACAAATAATGAATGTTTACGAGTGCAATGGTCAGAATAATTTCATGAGGTGACAGATGGATTGTTCCATTCGCCTCCTGGATTGGAACATTCCATCTGTCACCAAATGAAATTATTCTTTCCATTGCACGAATGTGAAACATGTATGCATTTTTTGTTTCATATAAAACACCTGAATAAATCCTCGTCATCTGATTGGTCAGAGCCACCAAACATGTGACCTTGCAGTGGAACTGTGCATTGGAACTTCTATTAATCGTAAAATAGAACTTCTTTTTTGCAGTTTGGCCAGGCCATGGGTTGGGACGAATATTTCAATGATGTGTGATCAACGACCCACCAATCAGATGACGGGGATTTATTCAGGCGTTGTAATACAAAATATCACATATTGCATGTGTTTCAAAAACACAAGTTATATTTTGTTTTGCAATGATAGTGGCCCCCACTTTGTCAGTCACAGTTGTTGACAAAAGCTACGGCTGTCACGAATTACACGTGTAATCAGTGGACATGCTAGTATGTTTACATCTATGGTAGCAGTGCAAGCGCTCTACATGTAAAATTTACATTTGGAAACCAATGTTTCTAATCAAAACTACATGTTTACTATATGTACATGTACATTATGTCCCGATTAACATGTTTCAAGTATTGCAAATAAGGCACCTACGTACATGTACATGTACTGGTAAGTGTACTCACGCAGCTACGTATAATGAGCACAGACCAACCATTATGCTTCAGCAGTAGGAGTGACACATTCCCTAAGGATTTCTAGGGTTGCCTGCTGACTAACAATGAGCCATCCAGTGCTTAGAAATTTGCATTTTAAATTTACTTTTATGTCATCACTGGCCTATTTTCTGTTGGTGATGCAGATAGTTTATCGATGATTAGACATTTTAACTTTTCATAAAACCATTTCATTTTTTCATCGTGGGACATGTCATACATTTCATCTATAATGTTTGCATGCATTAGGTTTCAAATTTTGCTTGTAAATATCAAGGGTGAGATTTGTCAGGATTTTTTTTGTCATTTCAGGATTTTTTGGGGGGAGTCTGGAATTGAAATGTGGAATTCCTGAGGTTTTACTGTAAACAGCTTATTGACAGGTGTTTCTACATTGTACCTGTAAAAGTAAATGGGTGTTTAAAAGGGGGGCCTTTAGGCATATAAACTTCCACAGACCCTTCGTTGCTCTGGGGCCTGCGGCAACCCTCAAACCCTCTGTCGATTAGTTTGTGGATTTTTATTTCCTCCCCCCCCCCCCCCCATCTCACCCCCGAGAAATTAATAACATTCGAAATAGTCGCATTGTAACATGTGTAATGCAATGTGCAACGTACATACATGTAATGTGCATAGATGTAACACTTGAGCACATTACATGTAATAGAACATTGTCAGACTTATTTTTAGCATACAATTTGAGTGGAAGGAAATGAATCTGACTGACATTCACTCGGTTGTGTGGATCGGCTTCCTTTAGGAATTGCCTTTGTATGGAAATGGGACACGTACAAAATAATCAGGGAATACTGATGATAATTGCGCATGTGTATGATGTAGGCGTGTGCGACTGGTGAATTTCAATAGTCAACTTGTAGTGATAAAAAGTTGTGACTAGTCGCCTATCGGTAGTCAGGACTATTATTTATTTATCCAGTAATACATGTACATGTAACTCTGGTCAATGAAGCAATACCGTACATCTAAGATATGGGTCTGCACATTGGCAATAAGAATTTGGAACAATGTCACACCTATCCAGTTTCATGTGGGTGTTTTATACCTTTCTAATGGGTTATGAGGCAGTTTTGATCAAAACTCTGTTGGCCCGACGTAGTGAAATTATTAATAATTCATCATGCCTGTAATTACATGTACCAGTATGCACGTTGTGGACGTGCATGTACATGTACATGTACATGCACTTTTCGTGACTGTGTACATGTAGTTGCTTCAGACCTACAATGTGCAGCGCGGTGCGAATGTTAAGTCGTAGGGCAAAGATCGGTAGTCGCGGCGCAACTGCTAGTCCCAGCATAGTGGAACGAGTTGTCACGGCATAATGACTAGTCGACTAACTGAAAATTGATGGTTGAGACTACCAATACCATTTATCATTGGTGACTAGTCGACAGGTCACACACCTATCGGTAGTATGGATGGGGTAAAAAACAATGTGCAGAATGCAACAGTACATGTACATCATATGCATTGTACATGGTATTTACATATTTTGTTGTACATGTATAAAGCAGGGGGAATGAAAATATTCAAAAATCCCTGGAGTACCCGATGTGTGATGTATGCGCACAGTGTACCCTGCAGGGTCCGTTAGATGGTCATACATGATCTTCAGATATATGTGACCAGTTTTCATCCACTGAAGTTTTACAAGTTACATGCATGTGCTGTACGTACATGTATGTATCTATGGGGTGTCAAGAGGAAGACTTTTTGTTTTGATAAATTTCTGGGTCTGAAAGCCATTTCTTGGTCATTGGACTGTCTGCCTTAACCCTAACCCCTAGGCCCTTTTTGCTAAGAACCATCCTCAATCCTCCAAAATCCTCCAAAATTTTGCAACTCTGCCTAAATTTTTCAAAATTGTCAGACAGTCCTGCCTCAAAATGCATTCATCCTCAATCCTCCAAAATCCTCTTGTGCTTCAATCACCATTCATCCGCAATCCTCCAGAATCCTCATATGATTCAATCACCATTCATCCTCAATCCTCCAGAATCCTCATTTGATTCAATCACCATTCATCCTCAATCCTCCAGAATCCTCATTTGATTCAATCACCATTCATCCTCAATCCTCTAGAATCCTCCAAAACCGCCAGGAGGATTTTGGAGGAGTGAGGTGGGTTAGGGTTAAAACACGTTCAGATCCATGTTGACCACGCACACCTTGGGTTACACATGTACGTTACTTGCCATGTACCAGTGTTGTACAGTCACAAGTCCTTTCCCAAGTCCAGTCACAAGTATCAGGAGGAATAATGACAAAGGAATGCTTTTGTCACAGTTCATTTGAATAGCTAGTGACTTGACTTGAGACTGAAGGACTTGTGATGGACTTGTGATGGACTTGTGATGGACTTGTGATGGACTTGGGATGGACTTGGGATGGACTTGTGATGGACTTGTGATGGACTTGTGATGGACTTGTGATGGACTTGTGATGGACTTGTGATGGACTTGGGATGGACTTGGGATGGACTTGGGATGGACTTGGGATTGACTTGGGATGGACTTGGGATGGACTTGGGATGGACTTGTGATGGACTTGTGATGGACTTGGGATGGACTTGGGATGGACTTGGGATGGACTTGGGATGGACTTGGGATGGACTTGGGATGGACTTGGGATGGACTTGGGATGGACTTGGGATGGACTTGGGATGGACTTGGGATGGACTTGGGATGGACTTGGGATGGACTTGGGATGGACTTGGGATGGACTTGGGATGGACTTGGGATGGACTTGGGATGGACTTTGGATGGACTTGGGATGGACTTGGGATGGACTTGCAGGGACTTGACTACAAGTAGTTGACACTAGTGTCGATGGACTCGACACTCGACTACATTTTTATTGAGATTTGAAGGTTTGCATGGTGGAAAGATACTAAGACAAGATAAGTTTGCGGTAGCACCATGTGAATAAATCTCTTTTGTGGGTATGTGTGGTTCTGAAAAGAACTGGAGGGACTCAACGTTTCGAACAGTATGCTCTGCCCGTCGTCAGGAGAATGAGGGATTCTAACGGTTCACCGATTTCGAGCTTCACCAGTTTGCATCCTTCTCACGCCTCACCGCACCCATCCTTATAACATGGCAGCACCGTTGGAATCCCTCATTCTCTTGACGACGGGCAGAGCATACTGTCCCTCCGGTTCTTTTCAGAACCACACATACTCACAAAAGAGATTTATTCACATGGTGCTACCGCAAACTTATCTTGTCTTAGTACATTTTTATTGGGATAAAAATATCTAAAAGTCTTGGAGAACAATCAACGTGATGTGCCTTGGGTACATGAGGTGATGTACTCTACATAGTCTATTAGGTTGTCATACCGGTACATGTACTTCTGAAATTCGCTATGTGACAAGTTCTTAACCACTGAAATTTCCTAAGTTACCTACACGTGCCGGTACATACCATGGTACCGGTACATGTAACGATGCTGCATGTTTACTCCAGTGCATGCATTAGGACAAGACAGGTCTTTATATGGAAAAAGTAATGAAAAATGTTTGTTGTATTCTTGCAGTACTTGACCACCAGAATACCCTACCACAAGGGTAGCGGACCACCAGATGTCAACACATTGCAGAAAGTCACCAAAAGTAAGTATCTGTTTAAAGTGCAGGATATTTTAGACCTTTGTCTAAAACAAAAGTTACTCGGAATCAAAGGCAATGTTTTCCCTTTTGCCATCTTGAAATCACGTGATTTTGCTGGGTGCAAGTGTATACTCCCCGTGTTGATCGAGAGTATGCCGTACCGTACCCGCTGGTCGTACTCTTGCTGTTTGTGTGCTCGGGGGTATACCGTGTTAACACCAGTGACACGCTCGAACGTAGCCTGAATGCCTTGCCAAGTGGACGTACAAAACTTTCTGTGCAGTGTCACCAGTTTTCCTCAGAGTAAATAATAGTAATTTGGGAGGCTCATCATCCTTGCTCGCAGCTGAGAAGCTGAATTGCGAAGGAAGCGGCTACAATGTGGTCGAGCCGCAGGCATGTAAAAGCGCCTTTGGCAGCCGGCCACATCGACCCATGTCTGACCACAGAGCACAGCCAGAGATCGAAAGTGTTTGATTTTTTCGGAGGGAGGAAACCGGAGGGCCCAGAGAAAAACCTTTGTGGCACAGGAGAGAACCAACGCACAACTTTACTCACACATGGTCCGAACCAGGGTTACAGTGGTGAGATGCGAGCACTTTACGCACTAGCCACCCATGCCACCCATAGTCACACATCATAGCATAATTGCAATGTGTTTCAAAGGACAGGTACAGTTCATCAGATTTCAAATATATCCTATCTCTATTAGTGACGTAGCTTGGTATATCCCTCACATATACATTTCCTTTAAGCCCTAAATCCACTCAAGAAACGATATCATTCTGCCCTGGGGATAGGGAGCTTTGCAGAGCTTTTAAGGGGTAAAGCCGATACGGTAAAACATGATCGCTGTGAGGTGAAACACTACTGTATCATCGCTGTTCGTGTGAGGTGCAGCTGATCAATTTGGAGATATGGTAAATGTTAATGGATTATGTTTTGCATTTGCTGGCGGGCTGAGATTTTCCATGCACCTCCGAAAGACTTTGCTATAGTAGTACATGCACATGACTGTACATATAGAGGTCAGAAATTAATGACACAATTTCCTGGTAGGATTTTTGATAGAGGGACAGATCTGATTGAACACGGGTCAACAAGGCATGGCGTTCACACTTACGTCACTTGGTGGGTTGAATTTGACCCATGTAGAGCGCTAGACCCGTGTCGAAGCTGTGATGGATTCTAAGTGTGAAAATGGCCTTTCACACTGTCCAAAAATCTCTGTTGGACCCGGGCCCGACACAGAGATTTCGGGAACCCCTTTCACACTACTTTGACACGGGTTGAGGGCTCTACACGGGTCTGGCGCTCTACATGGGTAAAATCCAACCCTGGTCTCCACCGGGGTTGAGAAGCTCTACCTCTGAGGTAGAATATAAAACAAATGTACTTCTTACCCATATATACACACCGGTGTACTGTAAGTGTGAATGTATGCCTTGCCTACCCGGGTCCGATAGGATCTTGGACCCAGGAGAGTTTGCATAATGTGAACGACCTTCAAGAGGTTTGGATGTCTCTTGCATGTTTCCCCATCACTGATTTCAATTAGTATTGGAGTGTGTCAGACCTGTCACTGTAGTTACTCTGTGCTATGTCATAATGGAAATGATATCTGTATTTGACATGACAGTCACAGCGTGCTAGTAATATCCATCTCAAATTTGTCTTTAGCCGAAGGGGGTCTGTGCTTGTCTTTTGGACAAACCATGAAAAGTTGCAGTCACACTTCTTTTTCTTCTACAAACTAAAGCGGAAAGTTACAAATTCCTCCAGTGCTAATTTTTGCTGAGGAGGGCCAGCCTAGTGTTCTCTTTATACTTGACTTGCTGACTTTCCTGTAAGGCTGGTTTACAAATGTATACGTCACGCAAAAGCAAAAGTGAAGCAAATTTCATGACGTCAACAACTAAAGTTTTATTTTGACGTTCTCTGTTAGGCCAAAACAAAAAATAGTCGGTCTCTGGTCAGACCAAAGTTCCAGAATTGATGCGGCGACGCTGGCTTTTTTTGCTTTTTTTTTTTTCAAGCTTGGATTGTACAGACAAGCTGGGTACTATTTTGCTTTTTTGTGTCCTCATATACATTGGTGTCCTCCATCATTTGCCTTGGTGTCCTCCATCATTTGCCTTTGTGCAAGTTCCCCATTCCTTGGTGCTCCTTGGTACAAAAATTTGAGGTCTGGCAATGGAGGGCGCTGTTGTAGCTACCACAGAAAATTTGAAAAGAAAAAAAAAGGCTGACGCGCATGATTAAATTGATGTGCGCGCTGACCAGAAACTGACTTTTTTTTTTTTGCCTTACCTTAACAAAATAGCTTCACTGTCAACATTCGCATGAAGTACATACACACTGACTCACTGCCACTTGTGAATTAGACTGGTTACCTATCTCATGGACTGACTGTCGCTTGTGACCAGCTTTGGACCAGCTTTAGGAGACTTGCTTATTCATGTACATGTAACTTGGTAAGTCATGTACGTGTAGCATCTACACCACACGTGCTTTAGCCTGGTGCGACTTGTTCCATTTACTCTCATGATACATGCGTAGGCAATAAATCAAGTTTCCATGCGAATGGCAAAAGTGGATTTTTCATTTCCGTCACATTACCATTGTAGCTTATCCTACAGAAGTACAGACTTTTTAGCCTTTTCTGAATCAATTAAAGAGAATTTGTGTGCTCTGGGACCAGATTTGCTAGGCCTGCCTTGTCTTGTTTCTTAATCTAACCTGTGGAGGAAAGTTAAAAATGTTCCGGTGCTAAATTTGGATGATCAATATTTACTGATCATCAACACATGCACAGTATTCATTGGTCATGCATGCATACAAGTAGATTTTCCTCACTCTACAAATGTAATATATGGGTGCGCGAATGGTAATTGCTGCAGATAATCCATTAACTTTGGATTTCCCTTGGCAATTAAGATAATCCTTGTAGATCAGACTGACATAATCAGATTTCACTCTTTCGGGCAAATAAAATGATCGAATGACTTCAGTTGGTCTACAATTACAAACCAGATTACATGTCTGTGAATTTACAAGTTTGGTCTGCATTTGATTTACGGGAGACCTACTTCAAAATGAAATAATCCAGCCGAAATTTGTCATCTTAAATTTGTCTGACTAATTGACTGACCCAGCTTTTCGGAGGTTATCCTGGGACTGATAAATGTTTATTACTCCCTCGGTGCCGTGGCTAAACTCTCCTTGGTATCAATTCATCTTCATGAGGCAGTTTAGTTGTATTTCTGTACATAACGTTCAGTAGCCAGATGTGCGTGTACGTGTATCTTATAAGCTTTACCACAGGCGATTTGATTTGGAAAATCACCCCAAAAATAACTGGAACCCTTTAGGTCTTAGATTTGCATGAATTTGGTGCACATATGTATGGTTTGTAAAGTGATCAACCTCAAAAAATTGCAGCCACAAGTAAAGCTACTTTAGAGTGTTTTCTGAATCAATATTGAGGTTTGTTTCCTTCAAATCCATAATGCATATTCTCTGTATGTGTACTGCACGAAGAGCTAATTTCCTTTTATTCACACGTTTTTGTTTTGCGACACAAACATTTGAATGAACATGTACATGATGCTGATGCTGTACATGCTGAAGTCAATTGGAGTCACTTGTTTTGAAGATGTCTGGGCATGTACATGAAGTGTGACTGATTCAGCCTATGTACTAGTCGAGTCGACTACATGTACCGGTAGTTGGGGCCCAGCGTACAATTTAGAAGCCTCATTTGTCTCACGTACTTATGTCAAAATCAACCTGGGTCCACGATGAATGAAACTGGACCTGATCAAGCACAGGTCAGCAAGGCATATCGTTCATCCACATTACATACATGTACGTACATGTAGTCTGGATATTCTATTGTTTTCGTGTATTTAAAGGGAGATACAACATTTGCAAACATCAAAAAACAAAATGATCAAATTATCACGAATTGTAAGGGAATGACAGTCTAAAGCATCCTGTAAAATCGTGTCTCCTGGTGTGCTGACATTTTCAAGAAAATTTGTATTTTTCCAACGCTGGTTGGCCGACCAACGTTGGAGAAAACTGGTTTTTTTTTTCAAAAAATGCTTCGAAGTTTTCATAACAGTTGTTCCGCATTTTCTTTGAAATTGATTACACCTGTGAAGGGGTACAAGCCTGCCAGACTGATTCTCTGGCCTTACAATTCCCCAAAGTCTATACATTTCTCTGTTTCATCTTAGGTGGGGTCAGGGAACCAGACTACAAGAACTTGATTGGTGTATTGGTTTTTCCAGCATCTTCAAGCCCAAAACGTTAAACGAGTCAGTTTAGCAATATTTGCTATAACATACTAATCCTCCAAATCCATTTATTTCTGAAAATTGCAGCAAAAGCAAATGTTGTACATTCCTTTAAGAAATACCAGAGAAAAAAACTCATTTTACTCGCACTGTGAACACTCTTTCAACCCGAACTTTTGACCATGATTTCCTTGACTGTTCCTTTATATTTGGCGACTGATAACCCTAAACCAAAAGTGCCTCTAAAAGTATTTTTCAGAGAGGGGGAAACATTGTGTGGACCTGGGCAAGTCCACACAACGTCTTCACAACCTGCACTATGTGGACATCTTTTGTTCAGAGGTCCACGCAGTGACTGCAATGCCTGTTCGCACTTACACTGGTTGGCCGTAGATTTTGAATTTTCTACCTGTTTAGAGCATCTCAACCTTGATTCGGACCAGGGTTAAAATTTAACCCAGCCTTGGAATACATACCTGTGGGAAAGCCATGTTGAAGTCTGGGTAGTGTGAACGAAGTTGCCAAAATCTCAGCGTTGGACCTTATTCAACTAGAGTTTAAATAGTGTGAATGGGCCTCCTGGTCAGTTGACTTGCTGGCAAGTTGGTTCTCTGGCTGGTTGGTAATGAATTAATGTTTCTGACAATTATTTTTTTTTAAATGCATATGATAAAAAACTTCTCTCGACCCTTTACATGTATAAGAATGTACATGTACAATTGCACATGGCTTATCCTGTCTTTCTCCATGTGTACCTACATTGACCTTCCGGTATCTTGGACTTTCATGAAAAAGAAGCTCACAATTGGATATGGCAGTCATGGCATTGTGCAAGTGCCACATATTGGGTACATACACTATGGGTAATGTACAGGGTGAGTCAATGATCTGGACCCAAATGATCAAACCAAATGCAAATGAGATATGTTATAGGCTGGTATTTTGGACATATTTGGTGAAAGTTTCATGTGTATCCATTGTACCATTTTGAAGAAAATCACTAGCAAAGAACACACGCTTATAAAAACTCGAACCACCATGGTTCAACAAATTGATTGAAATCGCGTACTGATGTGAAGCAGTGTAATAATTAATAAAAACCTAGTCATGGTGCCTGACTCACTTGAAGTTTTTGACACATTTTAAAAAGGCAAAACCAATTCCGTGTGCAGACTGGAAAATGAGCCACTTCCATGAAAATGGCATAACTCCTCACCACAGCCACTGATTTGAAAAGTTCACAATTCCTGTGGAAGACAAGATAATAACCATTCATATGAAACACTCGCTTTTTTTTCTCAATGCTCAGTCTCTATTTGCCACAAAAAATGGGGAACTTAAAAATGGGGAACTTAAGTCCAGATCATTCTAACTCACCCTGCACATGGGTTTCAAGTTGAATTGAATTCAGTCCAATTGGACATCTGGCATGTCTGGTCAGGGGAGGTTGAGCTGAAAGAATTGATTACAGTAATGAAATCAATATGTCCTGTGAAGGATAAAAAGGTTTCTCTTTGATTAATAGCCCTTTAAAAGGGCAGTGCTTAGGCAGTTGATTAATGGTCAGTTTGGTTATAGTACCAATTTAGAAATAATTGACGAGTGTAATTTAATTATACATTGTTATTACAGCCATTTATCACAGAGAAGCTTTTAAGTAATATCAGAGCACGAGCATCGAGCAGTCTGATTGGATTTTGACACTGTTTGCCCCATCTTGCAGTACACACATTATTTTAATGTGAGGCCAGTATCATTCTCTGCGCCTCCCTTGCTAACACTTGTGATCCATCTCAACAAAAGGAGTCAGTAGTTACCAGAGCTACTTCTAGAGTAAAATAAAATTTGACTTGATTGCTGCACATCAACTAACGTCAATAATCTTGTAATTTGTACTTTGAAATATGTGCATGTAGCATTTGTTACTGCAGCCCCATTGGCTGCTCACAGCCACTAGCACTAGCCAATGAGAAAATCTTCGCTCCTGTCTAATCGTAAGACACTTTTTGCTGGTCCCAGAGGGCCAGCTTAGCGTCCTCTTCATGTATACCTTTCTCACTGACTAACTGACTGACCCACTCTCATTTGTGAGCCAAGCAGTGCTATCATATATGATTACCCTGTAATGTCAATGATTAGGCTAAACCCAACCCATTGTGTTGACCAGATACATGAAAAGGTTTCCAGTGAATAGCCATTCTTAATCAATTGAATAGAATTTTGTGCACTCTGGGACCAGCTTTACTAGGCTTGCCTTAAATAAAGTTTGTCTTGTCTTGTTTAATGATTTCCCCCTCCTTTTTCTCTTCCTCTGCAGTTCTGAGAGCAATCAATGAAGATAGCAAAGACGTTCCGGACCTTCTCACCAACTACATCCTCAAAGGTAGGCACAGACGGAAATATTGATTTCATAAACCCAAGCTGGTTGTGCAGTGCGTAACTTGCCTTGTGGTCTGTAGTATCAGACTCAAGATCTGTGCGTGATTCTGCAGGTTGTGGGTTCGAGTCCAGCCTGAGGGATTGTGGTGTGAGGAGATAAACAACATTTACGACAGCTGTTTGTGTATAATTTCTGTTCAGTCACAAAACAGTCGTTGAATCATCTCCACCTGCTATTTTGAAAATAATTATGTCTCACTTTCTTCGCAATCATGCAGCAACTCTAAAAAAAAAAAAAAAAGTCATCTACTTCACAAACAAAGCTGTGAGTGTCTTGTATCAACCTTGATAAGTCGTGCAGTGACAGGCTCCACGACAAGCACGATTTGCTTGTAAAATAGATCATTTTCAGTCGCCATGCCACAAATTACGCCACCTAAAATTATTGCACAAGTAATGCCATAATTTGTTGTGCAAGTTGCTGACTAACATGTACGCAAACTTTCAAGAAATGCATCATAACGGAAATGTTGCACAGCATGAAATGTTGTGCAACTTAAGTAATAAATTGTGACGCTAGTGGAGTATTTGAGACACATTCACGGGGCTAGATTCAGGCCGGGTAGTCCTTGGTTTCAATCCTGTCCATGAATGTTGATTAATCCCTGAGGTCTCAGCTGGATGTGCCACAATTGCTAATGAGACATCCGCAAAAAACCTACCTCATCGTCCGTGTGAGAATAATTACAAAGTCCAAAAGCAGTGATTGCATTATGGAAGAGGGATTTCATTTGATTTCAGGGTGTGTTCTTTTCCCCATTTTCTTGCTTTTCTTTCCGTGGATGACACATGCATTACCCAAAAATAAAAGCCTAAAAATGTGGATTGGGGGGGGGGGGGGCGGGGGCTCATAAGCTATTTTACTTTATTCTTCCACTTGGCTGAAATCATTCGAGGAACTTTAATTCCTAATTATCAATAGCTATTTCTTATGAGCACTTTGGGAATAATGGGAATTTTTAAGAGATTTAGCTATTACTGAGTTTTGTCTCCAAATGATTCTCAACCAGGGAATGATACCTTGTGACTTTGTGAGGTTTGTCAGGATTTTTCCTTATTTTCAGATTTTTTTAGAATTCCTTTTTGACTACTGAAATTCCTGAGGTTTTACTGTAAAGGTGTTTTTACAAGGTTTGAAAAAAAAATTATCAAGTGAACTGGGTATTTTAAGGGGTGACTTTAGGTTTTATACAATCATAAACCATAGACCCTACATGTACACGTACGTTGCTCTGGGCCCTCAGCAAATAGTCAAACCCTCTGCCGGTTATTTCATGGATTTTTTTCTTTTTTCTCACACCTGCATTTTTGCATAATTCTTGTGCCGTCCAGCTCTCATGAATTCATGAAAATTAAATGGAATTTGCTTTTATACCGTTTAAAAACTGTTTGGTCTGATATTCTCTGGCTCCCCTTTTCCCAAAACTGACCAGTAGTGAACTGAAACGCACCATTAAAAAAAACCAGAGATTGCATTCAAAACAATATGCAACATTTGCGTTTGCTGCATAATTTTCAGAAATAGATGGATTAGGGGGTTAAGGTTTTGTGTTCATAGATGCTAGAAAACCACGGAAAAAAATGCTGTTCTTGTCTGCTTCCCTGACCCTACCGCACTTTAACAATTGGTTGGCCGACCATCGTTGGAAATTGATACAAATTTTCACCTTTCTTGAAAATGACAGCACACCAGTTGCCATGATTTCACAGGATGCTTGAGACTATTATTCACTTACAGTCAAGTAAGGTATTTCATAATAATTAGGTTTGTTTTTTTAATGTTTGCAAATGTTGTATTACCTTTAAAGGGTCTCGAAGAAATGCACAGAGAAACCCACTTGAACATTGTACCCGTACTGGTGTAGTGTCTGTTGTTTCAATAAATGAAAACCACTGCATAGAGAGTTTCTTCAGTGCCCCAAATCCGATGTCTAACTGGAAATATCCCAGGAGAAAATCCCATACTGAATTAAATTCACATTATGATGATCAACAAAATTTGATTGTACCATCACCAGATCAATGGGTTGAGAGAATATATTACTCCAAAATACATTTATTTTTAGGCAGGGTTAGAAATGTTCTTCTACCTGGGGCAGACAAGAAGCCAGTGAGCATATTGCGTGCTAACTCGTTCAAAATTGCAAATTGCATTTGCAGGGGAAATAAGGGAGGAGATGAATAAAAACCAAAGACAGAGTCAATCCCTCGCAGTAAAGTGTTCTGCCGGCGTACATTCAACCTCATGCACGGTGCATTGTCCTGCGCAGGAGCTAAAAGATTTGCATCATTTTCATCGAGCTTCCAGATTTCCGTCTTGATTTGAATCCGTGGCGGCCCCAGAAAAATGGCTTAATATGTCACGCTTTGTGATTGGGCCCAGGAGGGATTTGTATCAGGACGGACAGAAAGCAGTCTCTGGAGAAAAACTGCTTGACATGGTTGAGGTGGCAGTCAAAGAGAACTGATAAATAGTGATATAGTTTCTATGGTTCATATGTTTAAGTGCTTTTAGAAATGCAAATTTTTCTTGTTTCTTAAAATTCTAAGCATGCTCTCAGCAATATATTTCATGTAATTTTTTTTTTTTAGGTTTTGTGGTTTTTGTTTTGCTGAGTCAGTGCCTGGACACTCCTGATTAGGACTGTGGAACCATTTTATATGAAATGTGGATTGCAAATTTTTAAAATTTTCTTCATGTACATCCTCTTCATCACATCCTCAAAATGTTGCTGTTATTCCTGTAAATGTACAAAAGAAGACTTTTTTTTCAGTCAAAAGTTATACCTTAGAGAGACAAGATAGATTAAGGAGACACTTTCATTGTCTCCTTAATGTCACAACTCCTATTTAGAGGCAAAAGTTTACAGTGGCAAATAGGCTAGATCGATTGTTTTGTGGTCCAAAACAGAAATGTACCAAAATTTGTGGGGGTAGGATTTACCATTGGAATCCCTTCAGTCCCCAGATCAAAAGAATTTCCCTCGTTCTTTTCAGAATCACACAAATTCACAAAAGAGATTTGTCACATTGTGCTACATTAAATCTTTATCTTATTGCTGTTATTTGGAACATATATTTATACCCCTTTGAGGATGCATGGCACCCCTTGGCTTTGCTTCAGATTCAGTGCAAGCCCTCAGGTGTGAAAAAAGGTCTTGTCCCACGTCACAGTCATCAACAATGGACTGATCAATTAAGCCCCGCCCCATGATGATGTGACCAATCACAGCCGTAATTAATGTTCAACATTTGGGCACAAGAGTCTGACATGCGTGCACAAAAGTCTGACATGCTTGCACAAAAGTCTGACATGCTTGCACAAAAGTCTGACATGCTTGCACAAAAAGTTGCCCATGGATGTGTGAAGTGGGTGGGGCCAACTAGATCGGTCTACGTGTATTTAACAGTTTAGCTGAGATCATGATTCAGTTGATATTGAGTATGTCTTTTTTGTTGTTCTCCAACAGTGTTGTTCAAACCGGAGAAGGATGGCGATATTCCACTGCCGTTGCCTATGGATGTGCAGGTCAGGTAAAAGGTCAAAGGTTAGATGTCACCCGTGGAGGTCAATCACACGATTTTATCATCTATGTCATCGCCATCAACATCATCTTGCCCATTTGCCGATCGGCCCACCCTTTCCTAAGAGTTTATTTGGAGGGGAGGGGCGTGGTTGAAGATCCACCCAGAGGGGTGTACCGTGGTTGGTTGCTCGCTGATGCAAGAGTATGCACTCTGTGACTAAAGGGTTGACAAGTTTTTGCATTATGCCGTGATTGTTCGTCAGCAATACAGCGCCAACCGAAATGTCGTCACTTTCCATCTAAATTATGTTATAAACACACACGTCCTAGTGGACTTTAGCATATGTAGCAGTATAAGGCGTCGTTATTACATGTAGTGTCAGTGTACTGTGCCGTGTCACGCAGGTCTTGTGCAGGGTTCTTCGGTAGTACTTAAGAGGTATTCGTATTTATGAATCTAGAGTAGGGTATTACAACTTCTTGTCGCTCTTTTGTAAAAAAAAATTTAAAAAATGATATTACTGTTAATATATTTACCTAATCATATTGCTTGAAATTTTAAAATCGACCATAAACATGCTGTTTAATGTGTGAGTTTTTCTTTTGATACCTGAAATTATGTCAGTGATTGGACTAGAGTGGATTAACTTTCACTTGTTTTTTTTTGTATTTGCGTCCTTTACGTTCACTTTCAATTTTATATACGTTTCTTGTAAATTTGTGTATTATAAGAGGAAGAAAAAGATTTAATTATTAATTAAAGATGCCCAAAGATTTATCCTGTTAAAAATATAAGTTTAAGAAAAACTATTGTTAATTGTTGAAAATTTGTATACTTTGAAGCCAAAACATTGCAGGTCGGGTAGAAATGATTGATGGAGGACAATGTGGACAAGACAGAAAAGGACTCAAATGGTGAAGCCTTTCATGAACAGGGGTGAGTAAAAAAAAAAGCGGAACCCAAACTATATGAAACAATGTTTCACATTTAAAAAACATGTAGCACCAAACATACTAATGACTGGAAAGCCAATTTGATAAGCTACTTTTAGATGAAAACAATTACTGAAATTGCTCAATCCGTTGAAACAATATCACCATTTAAACACAATGACCATAAAACCTCTTTCGTCCAAAACTGCAATTTCAAGAATCGTCATCACAATTGTCTTCAAACATCACCAGCAATAAAACCTCAGTTTAAAAGTAAAAAAAATGTTCAACAAAGTCCTTTTGAAGGCCCGTCTTTAAAAAAAAATTGGATTTTATAAATCATATTGTTTGCCTAACCAGGGTTGTTAATTAAGATATTGTGTACTACAGTTGTTGATAGTTGATGAAACAAGTATTCTTGTCATTTTCTTGGTTGTTCCAAACAGGCAGAATACACACTAAACTGCTTTTTTTGGATGAAACAGGTTTAAGGGTCATTGCGTTTAAATGGTGATATTCTTTGAAAGGATTGAGCAATTTCAGTAATTTTTTCATCTAAAAGTAGCTTATGAAATTTGCTTACCACTAACCAGTCATTATTATGTTTGGTGCTACATATTTTTTTAAATACGAATTATATTGTTGGGGGTTTGGGTTCCGCTTTTTTTTGACTCGCCCTGTATGTATGTGTAGGTGGCTGCTTTGGTGCACATTTGCCATTACGGTAACAGCATGGACAGTGTGATGCACAAGTACCGTACCCCCTTAACGGTGACAAAGCGAGATATAACAGACCAAGGGCATACATTGTACACTGTGTATTGTTGCTGGAGGCCACTCATTTTAGGCCTTGGCCTGATTCCATGGCTCTGCTATCCATTCCATGCCTGCAGCGTTTGCAGAGAATTTTTTTCGAAAGTCAGAAAGGCACGGAATCGTTAGGTTCGGGAGGCACTCATTGCACACAAGCCAGAATTCGGGCTAACCATTGTCAGCAGCTAATTGTAGCCGCTGAAAGCTATAGCCTCATTAGTCGTACAAATTACACTCGGGAGGTAGCACACTGAGTATACAGTGTTAATACATCAGTGAAGGGCAAAACCTAATTTCGAAATTAGGCCCTGTTTGATTTTCAGAATCCTAACAATTTAATCCAATCTAAACAATTATGCTTTCAATTAGTATTTTTGTACAAAATCTTGGCAGAATGCATGCACAGAAAGTGTATGTGTCTGCATAGAAAACACTCATCATTACTTCCAGCTAAGTGTTTATGACATTGTAACTACTTTGTACGTTTGCTTGTCCAATTTGTTTTAAGGCATCCCTGGATTCTACAGGGTAGATTTTGACAAACCAGTGTTTAAAAGAAAGAAAAAAAATCTGTAGTCTTTACACATCAAATCAATCTTGGAGGAACGTAGCACAGTCAACGATCGCTAATTCTAGCTGCCAGCTCGTATTAATTAAGTTTCAAATCCCAAGATTTCCGTCCCTTCGTTCCTGTTACCTGCGGCAGTAAATACATGCAGAAGCCCTGCCAGCATTTCTCACAACCACTGCTGACTAACTCCCCAGAGATCTGAACCAATTTACCAGGATCGCCCAGAACCACAAATCGTCTGATGCAAACTTCTAGTAAACACATTGCACTCTTGGGGCTCATTTATTGTCCATGGGTTCTGAAGTCGTATTTTGGGCCTGGATCATTTGTTTTTCCCCAAAGGTGTTTGTGATGTTAATCATCAACTGAAGAATTTGTGTGTTTTCCCATGAATAGTAATTTGCAAATCCAAGAAACTGGATTCTTTTCAGTTGGTACAGATTTTTCCATCAGGTATTTAGTTTTGGTAATGGGTAATGGGGGAAATATTCACCCAATGTAATGACGCTAACCGTTTGTAATAACAAAAAAAAGAAGAAGAAGAAAAATGGGTGTAGTTGGCGCAACCTTCTGCTGACCATGAAGCAAAATTTTCCAGTGATTTTCACCGCTGAAGGGGCTACTGTACTGGTGTACGGAGTGCATGTTCATTGAGCTGGCTACACAACTCTTGTCAGCAAAGGCTTTTTAAGTGTCTAAGATAGCATGAATTTGGTATTCATGGGTTGATCAAGTTGAAAGTCTGTCTTGGTCCACATTTTCTTCTGTTCTTTAGCAGTTGTCTTATTCACCAATGCACCAGGCTGGATCAGAAAATGATGGGGATATCTTGTTGTTGTTTTTACTAAGGAGAGCAAAAAGAAATAAAAGTTGAGGCAGTGAGAAGGTTTCTCTCTGAAAAAGAAAGTCTTTCTGAAAAAGAAGTTGGGTTTGAATTTTTGCAGAATATTCCATTTTTACAGCTTGGCGTTTGACCAAAAGCTTGTGAGCCATAACAACAAAGTCAAGTCTTGGTCAAAATGTTTTGCCACTTTCCCTGAAAGGTATATCTGAAGTCACCCACGATGAATACACACAAAAATGTCTTAAGTGTCTGTGTTTGAGATGAAATGGTCAGAAATTTCAGTCATTTCTATGAATGAGAACTATTATGCAAATTTGGAACATTTTGGTTCTAGACAAAGATATTTCACGTTTGTGTTTTTCAACACTTCAACAGTTGTAATTTTGGTGTACTGATTCAGCATGGGTTTTGAGATGAATAAGGCGACATTGATCACTTTTGCCATGTATTAAGAAAGAGACAAGTACTGCAATGTATCGGTAATAATTAATTGTAAATGAAGCTTTTTTTGTAGAGTATAAGCACATGTATGTAGTGTAGATTGATGCAGTGTTGGTGTTCAAGTCATCGTAAAAAAATTGTCAAATTATGAAATATCAAAATACATGAAAAGATATCAAAAAGTGACAGTTACCTTTTGCATGAATGCATGGTGTGTAAGAAAAAAAAATTCTTTCCACATTATTTGAAATTATTAATATTTTTATTTTTGGTTATGAAACCAAGGATTCCTCAAAAATGCCCCAGGCACTGCAGCTCCTGAGCTTCCTGTACAGAGAAGACAAGGAGAAACCCGTAGAGAGAAGACAGTGAGAAGAAATTACAGTTTTAGAGGTGGGAGGAAAACCCCAGATTATGCTGGGGAAATCCCACGGAATCAGGTAGGGACTGAAAAACCCAATCCACATGTGGACCAGGGAAGGAATCGAAGCGGTGGAAGGCGAGGAAATAACCACTGCACCAACCTGACTCCCCCAGCTGGGAAGTCAAGTTGGTTTGTGAGGGGCGGTGAGGGGCGGCAGAGTGTCATATAGCACACTCCAAATAAATGAGAATACGTAGCGAGCCAATTGGAATGTGTTATGACTCGTTCAAAAAAGGGGGAAATTAGTGAGAAACCTTCATGTTGTTTTCCGAGTGTTTTTGAAGTATCTCTTCTTTGGACTTATAATGTAAGAATCTTCCACGCCCATTCATGCAACAGGTAACGTGTCCACTGATGAGTCTACTGTAAATAAAAACACAGCTTCTCGATTGAAAAAAAGTGCAATTCCTTGGATTAGTGTTGCAAGGTGTTTAGGTAGAATGCAAAGATGATTGTGTAGTAAAAAAAAATTCATTGTGGCAAAAGATGTGAGAAACATTTCAAGAGTGACAGCTATTGTTGACTCACTTTTTTTCATGTAGATAGCATTCACATGGTATTACATGTAGATTCAAAGAAAGAACATCGTTCTTTAGTTTTAAGTATAACTTTTAATTCATCTTCTTCACAAATTAAGTGTCACATTATTACTGTTGGTGGGGGATAGGGGAGGTTTAGTATATAGGTAAAACTTGCGATACCCAATTTTCAAATGCTCAAATTTTCCTTACCCCAGGTAATCGAAGTCCCTTTCCTAAGGACGAAAAAAGTCTTTAGTGGGCAGACTGCTTGACAAGCAGAGTAACTTTTCAATTTTGTCCAAGTAAAAAATAAAAGAATTAAAAAAAAAATACATTTTGGTGCTGTACTGTAAGTCTGTGAAATTAATGACATTTTTTATAGTCTTTGTGTACTTTTTCAGCTTACAGCTTTATTATTTAATATACTCAGTTCAAGTTTGCAGAAGACTCATAAGAAACCTGGGCTATTATTTTTTATACTTGTGCCATATAATTTTTTGCTCAGGTGCGCTGCATTCATATTAAATGTAAATTTTTGTTGAAACTTTACCTCCGTTTTTGATTTATGTTGACATTTCAGTATTACGTATTTTAGGAGTAACTATTGGTGTTATATTTAATCCTGTTCATTATGTGAGGCTCACCATGCAGTTAGGTGGCTATGTTGCATTTGTACGCTGTGACTATTTAAGTATTGAAAACAGTGAATAGTCAACACACATCTACGTGTGCCAAAACCTGAATACCAAGGGTATGCACGTGTTGTTTGCGGCAAAAACATTTGCTTACCGTAGATGTGTACTGAGCGCATTTGATTAGCTCAACCGGATTGACTCGGGTGCAGGCAGACTGGTTAGCCACGACAGCCGGGCTAATCAAACACTAAAACATCGGCCATCATCATCCTCACATTTTGGCCATTGCCAAAACACCCCTTTCAGACTGAGTCTTCATTCCTTCCTCCTAAGCCTTACTTTCAGATTTACTGCTGCTCCGTCAATTGCACAAGTAGCAAAGTCGGGCTGACATTAGCAGCCTCTAAAATCGCAATGAGCTCAATAAGAAGTAATGTTTAGAATTCAAATAAAGTAGATTTTGGGGTCCACTTGATCTTTTTCACTGTCCAGCAGCCATTTTTTGGAATGAACAACACATGCGTGTGACGTATTTCCACCACTGACTCTGCTCCACGAGTAGGGTCTGTGGTGGCTGACCTGGGTGAGCCCAGAGAATAATGTCAGAGCTAATTGAACCGCACAGGGCTAACCCAAGTTAACCTGGATGAGCTAATTGAATGCACCCATTAAGTACGCGTGGCCACCAAAACAAAATGGCGCTCAGGTTTGTAAAACAAATGAACCATTTAGAGCCCTATACAGCATTTGCACTGCAGCCATCTTGGAGGTGTGTGTGTGTGGGATACGCAAGAGTGGGCCTCGTGCATTTGTTGTTAGCAGAACACACCTCCAACATGGCGTCCTAATGCTATCAGTCTATTATTTTGTACACTTATTTTTTTTCTTCTATTTTCCACAGATTGATTTGAGGAAGTCCATTTTATGTGTGCTATTTACCCAGACATTTTGAATTATTTACATGTGGTTAGAAAGATTGTAAATGATTGAGCATTTGTATTTGTGAACAATAATTGAGAAGGTCAGAATCCGGTTCGTAAGTGTGACGTCACTTCAGTTTAAACCACGCCCATTGCACAGTAGCATTGGAACCATTGGAACCGGAAGTTAACGCAACTGTTACTGTTGGTGTTCAGCCAATGGGCGCTGGTAGTCAGTGGTGCACGCCCATTTATGACAAAGTCACTTACAAACCGGATAGCTTTGACCTTCGTCCTTCGTCCTGATTGGTTGTACTGAGCACATGCTCAGTTAACTTTTCCATGGAGACATTAGCTTAGATCTATAATGGAAAGACTAACTGAATTCACAAAACAAATCAGTCTCACTAAATATGTTTCTTCCCGTTAGTTTTTCCCCATCCTAAAGTACTTGAGTAGAGAGCACTGAATTGGCACATAACACAAGAGGATTATTTCTAGCTAGCTTTAGCTTTTTATAATTAATGTTGGACAAATGTTGTTAAAAGCTCTCCCATTGTTTTATGCAGCTCTCAGTAAAATTGTAGAAGTCAGAGTGAAAAAAAAAATTGTGCACATCTGGTGCTGTTTAGTAAACGATTCACAGTGCTAGAAATAGGAATTTTTTTCACGTAAATCATTTTTTCTCCTTTTTTAATTGTCTCTTTAAAACCTTGAAGGAAATGACGAAAACCAGTTTTGTACTATATTTAACCATGCCCCAGGCATATTGCTTTTTTTAAAAGATGTTATCTTAGAAAAGAAATTGTCTTTGACTAGTGAACTCTCTTGTAGGTCTAAGACGAGCAGCCGTTTACCCTCGTGTACGTTTTAGTGAGTGTATAGTGGAGGTACATGTACCTAACCTGTGATGTATTCTAGAACTCTGTAAATGTGCATGTGCCTACATGTGTTCTATGATATTGTAGAACATTTAGAACGTATTGTAGAACAGTTTTTTTCCCTTCAAGTGCAAAGGACTTTTCAACGATAACACTGCAGTAAGACTTTCAATTCGGTGGTTTGTGATGAGTGTTTGTGTTTGAATGGCATCTGGATTTACAAACTGGCAGCCAAACTCAAGTATCATGTTTCCATAAGGGCCATTCTATAAATTGAGGGTCCAAAGTGTGACATTTTGTTCTGTCCCTGTCACCTTGGTACTTGGTAATTTGCCATTCAAGTATCATTAAGAATGACTTCAAACAAAATTGTGTTTGTTGGGTAGCTAGTTTGCTATTCATAATCACTCTTGTATCAGAAGTATAAAACTCATAGATATCAGATGAGATGTAACAGGGACAGGACGAAAATGGACCCCAAAGTTTACAGAATGATTCATAATGTTATTGTGGAAGTGGAAGCGCATGACTGTATTTACTGCTGTATCAAACTGAGTACGTTTAAAAAAGTATCATCGTCAAAACTGGTGTCATGTAGTAATTTAAACACATTATCTAACATAGAATGTAAAAAAAATTAACATTTAATCCATCTCCATGAACTCAATTGGTATGTTTACTGTAATGAAACATCATAAAATAAATGAACATGACGGTATTGTATTGATATGAATTTGCAAAACAAATGTATGTGATGTGAGAGTTGAAAGCTATGCATCAACCTCGCACTACGTTAAGACTTTTTGCTTGAATTGTTGAAAAAGTTCCAAGTAATTTATGAATTTTGATCTTTCCTTGTCACTGAACTTCAGATGTGAGGACGGAACTCGAGGAAACTGCAGGCAAAAACGTACATGCTGCTCTAAACTGACCAGTGTTTGGCTTATTATGTCGCCCATTGTCTTGTAATTAACATTCACAAGTAGTTACTGGCAAGTTGGTGATGCAACAAGCCAAGTCAGCCCTTAAAATCGAGAAACATACATTTGTATGAAGCACACACATGTACATGTATACGCATGTGTTTCTTTGAATATTGCGGGCAGTGGTCGTCATATTATGACTGCAACCAGAATTTATGCCTAAGATGTTGAGAGTTTGCAGTCGTTGAAGCCAGTGCATCCAGTATTTGGGGCGACAGATTTTACAGCTGTACTGTATGAATTAACGATGTGTTAAATCTATGTGACAGATATGAAGAAATGAATGTATTAAAAAGTCCAGTGATCCAATTGTGTGTGCATGGGATTGTTTGTTTTGTTAGCGTTAACTCCAACTCCATGGGACTAGTGTCCGCTTTGAACCAATCTCACTGTCTGACTGACTCAATGCCACTTGTGAATTAGTCTGGTCACCTATCTCACTGACTGACTGTTACTAAGGGAATAAATGTGTGCTTGGCCGGTTTTAAACACTATGTTTAAGACCGGTTCGAGTCTGGATGCTGATAATGACCCGACCCGATACCGGCCAAGCACATACTTATTCCCTTTCATAAATATCTTTTCGGTACGGAGAATGCACACTTTTTGGTCCAGAAGTTTTTTAAAAAAACGTAAAACATTATAAATTCCCAACGATTTTGTTCAACAATTTTACTTCATATTTTTCTTAGCACCCCTCTAGCTATGCTATGGTATGGCCCTCTGGCGAGTAGTCATAAACAACTCCACATATGGAGATTGGCGCGCATATCTTGCGTATTGTGTGATATGGTGCAGAGTGCAGCTGTGCCAGTGTAGTGTGAATTTAGGACTTTGAAATACTGACTCACTGGTAGTATTGCACATGCCTACGTTGTGAACAGTTAACCATTGTGAACATTTAACCAATAAAACGGTACAAATTGCACAGTCACCAGTTTCTCTAATTTTCTGTCACTAATGTCGACAATACCGTTAAATAATCCCATTCTTGCAACTATAATGACGTTCAAAATTGGTACCATACTTCATAAAGTCCAAATTGCATGTGACACAGGAAAAGTGTTTAAGACCAGCCAGCCGGTCTTTATCAACCGTTTAAAACCAGCCACGTGACGGGCTCTCGACCAATAGGAATGGGTAAACTGTCTTAGGTATTTATGAATTGTGACTTACACTGGTCTGCATGGGACCAACTATACAATGTTTGCCTATTCATGTATTGTGACATAGCATTTACACCACATGTGCGTTAGTCTGGCACTGCTTGCTTTATGAACTTTCATGGGTAGGCAATAAGTCAAGTGTCCATGTGAACGGCGAATGTGGATTTTCATTGCTGTCACATTACCACTAATGTAATGTTCTTTTTCCCACGGCGGTGTGAAGCACGCCGTGGGCTTGAGCTGCTTATGTTGGTTGGTTGGTATGTTGGTTGGTGGGTGGGTTGGTTGGTGGATGCTTTACTCAGCCCGTTATACTGTTTCCATGCCACGCATGTATCACAGCTAGTGAGTTTCTATGGAATACATTGTACCTGCAGTTTTGTGACACTGATGTGTATGCGTCTAATTTGCATATTATTAGATCACGCCCCATTGCATTGCAAAATTCGCGGTTGTACGGTTCGTGGAACCGCTGTGGGTTGTACATGTACCACTTGGTACTTGTTTAATGAACAAAACCCATTTTAAGTGTTAATTGCTAGGCTGTACTGTTCTGAATTCAACAAACCAGAAGATAGATTTTGGTAGAGTTGGGCAGTTCAATCTGTACTTTGACAAATTTTAACCTGAATTTGCTCAATTTTTCCCCTTTAAAAAGAATTCAAATAACGAAATGTCTTCTGAACAAAATAGAGAAAGCAATGTTTCCACTTATTCTTTATTCACTGCATTCAAACTTTATTCACATCTGTTTACCAAAAATACACATACATGATAATTAATTACTCACTCATATTTCTCTTTTAAGTATTTACATATAATGCAGGCACACACTTTTTATAGAACATTTTAAAGCACACATGCGTTTCGAAAACTTTAATCCCATCAAATCCATAATGGACCCAAGTCACTCCCAGCTGTTTAAGGCTTGTTGGAAGAACTTGAATTAAAAGGCAAGTTTAATATTTTGATCAAAGTGGCAATTTGGAAAAATTGGAATTTCGAATACTGTGGTTTTCATAAACCATTTGATACAAAACATCTGAAATGAATATTGATACATTTTAGTACGCAAAATAGCTTGGTCTTCAAAATGAAATAAAGTTACAAAAACGTTTTTTTTAACCCTGTTATCCATAACCTTCCAGATCCATTTGTACAATTCAGACAGTTACCATGGTTACTGTTTTATAAATGTACATTATCTAACCCTATAAAACATTTTTTAAAAATAATTATAACAAACAGGCCAAAATACAAAAGCACAAGTCAACTTTATGGCATGTTGAGTCCTACAAACTTTGAATATGTATCAATTTAGTATTTTAAGACATCGGTGAAGTGGTGGTTATAAATTCTTAAATTTGTGGACCAATTTCCTTTGCATGCTAAAACCGTGACCTGTCGACTTGGTAATTTAACTTACCCTGACATAAAAGTACCCCAAAAAATGAGTCCAGAAATTTATAAAAATCCTAGTAGTAGATACTATTTACTGACACAAGAGGTCTCAAAATGTTGTTTGATTTGTCAGTGTAATTCACCTACTGTTCTATTTGAGTTTTAAAAAAGTGTAAAGTGACTTTTGTCTTGCATTTAAAATATAGATTAAAAACCTCTTTATTACCATCTTGCTAGAAAATCATGGAAACTTGCATAGAGTAATGTTCGTAAGTAAAAAAGAAATGATTTATTAATTATAGTTTAGCTTAGGTGAGAACCCTGAGCAATTGTGTTGAAGTGTTTGAGATGTGCTCCTGCAAAAGAGGTGTTTTTTTTTTCATTTTCATGATTGTTTTGTTGGCTTTTTTGTGTTTAGTTTTGTGTCCTTCCCCCCCCCCCCCCAGGATATTGCTAATACCAAATACTTTTTAACATGAGTTTGATCAAGATGTAGCCTCATCCTCCTGTTTCTGTTTCTTATATTTACAAAAATATAAGATCAGAAATGCAAAATTTAAGAAAATAACTAGTTCACTTATTTTATTTAAGCTTTGGTTGTTCGTTAAAGCAGTAATTACAAACATAACTGTCAGGCGTCATTTTGTTATCAAAAGGTTGGAAAACAGTACAGAATCAAACAGTAAGTTCCTTTGCAAGTTTTGATAAGTGCTGCACACACTTTGCTTGTGCAGTGGTCGATATGTGTATTTTGATCAAAGATAACGTCAATATGACTATTATGCCATTAGAAAAATGTGTTGTGCACACTTTGAACTTCACAACAATTGACATGCAAAAGTAAGTTATGTTATTTATATTCTTGTGGACTGTCACAGAATGTCGGTGCTTAGGCTGTCCTTTGGAATAGAAGTGTAAAGACTGGTGCACACTTCACGAGAATGCGAAGCGAATCGAAGTCATGAAATTTACTGGAATTAAAACGTGTACATGTAGATACTTGCTGTGACAGCACAAATTTGCATTCGCATTGGCTTCAAGTACGAGCCGGCCTTAAACCAGTTTGTTGATTGCAATGAACCCGCTTTCAAAACCTTTAGTGATGCAATGAAGTCCTGATAATTGGATTCTGTACTTTTTCCGACTTTGTTCCCTCTGTTGATTGCAGAAACTGGGTAAAGAAACTAGAAGTTAATGCAACTTGAAGAGTCGATTGGTTAGGTGCATGTCATCAGTGTATCTGCAGAGGAAACGTAGACATTAATTAAATTGCAGTCTAATAAATTTAAAATGCACTATTCCATGCAGTACTGAATGTCTGGTTGGATTGGAAAGACTAGTGTTCTTCAGTCACGCCTTTGGGCAACCTGCATGCCAATTTAACCTTTCCCTGAAGTAAATGTAGACAGCCAAAAACACTTTTTAAGTTTAAGAGGGACGCCCTAGTTGTAAAAACCTAAACTGTAAAGTAAAAAGTTTGTTTTTTCGTGTGGAGAATGAATCGTGGTTGTGCTGAAGTAGACGGAATATAGCATGAAATAGAACTTAGTCATGGCCATGATGGCAGCAGCAATGCGGTATCAAGAGTCTCTTAATGCTTGAGAACTTGAGAAGGGAGAATTGCAATAATGTTTGCTTGCCACCAAAGAAAATAACTGAGAAAATATGAACATGATGTTGTTTTACAGTTAGGCTAGGCCTACTTTTGGACTGTCAGTCTAAATGCTAATGAATGGCCTACCCTCACTTTTTTTATAGCAGAATAGATTCTCTAAAATTATTAGGTCATATTCTAATTATACCTTGTCATTGGGCTGTTAAGATGTGGGAATCTAGTCTGCTTCTGTCGCACCATTCTGGGAGGCATCGCCATCCCGGTCCCCCAGTTGGGCGGGCTGTGGGTGATGGGCCGGCCGTTTGACGGTAAAATCTGCCTCAGCGTCGACCACTCCTCGCACCGCGTGTTGGGCGAGGACACACAAATCCCCGTTTCCTCCTTAGCCCGCGAGACATTGCGGAGGGACGGCTCGCCCAGGGGTACCCAATGCGGCTCGGCCCACGGCAGGGCCTTGGGGGCCATGAGTTTGTGTCGCGGTACGGGCGCCGTGCTGCGGAGATCGGTGGGGATGTAACGCTTGTTGACCCACACGGTGTCCTTGCTGTAGCCGCGGATATCGGTCTCGTTTTGCTCCTGTCGTGGCTTCAACACCCGGTCCTCGTACTTGTCCAGCAAGTATTCTGGGTAGAGCCACTTGTGGGAACCAAAGTTCCCCATACATTGGGCTGTCATGTTTCGAAATTCAAACGAACTTACGACAAATTAACTCTGCATCGCCGACTAGACTCGACTTTGCTAGCTGGCTGTGCGCATAATGCATGCAGATGTCAATTTGCGCATTGCATAGTACATGTGGTACTGGTACAAAAGGTAGCAGACGACGCTGCTGCGTTGTCATGACTATCAACTGGTATTCAGTAAATCATGTGCGTTTTGTGTTTAGTGTTGTTCGGTCTGGTTACCAGTTTTAATAGACTAATTTCCAGTCGCTCCATCTTGACGCGTCCGAATTACTTGACTACGGCTGGCCGGCAGTAGTATCTCCAAGCCACAGCCAAGTAATTCAGGCGCGTCTGACTTCGTATACTTTATGGGAGCGAGCGGGAACCAGTCTACAGTTTCAGAAGCTTAGACATGCGCCCTCCTTTTGGTGAAATAATGACCAGGCATTTGATTTATTCAATTTAATTTATTTCCATATCCGACCACAAACAAAATACAATAGCATGTACATTGAGTGCAATCAAGATAAAGCATACACACGAAAAACAAAAATATGGACCAATATAAAAGAAAATGCAATTAATTGATAGCCATAATAAGCCTAAGCTTGTCAATGGCAGGTGCTGAAAGAACACTGAACATAAAAGCAATCCATTATTGAAGCAAACGTTATTCTATAGTAAAACAATCATAAAACATAACACTCAGACAATATAAATGCCGGTAAAACAGGTAATTGCCAAGCAATACAGGGGAAAATGTAACTACTGTACCAACAATTTAACAACAAATTGCAAGGAGTATCTGGAGTAATGAAAAAAAAGTACAGACTAAAGTGAAAAAGGAAAAAAACAGGGTGATGAATCCACCCATGGGTACTGGCGCATAACCTGCGATGGACTAGCATCCCATCCAGTGGGAGTGAAAATATTCTCAGTCGTTTCATGCTATACTGAAATCGGAGATAAACGCCGGCCTGATGGGCCACATTGGCTCGTGACAGACTTTACTGTAAGCATATACTAGCAAAGTTTGTATGGAAAGCCTTTATAACAGAAAACAAACATTGGACACTGATGAACATGGACAAGACAAAGACAAAACGGGGGGGGGGGAACACAAAATGGAACAATACAAGAGTCAACTAAATAGCCCGTGCAGCGTGGAGAAAACAACAGACTAGATATAATGAGCAATGGCAAAGTGGTATCAAAAGAAGAGGAACACAGAGAGAAACAGAGATGCTATGCCACTGTGAGGTGATCAGATAGTTCCTCAGTAAACTAAGTAGGTAATCAGGCCCAAGGATGGTTTAGTTCTATTCTGAACGACTCATCCACAAGGTCCATACACGAGGTCCATGATACCTAAGGGTACTCGTGGAAAAAGATGTGTGAGTAATAAAAGGCAGGTGGAGATTATTATGTGGCCTTGTACAGTGACTGTGAATCTCCCATGTATGTTTGCAGGCGATACTATACTATGCGATAGCAACTTGCAAGTTCATGCGCCTAGCCTACGTATAAGTTCCGTACGTAAAAGCAAATGCCTTAAACAGTCATTTTCAGTCTATCTTTACTAAGGAAAACTGTGACAACATCCCAAACCTTGACAGTCCGAAGTTTCAACAAATGTCTTCTATTATCATCACAACTGCGGGCATCAGAAAGCTGTTGAAAGAGTTAAAACCACAGAAAGCACCAGGCCCTGATGGCATCCTTCCAACTATCCTGAAGGAATGTGCTGACAGTGTTGCTCCACTCCTACAACAAATTTTCCAGAAATCCATTGATACCGTGGAGCTGCCAGACGACTGGCTCAGGGCTAACGTCTCACCTATCTTCAAAAAAGGAAACCGTTCAGATCCATCAAATTACAGGCCAATTTCACTGACATCCATCCCTTGCAAGTTGCTCGAACATTATACAGAGTTGTAACGAGTCACTGATTTTTGTGACTCGAGTCGAGTCGAGTCATTTTAAAGAAGTGACTCGAGTCGAGTCGAGTCATTAGGTCAACAAGGTCGAGTCGAGTCGAGTCGAGTCACAGAGTGTGGTCGAGTCGAGTCGAGTCGAGTCGAGTCAAGTATTTAGCTCGAGTCAATTCGAGTCACAAATATTTGAACACTAAATTACAATTAAAAGCAACAAACACAAGAGAGAAAGAATACAAGGCACCAGTCTATTACGGAAATCCAAAGACATAAAGTATGCTGTATGGTACCCTACCAACAGTTTCCATTGCTAGCTCACGTCACAGATAAGAAGATGTGAAACTTCGGTCTTATAACCGGTTTGGCTTCGGGTCTAGATTTTGTTGTTCGCTGATCGCTGACAACGTTAAAACCTAATTGCATTATACAAAACTGTTTCTGATTATTTAAAGGTGGGCCCGTCCGTATCCATTTTTTTGTGTGAAATCGGGACATGAATTTAGCCAGCGTTCCACCAAGAACTTCAAAATCGCCCGAAACCAATGATGAAACCACGGATTGAGAAAAGTCTGGTTCCGGGTTTAGCATTACATGCTATAGAACCACAAGGTGGGAGTCCGCGACACGGTGTATGTTTGTTGTTTCATTATGGAGGAAGGAAACAGACTGCCGCTGTATATAAACGTACATTATTCGCGAACATTAACGTGACGTGAACAAAAACTGGCAACGCGAACGGCGCAGCGTAAGTCATTGCAAATATTTTTCGCAAGTAAGTTTTGCTTTTATTTTGGGACTCGAGTCTTATTAGCCTTCCTCGAGTCGAGTCGAGTCATTCTGATGAGGGACTCGAGTCGAGTCGAGTCATTTGCTCGCAGTGACTCGAGTCGAGTCGAGTCATTTACCCGTCGGGACTCGAGTCGAGTCGAGTCGCCAAAAAATGTGACTCGAGTCGGACTCGAGTCGAGTCATTGACTCGAGTCATTACAACTCTGCGAACATATTATCCACTCTAACATTATGTGTCACCTTGATCAGTACATAGAGCTAGCTAGCTCTATGATCAGTACAACGTTCTCAACAATGAACAGCATGGGTTCCGCAAAGGCCGATCGTGTGAAACCTAACTCACCCTGACCGTAAACGACCTCGCTAAAATCCTAGATAACCAAGGACAAGCCGATGTAATCATCATGGATTTCAGCAAAGCGTTTGACCTAGTTCCACATCAGAGATTATTGTCAAAGCTGAAACATGTTGGGATCTCTGGCTCTCTACTCCACTGGATCAACACTTTCCTTACAAAAAGATCTCAACATGTAGTCTTAGAGGGCAGTTCATCTAGTTCAATAGCTGTGACATCAGGAGTGCCCCAGGGCACTGTGCTTGGACCGCTACTCTTCATCTTGTATCTCAACGACCTTCCGGAAGGAATCTCATCTCAAGTGAGACTTCTGGCAGATGACTGCATATTATACCGTGAAGTCCAAACTCCAGAAGACAACAAGAAACTACAAAACGACATCGATACCCTTTGTAACTGGGAGTCCAAGTGGTAGATGCGATTTAACGTCACCAAATGTTACGCCATGCACATGACCCACAAAAGGAAACCTCTTCTGTCATCTTACAAGATAAACGGCAATTCTCTCCAAACAGTCACAAATCACACCTACCTGGGAGTAGAATTAAACAACAAACTGAACTGGGCCGAACACATAAGTAACTCTACTACTAAAGCAAACAAAGTTCTTGGACTGTTGCGCAGGAATCTGTTCAGCTGCTCCACCAAAGTTAAAGAAACTGCATATAAGACCCTGGTCAGACCCAAGTTAGAATATTGCGCCAGCATATGGGATCCATACCATCAGGACCACAAAAATAAACTTGAAGCTGTCCAACGCAGAGCGGCCAGGTTCGTCTGTAAGGACTTCAGGCGCACAAGTAGTGTCTCATCCATGATCACCCACCTCGGATGGAAATCATTGGAGGAACGCAGAATCATATCCAGACTAACCTTGCTCTACAAATCCATTCACCACAAAATCGCAATTGATGTTGATCAGTACCAAGTTGATTCCAAACGGGACAAAATGTCAACTAGAAAATCATCTTCATTATCCTTTGTTCACCCTACATCTAAGAAGGACTGCTACAGATACTCTTTCGTACCAAGAACAACAGCTCAGTGGAACCTACTTCCTCCAGAAGTCAGGGAAGCTACTTCAGTGGAGTCCTTTAAGTCAAGACTCCATGAGATGCAGTTGTCTTCAACACTAAGGGGGCCTACTAACAAAATTGTTTAGGGATGCTCCTAGCCACCACGCGCCTGCAACCGTATATCCCATAGTGGAGTTTGCTTGCAGTACGCTACAGATACAGATACAGATACGGGGTGCAGCCGTATGATGTACGTACGTGGTACTATGGTGGTACGTACGTACTACACGGGCACCTGTATTATGCATATTTAATTGAATAACGCATGCGCAGTATACTGAGCAAAACGACACTTACGGCGCTCCCGACGAAGCTTTTTTTTGCAACAGTGAGTAGAGTGTTACACGCAAAAAAAACCACCTAAATTTTTTATGTAACAGCATACTTACCTGGCTCAGGAGATACCGTGATCAAGCAGGCGGTTCTCCCATTGCGAGGCCTTACCATTGCACTTCGGTGGGCTGACTGATGCGATTCCCCCAAACGTGGGGAACTCGGGAGTACAATTTCTGATAGTGGGGACTGCGTTCGCGCTCTCCCCGTGCAATAAACCAAAGAAAGAATTTGCTCGATTAACAAGGCAAACAACTCTAGGAGATTTTTTTTTAATTAGCACGTGTCACATGAATGTAGTACTGAAGGAAATCACGTGTAAATCACATGTCGAGTATTCTCATGACATAAAGACTTTACGGGGAAACATTATGCATTTTACTCCAATTTCTGGCAGATTGCAGTGTTTCATTTTAATAACAAGTCAATTCCGTCATTTCGTTGACATTATTAACAAACTCCAAACGTTCATGTACATGTACAAGATGAAAAGACCCGTTTGGAGTTTGTTAATGCACGGACCACTTGGTCCGTGGTTAATGTCAACGAGCGTGTTGAGACGAGCGAAAATTGGTGCAGTGTGTTACGAGGGTGAGAATTGGTACATACTCTGAGGGCTCGTTTTTTTTTTAATAATAGAGAGAATTGAATTTGCTTGTGCTTGTGCGTGCCCAGACTATATAGCAGTAACTATAAGGAATGGCAAGATGGGTGTGCCATAGTGTGAATCGCAGTGTCGAAGATGGAAATAACGAAGTTTGGACAGAAGACAAATATACCGGGAGGTGATATTGGAAATAGAAGAAACGTGATCAGCCCACGTACGATAGCTTGTCATCAATAAACACAACCAGAAATTGAATAGCATGAACCCTTGTTATTGGGTCATCGTCTATTTTGATGGATATGTTTCAGCTGATGGGAAAACTCTCTGATCTGCTGAGTTAAGTCTCGCTTGAGTTCAATGGCAGCTTGTTAGCTCTAAACCAAGCAGGGACATGGGAAAGATCAGAGTTGATCGTACCATGATCGTATCAATTACGGTGGAAGGATCCGTGAGGGGGAATATAAGATCATCAGCGAATAAAGTGAGCGATAATGGAAGAAGATGGACATAGATAAGAAACAGTGGAGGACGGAATGGAGCGTTGGGGAAGCTCCTTGTTTTATGGTTTGAAGATTGGAAGAACATTTGTTAACAACGGAATATTGTTTCCTAATTATGTAGATAATCAGTAACCGCTCACGAGCGTGCCATTTTGTTCACGAGTGCTAGTTTCACGAACGCACTTTTGTCACGAGCGCTTTTTTTTCACGACTTCCCCTCTTTTCATGAGCCTCCACGAGTGCCGTTTAGCGCCCTCGTATAGGAAGACGGTGTCCACCCCCCCCCCCATGATCGTCTGGTTTGAACAGCGCCCCCATGGGAAGATGGCGAGTGCCCCCCCCCCCCCCCCCCACATTTTTATTTCACGGATACGAGGCCATGCAGGTAACCCGTGAAGAAACTGTTGACCTTTCAGAACGGATGATTAGGTGAGTGCTCTTTTTTTTACGTCTAACACCCCTCCCACTCCCCCTCTCCCTTAGGTATTTGCGGAAAGATTCGAGCGTGGAAACTGGAGTTTGAATCATATCAGCAACCTTTAACTTGTGGAGGGTGGGTGTGGCCAAAGCGAAACTTACCTGTCTTTGGAGCATTCAAAACCTCGACTTACTTCTTCTACTCGCCGTCCTCCCCCTCAGCAGATTAAACACTGAATGTACTCTTCTGCCCTCTACGTTCACAGCTGTGCAAATAGGCTAAGGTGCTGTGTATATATATCTCTAATTCGTAGTCTTTCACAGCATTCAAATATTTATATTTCATTTATTCTCTTAACAGTTCATAACAAAGATACATGTATTGATATTTCTTATTGTGTATTAATGACGAATATTTCTTATGAAAACTACAAGACACCTCAATCTGAGTAAATGTGTACGTTTACTATAAGCAGACAAGTCATTTCATGAAAAGGTATACGCAATAATATTGAACGAACCATAACTAACATAAGTTATATCAAATACAATCATTTCAATTTGAAAGCCATAACATTTTTACGTATAATATGACACGTTGGTTAAAAAGTGTTAGTCTTAAGTGTTTTGAAAACCCTTCAGATAATGCTGCAAATTGTGAATTTAATGTAGATTCAAAGTTGTTAAATAGCGATGAAGTAACATAAAAATATCGAATATTTCAGTACATCGTTTACTTCATCCAACAGCAGTTTCATCCATAATCAATATATACAGCGAAATATAGCGAACAAAATCCTCAAACACAATGCTATAAACCGTAATGGCATACGCGTCATCTGCATAATGTGCTCTCTGAGTTTCTTTAAGTTTTAATCAAATGACAGTTAAAAATAGGATCATAATTGCAATAAAAAATACGAAACAGAACATGTCTATCGAGTGCACAAAGGGGAGTAAATCCCGAAGGAGATGAAGAAGGTATATTCCCTCACTTTTTCACCTCAATTTTGTGATGAGAGACCAAAAAGAATGCCTATTGTCAGGTTTTATAACTTTCAAACAGTCCAGATGAATTACATAGTTATGAGAAAACGGAGAACAGACAGTTCAAAAGCTTAATGGGAATATACAACATTTGCTTTTCCTGTAATTTTCAGAAAAGGATGGATTTGGGGGGTTAGTATTTCATAGGATATATTGTTACACTGACTTGTTTGAAGTTTTGTGTTCGTAGATGCTGGAAAAACCAAGAAAAACAACCATGTTCCTGTAGTCTGGTTCCCTGACCCCATTTAAGATGAAACAGAGCAATTTATAGACGTCAGGGAATTGTAAGGTTGGGGAAACAGTCTAGCTGGCTTGTACCCGTTCATAGGTGTGTAATCGATTGCAAACAAATGCAACCCAACTAAATAATGGTACCGGTACAGTAATTTGGGGGCAGTATTTGAAAAGAGCAACGCTGGTCGGCCGACCAACATTGGCAATTAATACAAAAATACCACTTTTCTTGAAAATGACGGCACGTCAGGTGCCATGATGTTACAGGATACTTTAGACTGTCATTTACTAAATGTCCAGTGAGGTAATTCACATTAATGTGGTAGTTTTGTTTTTGATGTTTGCAAATGCTGTATATTCCCTTTGATGCATCATGTTAATGTAATGCTAAGCATAGAGCAAGGGATGTAAACATGCAAGTTTGAATAACATGTAAATTTGTATTATGAACAGCGCCCATGTCATTTGGTGTCCAACCCACCCCCTTCCCTCCCGCTTTTCGAATTTCCACGACCGGGCAATTTTAGGAGTTTTGGCCATCCCCCATCCCCCTCAACTCACCCACGCGGATTTACGACACTGAGTGCACAAACATTATGTCAATTTCTCTTCAGAGCACCTAGACTCCCGCAAAAAAAGTCACAGACATTAAAATCGCATCCCCAATATATCAAAATACTGGGTGTCTTCTAGACGTTTCTCCTGCAGTCTTGCACTGTTGTGTTAGTTATCGTCAAACTCTGGCTTGATCACGTGATTCGCAAAGAGAGACGGTATCACGTAGATCTGAAAAGGTATGACCAATTGTGGCTTTTTATTACTGAGAGATTTGTTATTCAAAATACAAAGAAAGAAAAAAAAACTTTAAAATACATTTCAGAATTGATACTTGAAGATCCTTGAAAATCATTGGCTTTCCTGTTGTCATCACAAGCCCTTTCCAATGTTTGTGATAAACCAACAAATGCGACAGTGTGGAACATGATACAAAAAATATCAGTGTACACACTTACGTTCTCATCTGATGGATCGTTCATTTTCTGGAGCGCAGCCGTGATTTCTTTGAAGCTTGGGCGTTGGCTGGGGCGTGGCTGCCAACACTTCATCATCAAATCGTAGCTAGAAAGAAAGCCAAACCCAAATAAGTAAGCTTACTGTAGGCTTTGGGACATGCGGTGACGTATGGAAAGAGTTCTTGCCGCTATTAAGCACACTCGTTCTATACCAATAGCAGACTTCATCTGCAGCGTACCAGAGCTAAGATTATAGTGATGCCACGCCAAAACTACTCTTGGTCTTGTTTTTCTTCCACTATATAAACGCGGTGACCATCAAAATGCAGTCCTGAATTTGTATGTTTGGGATATCAGATAGAAGCTGAGAGCTTTTTCTTTCAAATACTGGAAAAAAACGATGAAAACAGCTCACTGGGTTGCTGAGAAAATGCCAGTTATGTCAAAGAAGTGATCTTCATCCTTGCCAAATGTGCTTCAAACAGTGAAGCATGTTACTGTAGGCCCACTGTGCAATTGTCTTTCATTTTGTGCAATTTCTTTAATATTTTGACATATTTATGACGCTGAAAAGGTTTAAAATAGACACTAAAAAGGATAAGATACCTGTTCAGGTGGAAAATAAAAGGTATTGCCATCAATTTCATTTGTACTCTCTTCATATTATGTGCCGTGTTGTTTGTAAGAATTAGTACACAATGCGCCACATATGCATTTTATGCACAAATATGTACAGTGTAAATCTCTTAACTGTGGTAATGCCATTGGAATGCACCAAAAAAGAGTTGTGTTACATAATTGGCATTTTCTCAGCAACCCAATGTGCTGTTTTCATGATTTTTTTTCAGTATTTGAAAGAAAAAACTCTCAACTTTAATCTGATATCCAAAACATAACAATTCATGGATCACGTTTTTGAAAAAAGGCAAATGTTTTAGGGTAGCATTATTGTTTGGGTCGCCCTGTATATAGTTTGATAAGACTACAGGAGACACGAGGATCTGATTTTGTGATTTAAATAGAATTAATCCCTCCCTCTAAAAAAGGTTGTTTACATGAGCTGTAGTGGCAACCATTGTTTTCAAAATTTCTTGGTAAAATGAAATTTTAAAAATGCTTAATTACATTTCATCTGCACAGTTTTCCGGTTTGGGCATTCGATAACCTTCCTGTAATCGCTCGGCCAAGGACTTCATCTGAATCTCCGGATAAGGCGTTGCTCCTGCAATAAACATTTATTACAATAAACCATCAAATAATAGCAACCTTTTCAAAATTTCTTGGTAAAATGAAATTAAAAAATGCTTACTATAATTTAAAAATGCTTAATTTAGTACAATAAACCATCAAATAATAGCAACCTTTGAAATAAAATAAAGTGTAATACAATTTTTGCTTTACGCTGTACGTGATAATTAATCAGGATGAACATCCAAAGAATTTTCATTTTTGAAACTGAAGAAATGTGAGCAGTTCGGAAAGACAAAGTCATATTGACAAATGAGGATGCAACACGGTGTCATGTACGATTCTCTAACAGTCATGCGTAACAGCCATCTTAGAGGGCAATGGTTTTGCTTTTCTTGGATGTGCATGAATGAACCTTTTGTGCACTGATTGTTACTGAATTTTAATAACAAAAGAGGACCTCTAACATGGCCGCTGCGCCTAAGGTCTATTAAACCAATCGTAATAATAAACCAATCGAAAACTGCTCACACAACCTGCTCTATAGCATCTATTTATATGAACATTTGTGGAGTGTCATGGCCTAGCGGTTAAGAGCACCGGACTCATGCTCTGGTATTTCAGAGGCAACAGTGACGTGGGTTCGAGCCCGGGCCCGGACACTTGTGCCCTTAAGCAAGGCACTTAACCATCATTGCTCCGTCCTTCGGATGGGACGTCAAGCCGGAGGTCCCGTGTGCTGTATAAGGCCTAACCCACGTAAAAGATCCCAGTAACACTTATCGCAAAGAGAAGGGGTTTGCCCCGACGTTTCTGGCCTCCTAGTTATACTCTCTTGTGGAAGTCCTTAGGAGAAGAACCAACCGAGTACCAAGTATTTAGAAGCTGCACATATTAAGTTTTTTACCAAATGTAGCTATCTCCCACAGTACGATCCCAAACGACCACCTGGAATAAGATGATCAAAACCTCCGATTTAGAATAAAATAACTAGCAAATCTATTTTGCTTCAATTTCAAATTTGAAATTCTTGAAAGCTATTATAGTTGCGTTTATTACCAAAAGTAATTATCGAATTATTCTCAAAAGACTTACATAATCTGATTAAAGATCGTAAATCAGGGATCGTGCTGGTACTATATATACACACCCCGTGAAATTATTCAATCTGGATTACTGGCATTTAGAAGGAATCTGGAAATGTAGGTGATTTCCAACGATTATTCAACCGACTGATATTTTGAAAATATAAAAGAGTGCTGTTGACGAAAGCGTGTTTCGTGGTCAAAGGTTGTGCAATGTTTTTGTCACTGTTTTCTCGAAAAGTATAACACTGAGCTGAAACTGTAACAGGTTTGTGAATTTAACATTGATCTTGGGATTTTGAGTGTTGTTATTATTTGGAAGGAAACAAATGCATGAAAAACAATTTGATCCTGTATATGATGCCCTGTATGCTGACGATTACTTACACATCGCTCTTAGATTTGTACACCTGCCGGGTCAAAGACTCGATGGCCAACCAGCGGTAAGGAACTTTGGTCTAAGCCAGTACCAGTTGCATGCAAAGAAAACGAAGATGTGAAACAAGTGGAATTAAATTAGCTCAGTTAAAAAACAAAGACGGATATGGAGGTTTAGAAATCTTTACCAATAATTATGAAATAAGCTGCATAAAAGGACAAATTAATATAACTCATTAACTAATTGTATTTGGTGTCGATGGCATTAAACTAAAAGTGAAATAGAATGGTGAATGTTTGAAATCGCCCTCTAAAAGCGAAAAAGAAGTCTTGTAAACGAATCTGAATGAACCTAAACGAAAGGTGCTGCTCAGTCACGTAATTGATTGAACTGAAATGGAATCGAATGCTCTGGTAGCGAAAATGAAACGCGTGTTCAGAGCGATTCTCAAATTCAGACGAAAATAAATGACCGATTTTCAGAAGTGAATGAACATTTTAGGAATTTGGCCGGGAAAACCTATACTAAGCATTATTTTTTAGGGTAATGATGGATAGTGCTTAGCAATTAAACATTGATTTTTAGGCATTGGACACGTAATGTTTAGCTTCTAAACACGTTTACAAAGGGATAGCAAGAGTTTGTTTAATTGCTAAAGACAATTTTTGGAGTGTGTGTTTTAAGAATAAATTTCACATGAAGATCAATGTACAAATTTCACCTGGTGAAATTCTGGACCTGTCTACTTAATGAATATTCTAGCAATGAGTATATTGAGGAAGTGACAGCTTTACATGTGATTGCTGAACGTAGATATCCTCTCTTCGAGATAGGCCAAAATCAGAAATCTTGGCGGTCAAGTCTTCACCGAGGAGTATGTTCCTTGCAGCCAAGTCACGGTGAATTACCTATGTTAGAAATTAAGAAGATATTCATCTTTTCGATAATAAATCAACCGCCATTTAGAATGGTTGAACACCGAGAGTATTCGGCGCTTGGCACAAATGCCTGAGAGCTCTTCACGTATCCTTTACCCAATTGTTTGGGTACCGTTAGAATTTCTGTTAAATTCAACCAAAACTCAGTGTGGTCATGCAAGACCAAATTAAATTTAGTCCGGTATGATCACAAGTTATGGTTGAATTTAACAAAAATTCTAACCCAATCAATTGGGTAAAGCACAACCCAATTTTGGGTAGTTGAAATGTTCACCCTTGCTTGGGTAAACTTAACCCAGGTAATTTTTCAGTGATACGCGGTAGTTAGAAATCACGGCAACCTGTTCGCACCCGCACCGTTACCCATTTAAACATGTACTCCTGGAGGAAGGCAATTGAAGTAAAGTGTCTTGCTCAAGAGCACTGTCTGTATAACCACCATAATCCTCGTGTCGGGTTTTGAACTCCTATACCACCGTATTCATCGGACCATAGACATAATGATATTTTTTTCTCGATCTGTTAGAATAGCTTGACGCTGTTTATAAATAACTTAATTGAACACGGGAATGTATAGCTGGCAGAGCACCGCAACGGTTATCCGGGGCCTCGCAGGTTCAAACCCCGCTCCAGTAAGGTTCTTCTTTTAACCTTCAAGTAATCATAGTACACCTAGTCAGTTTCCCTGTGTGGTTTCTTTCAATAATATAACAATAATGTGGTGCTTGTGTATCGCTTGATACCCAACGCCTCAAAGAGCTTCACGACTTTATCCCTGTTCATAGGCAATGGACCATTTTTTTTCTGCAGCAGCTCGGGATCAGCGCAATCTGGTCTCTACTTTCACAGGTACCCACATATATCCTGAATGGAGAGAGGTTATCGAAGTAGGCCTAAAGTGTCTTTCCCAAGAACACACGCATCATTTCCCCGTCAGGGTTCGAACCCACGTACCACGGTACATGAGTCGAACACCGTAACCACTGCACCAAGGTGCCTGTATTCAAAGAAAAAAAAATTAGATCTTTGATTAATCTCGACTGGAAGTCCGTACCCCACTGTCGGAGAGGTGATTCATTCCTCGGGCTATGTCTATGCCGAATGTCAGCAAGTTGGAGGAAGTCAGCGGTGATACGCCATCATCCGACCTCATTGCCTCCTGCTGCCTCGGGCGAGTGCTCCTCAGGTAGTCACGCAGGTTGCCGTTGGGGAGATACTCAAGAGCAACGTATAAAATGGCTATGTAGTAAAAATGAATCGCTGGTCAGAATACATATTACAATTGGTGTAATTCACTGTCGGTAAGAAAAAGGGGTTGAGTTTGCCCTGATTAATATTTGGAATAATTTTTGTAAACAAGGACCTGGCATGCAGTTTATAAAGTCATCGCCTGAGAAGTGCAACCTTGACATGGGCAAATTCGTAAATTTCTTGTTCTCATCGAATGTGTTGTTTGCCAAAAGACTTCAATCCTGTATACCATTGATGAGAGTTCAGTCAAAAACAACCCGTTATACTTTTCAAAAGAAAGCAGCAGTGACGTAACTAGGGGGGGGGGGGGGGCACGTGTGCCCCTGGGGCCTGGGTGCCGCGTTTAAAATTTTGAATTGAACAACAATATATCTCATTTGCCTTCAATGCCCCCTTGCAAAAAATGTAGGCACCCCAATTACCCCAGAAGTTTAACCCTATATTATGCCAATGGAAAGCACATAGGGGTAAAAAAAGAATTTTCCTGCCAACCTAGAATTATGAAACAAAATAATGTTCACGGTATTGGTATCCTAAGAATGATTGATTAGATAGTTGATTACCTTCGTGCAAACAAGCGCCCATCAGACCAACTACGTTCGGGTGTGGCTTGATTCGTGCCATTGTCTTGAACTCGGCTAGGAAGTTCTCAGAAGCAGCCGTTGTAACTTCTGTGATAAAAAAAGAAAAGAACCTTTTGATTATTACTCTCTTTTGCATTAAAACGGAACACATCCCGCGCTATCAAAAATATGACATGATCAAAGTAATCACTTTCGATCTTAGGCGGATAACAAAGTCAATCTATACTTGCATTGAAAAATTGCCTGGGTTAATTTTACCCAAGCAAGGGTGAAAACTGCAACTACCCAAAACTGAGTTGTCCTTGACCCAATCGTTTGGGTTAGAATTTCTGTTTAATTCAACTAATACTTGTGGTCATACCAGACTAAATTTAATTTGGCGTTGTATGACCGTGCACAAGTTATGGTTGAATTTAACGGAAATTCTAACCCAACCAATTGGGTAAGCACAACCCAATTTAGGGTAGTTGCAGTTTTCACCCTTGCTTGGGTAAAATTAACCCAGGCAATTTTTCAGTGTGGTTGAATCGTGATTTTATTTTTTTACCTCTGATAAGGGTCTTGATGGCGACTTTAGACACTACTCCTCTGATTTGGAGACGGCCTGCTCTCACTACCCCAAAGTTTCCCTTGCCAAGGACCGTATCCTCAATCGTGAGATTCTGCCATTGGATTTCCAGTCTCTTAGCCCAAGATGGTAAACCAACGTCTTCGTTAATGTCCGTCTCAATGTCTTCTGCGATCGGTGACTCAATGCCACGCGCATTAGATTTGCTGATGACAGAGAGATCCTACATTTTGTCCAGGACAAAACAAAATTTACGCACTCTAAAGCTTCACTTATAGTGTGTACATTTCTCACCAAGAAATGTGAGAAAAACGGTGGTCCAGAAATACTTTTGGGAATGTTTTATGATCAAGGTCGACACGCCCCACCCCGTTTTTTTAACACTATCCAATTTTAAGCAAGAAATACAAATTCTCCATGCAACGGTTTTAATTGGATACACAAAAATTTGAATTTAGACGTTTTAAAAAAGCTTTTAAAACTTGTTCAATATCGTTCTCTCCCATCTTTACTTCTCTAAATACCAAGCGACCAAGGCTAAACTTGTACATATATTAGAAAAATATGTTATTACATATGCAAGATATTAACACTGCAAAGAGATTTTTTTCAGTTCGTCTTTAATCTACTAAAGTGACAACTGAAATACAAAAACTGCCCTACAACTTCTTGAGTGAGTTGGAGACTTACGAGTTCTTCAGTACCGCCATGCCTCGGTGTAGGAGTGCCGTTGTGGCTGCGTTTCCTCCGCACCACGCAGCCGATGATGACACAAACAGCGATCGCTAACAGTACCCCGAGAACGATAACTGCTATGATTGGGACTTCGATTGGTGCATCGGTTTTACCGGCTTGTTTAGGTACAAATAACAGTAGCTTGCGATTACTATAAGTTGCATAAACATTATACGCATTTGCTTTTCATGCATTCTTTTTCTTCAAATAACAGGCCCTAACATCACTCATAATTCAATAGAGAACTGTTCAAAACCAAACTTGTTGAAGTTTCAGCTCAGTGGATATGACACTTTTCGAGTAAACAGCTAAAACTTTTTAATCACGAAACATGATTTCGTCTATAAAACTTCATTTCTAAAAGTAAGTCAGTTGACTGATCGTTGGAAATCACCTACATTTCTTGATTTCTTCTAAATGACAGCTAGCCAGACGGAACAATTTCATTGGGTGTTTAGTACCAGTACAATCTTTACTCCAAGTAAGCTTTTCGATAATAATTCGGCAGGTTTGTGTTTGGATAAATGCAAATGATTCTATATATATCCCTTTAAAGGATATAATGAACACGTCGAACAGTAAGCAAAAACCCACCTGTGACGCTTAGCGGATCCGAAAATCTCACGTTGGCCTCCTGTTATTAAACGAAGCAGAAGAAATCTATCAAAATCAAGAACCCACAACATTGCCTGATGATGATCGTTGGTTCGTGGAAACAACAGCGTGTCTATAATTAGGGAGGATAATCCAATGTCATCTACGCATGATGACACCAATCAATGTCTTCGCACGGAGGAATTTTGTATGGCGATTTTTAGGTTTCATACCATATTGTTGACTTTGCTAACTGCCCCAACGCTTATCCGGTAGGAAGCACCAGTTATCAGAGGAGCGTTGTAGTAGCCGCCGTGCATCGAGGAATCCCCAACTGTGAATGGCATTGTCACATCAGCATTCGGTATCTCAGCTGTTATGTAGTCATCAGCGGAGTCGCGGTGGTGTATGGGAACAAGGGCTTCCCGCTTTGCCACTGAGAACTCTCGCTGCACTCTAATGACGTACGATCTTGACATAACAAAATTGATTTTAAGACCATTCAGTTCTTCAAATTTGGTGAGTAAAACACCTGTCAGTGCTTTGTAGATTTTTTTCAAGTGTCAGGTTCTTTCAATTCCAATCACATTAAACAATACCTAGTTTTGGAGGACTGAGTCCAGGACTCGGACTCGAGTCCTTGTCGAGTCGCAGTTTTGGTGACCTGAACTCGACTCGATCTACACCGCCTCACGCATTCTTTAACCAAAACAAAAACCGTCTTAAAAACGCACAATTTTGATGTTTATTTTCCGAAAATAACGCCGCTAAAGAATTTTAAGCACACGGACCGCTCTCCAGGTGGTTTACATGTAGTTTTGGCCTACGTATAAAATGAACTTGTGGGTCAATAGAGCATGAAAGTTGACCTCAAAAACTTGCGAGAAACAGCACTTCCAGGCACCATGTACATGTATATAGGATCTATACAACATGTGTATTGTCCTATTGTTTTTGCATTTATTTTGTGTACTGACTTGGCCCAATCAAGGGTAATAAATGGAAAGAAAAAGAAAGCATTTCGATTTACAACATATTGACACAATTGCGAATTGCTGACTGTTATAAAATTAAATATGTTGACCTCAACTTCCGTTCAATCGATCATCACGCAGATTACATTGGGTAAATTCAAACAGTGCTTGGAAGCAAGACCTTCACAGAAACAGGGAACGCGGACTCGCGAAACTTAGGTATGCACAACCAGTGACTCGGACTCGGACTTGAATCAATTATGACTCCAGACCGAGACTTCACTGTGACCCAAGTGACTCGATTACAACACTGGTGTCCTAATAGTATCATATGTATAATATTTTGTTGGCCGTAAGATGTGGAAAAATATACATTTCACCTGAAGAAAAGAAAAGAATAATTCTTACGCGATATATTTCGAGTCGACTCCTGTTAGACCAATAGTAACTGTCGTGTCTGTCGTTTCTTCAGGGAATGTTCTCACAGGCAAAGGTTGCGGTATATCTACATGCATTAAAAAACATATGGACAAAAACATTCGATTTTCAGCCCTAAATTGTTAAAATTCTGTGTTTTCTTAAATAAGAGGATTGCAAGATGAATAAATTACTTTATACAACACCTGAATAAATCCCCGTCATCTGATTGGTGGGTCGTTGATCACATGTCTTTGGCTTGTTCGTCCCTACCGGCCCCACGGCAAAATAGCAGTTCTATTCCACGGTGAATAGAAGTGCCATTGCACGGTCACACGACTGGTGGCTCTGACCAATCAATCGCCTCGAATGGAACATTCCATCTGTCACCTCATGAAATTATTCTTACCACTCACAAACATTCAGTATTTGTATATTACCATTCAATGGTTTTGTGAACACTCTACGGGTTGTTTGTTTTCCCGTGTTCTCCTGGTTTCTCGCAGAAACTCCAAACTCGTACTCAGTGCCAGGCTCGAGAGCATTATTGTCGTATCTTGGACCATCGACATCTGTTCCTGTGTATTCACTGCCTGCTACGAAATTCTCCTCGTATGGCCTCTGGACAACTCGGTATTTTACCTAATGTAAGGAACAAAACCGATTACAAACACTTTATCTGGAAAGGGGACGCAGCAATCAACGATGCAGCGTATTATTCGCCGGTAAATATTATACAAAGTGGGAGGAATATTCTCGCAAGGTAAAATCTGGACGTTATGGCCAGAGGTCGTGGTTTAAACTGAATTGACGTCACACTAACGAACCGGTAAACACCATGCCAAATAACTGAATTGTCGCATAATCAGAACACACTTCAAATCAGATAAAAGATATAAGACCTACTGTGTAACCCGCTATCTGCCCCATCGGATCCAGAGGCTCATCCCACTCCAAGGATATCGAACTGTCGGTTATATTTGTTGGACGAAGATTTCGCACAAATCCTGGGACTAAATAGAATTTCAAAAAAGGAAAAAAAATATCTTAAATCATACTTTTCTCAAGCCTTTACTGCATTACCAGAGGGTAAGAGTCAAATCACATCCGGAAGATAACTAAGAACATTGTATGTTTGAGAAAGTCTCAAATATGACAATGATTTGAATTAATTCACGTTCTATAAAAATGGGTTTTGTTCTCCTTCTTCTACCTTTATCTGTCAAATTTTCCCTTTACTTCTGGGGCATTATTAAATCTAAGAAATCTAAGTAGTTCTACATACTTTGTGATTTTTGTTAATTTTTGTGTTTTACGATTTTTACAGATTTTTATGAATACATGTAATGGAAAACATGTCAGTTAGAGATCACCATACCTCCTATTTGAGTGAAAGCTGTGACTGTGTTGCTCCATAGACCGGCACCTGCAGATGTTTTTGCCCGAACCTAGATTGTTGTATAAAATAATATAACATTATTGAAATTATTCGATGGCTTTAATAATACCAATTATCGTAATTTTATTTGACATTTCCACGGCCCACAGTCCTGAGGAGTGAGGGTTAGAATACACTGTCTACACAAAATGGATTTGTGTTATAGTTTTGTACCGTGTTATAGTTTTGTACCAAGCATGTAAGTTTTTGTAACGTGTTATAATTTTGTATCGTGCTATTTATGTACCGTGTTATAGTTTTGAACCGTGTTATAGTTGGGTACCCGTGTTGAAGTTTCGACCGGAGTTCGAGATGTAAACCTGAACAAAGAAGTTTGCAGCAACTTTGAAGCCTTTAGGTCATAATCATTTCACGAAAATGAAGTGTGAGACTTGTTTGTGTTAAGTTATATATACCTGAATATGATACGTAGTAGACATTTCCAGACCATCTAAGCGATACACGAGCGGCGTCACACCAACGTTATTTCGCAGAGTTTGTGTCCCAGCGTCAACCGACTTCCAGTAAGCAATGTCATAGTTGGTGATGTTACCATTCGGTGAGCTGGATGGTGACCAGGTGACGGTGATTGACACGTCATCAACGTTCTGAATGTTGACATTTACAGGCGCGGATGGCTCTGTGAGAAAAAAAAATAGTTGCAGAGAGTACTACTTTATCGTTTTGGCCTCCTTGACATGAGAACTTAACTATTGTTTTCTCAAAAACCTACCTGCTTCCAATGTGGTTATACTAATAGGTTCACTGTACATTCCCACAGTTCCTGCACTGATCATGGCGGCAACTTGAAAGCTGTACTGGGTGTATGGTAACAAACCGTCAATGGTCACTAATTTCTCTGTTGTATTGGAAAGTCGCAGCACAGCACCAGATCTAACATCGGTTAGTTTGTAAACGAAGCAAACGATAGCGATTGCGCATTGCGATTGCGGATTTCGCCAGGAAAAGCTGAGGCTGCGCTGCAACACGGCGGTCGGTGTCACCTCCACTGGAGACGTTTCGTGGCCTGGAGCTAGGAAGATGGAAAATAAAGTTTTTAACGGTAAGGCCAAAAGGCCGTCGATGTAAAAAAAAAAAAAACCACCTTTCATTCAATTCATTCTATGCAAGTCGTTTGATGTAGGCCAGCTATCTTACTTAAACACTGGCAGTTGATTCCAATGAACGACGAGTCACAAACGCCATTGCTGCATTCCCCAGTATCTTTACTGCAGGTGTCCCCAGGTACACAGTGACATGTCTGCTTACAGTCAGCTCCATACTTCCCCTCTAGACACTCTGACAAGGAGAACAATTCCAAGGAAAAATATGTTACAACGATTGTATACAAATTGTATACCTTAGGACCGGTAAGGAAGTGTTGTTTTAGAGGCTTCTCTACGGCCACTTTGTAGTGTGTCGGGTTGTAATGAGTGAAAAGTATGCACATTTATGCGCAACGTCCCAACCTGATTTGCATATATGAATATTTGTGGTATTGAGGTTCAACACACTACCACACCTCTCAGAGGAATACAGGTCCAATTCAGTAAAGTTGTGAATTCACACTCGGCACCATAACAGAATGGGACCTATTCTTATTTACCTTGCATGCAGTCTAGTCCCGTGAATCCTGCAGCACACGAGCATCCGTAAGGATCAGCAAGACAAAACAACCGACCCCGGCAAGCAGCGTCGTGTGGATCGGTACTATTGGAGCATTTCTGACCGGCATTTTGACCGAAAACATTTCGGCCAAAAACTAAATGAAAAAAAATCGAGCGTTGCGGTAATCGCTGGTTTTCTATCAAGTTATATCATTTCATTGCACTTTATGAAACATGGTTACACTTTCAAACATGCGTAACTTAAAAGCTCTTCTCCTACGTTTCTGGCAGGTTGAACTATATTCCTGTATGGACCAGAAAACAGAACAGGCCTAAACATTCTAGAAAAGAATTACTGAACAGGGTGAGGCAAAAAAGGGAAACCAAATGTCAGGACCATTTCTTTAATGAGGTTCTGCATGCAGCACTTTCAACTTCTAGGATATGAAAGCCTAAATAATAAGCTTTCTTTTAGTGCAAGAATCATTCAAATTACTCAGGTTCTTTTCAAGTACAATTCACATAGGGATGTACGTGAATTGTTTTCGTTTTGCTGAAAGAACACTTTCCTTTTTTGTGATCCGTGGAAAAAAGTTTAAAACGGTGTTTGTGTTCTAAATTCCGTAACTTGAAAAGTACATAAGTGATTTGAATGATTCTGGTTCTAAAAGAAACTTGTTGATTTGGCTTTTATCTCCTACGTTTTGAAGGTGCTACATGCAGAACTTCATTAAATAATCGGTCCTGCCATTCGGGTTTCCTTTCCCCCCCCCCCCTTTTTTTTTTTTTTTTTTTTTTTACTTTACTCACCCCCTGTATAATGTATTTGATTATGATTAACTTAGAAACCATGTTGAGAGTTATACCTTGCTGACAGTTTTCCCCGCTGAAACCCGGAGCACAGATGCACCTGCCCGTTTCTTCATCACAAACTCCTCCGTTGAAACATCGACGACAGGTGTTCAGACACAACGGTGGATCCCACATGCCTGCAGGACAACCTGGATGAAATCAAACAAAAAACGCCAAAACATTTGCAGCTTAAAGTTTGTACGGACTCTTTCCTAAAGCATCTGAACATTGCACACGCTTTTGTTGTATTTATATACCTCGTACAATGAGTCTCATGATGCCATGCAGTTGCTGATCCTCCTGGCCCGATACGAAGCAGCCGTAGATTCCTCCATCACTCACAGCAACATCATCAATAGACACAGTGAGCTGACCATTCCAAGATGTGATGACGTCACCTCCATTATGCCGCCATCTGTAGTTGGTGTTTGGTGAATTCACATTTCGCATTTCAAGTTGAACTGATTCTCCAACATTTGCTATCTGCATTCTGCTAACAGGACGTATATGAACTACACCTTCATGAAAGACAAGAGAAAAAAAACCAACTTAACAAAGCGTGGGTGATTAATCCCAATCTCAGAGGCGAATTTCTTTGAAGATGTCTGCTTTGCATGCGGCCATAAGGCTTTCACATATAATTTATACGAGCGACCAGATTTACCATCTTTAGGGAGAATGATGGTCTGTATCCTCGTGTTCATCCTGCCAGCTCTGGTCGCCTCACAATAGAAGACACCCGTTCTGTCGATCCCGCCCTCCTCAGGTAAATTGAGCTTTCTGACCTGACATCCGAGCAGTGGGTCTTGTAGCTGATTTGTCACTGACGGAAGGTCGTTACTACTTCCTCCTGTTGTCACTTGTCGACCGAATGAGACATCAGCGGAGATATCGTTGGGACCTTTGTAAGCTGCAATGATCGCATCATCGTCTCCAGTTTGACCGAGTAGAGCAGGGTTGGTGACAAGAGTAAAATCCACCTCCCCACCTATTTTGATAATTGAAACAAGGTAATGGCGATGACCAGCCCTATCCATACCGTTAATGGGCTCCTATGATTTTGATAGTCAATATATCTGTGCATTACGTGACACCTCAAAAAGGTAGGCCTACAACTTCTTTGGTTCCAAGGTGCTAACAGAAACAAACCTTTCCACCTTTTCTATTATATTTTTGTAAGACCGCGTACGTGTTCTTTGATATCACGTATAACCCAGTCATTTCTCAGGTCCTCGTCAGCTTTGGATGCAGTAAAATTACTACTTCAAATCATGTGTAGGCTATACGTCAATGGCGTATGGAGAAAAGGAGGCCTGAGGTTCAGGGGAGGGGTGGAGGATGTACTCAAACTAACAAGCTATAGCCTATTATCAACAGCAGAGAGTGTTGACCACTTCACAGTCACACAGTTGTTCGTTTTACAACTCACCCCCTCCTTCATTATCCACGTATTCTCCAACCATGACTTCACGCATGTGAATGATTTTATTGGTACCAGGGAGATCCACGCTGACGTAACGGGCGGTGACCGCTGGGTCTGCTATGATCTCAATGGGTCGCGTTCTATCGATGGCTTGCTCAAGTGTGACCGTTCCTATCGCTCTGTTCGATACGCGATCTGGATTCAGCCCTGCTCGTACTACTGCACCTGCTATTCGGGGAGCTGTAATGATGGGAGCACATTGACTTTAAGCTATGCTTTAAGATTGTGTGATTAGAGTTTTAGTTCGTTTAAGAGCGAATACCATTTTTACAGTAAAACGATAAAAAGAGCTAACCCAAGGTAGGTCTATACCAAACTTTGGAAACAAAAGAAGTTATTTCTGTTTATTCTTTAAAGTTACTAAACAGACGCGATATACTCTTGTAACTTTGTAGCTTTCAACTGTGTATTTCCATATACAAGCATTGGAGGAAGACGATAGACGTTATATACAACATACTAAAATTGGGGTGGTTAAATCAATGTAACACGTTTAAAAAATAATGTATTCAAGGGAAGATTGTGCAATTAAAGGTTTGCTATGTTTTTTGAGATTTTTTTCTCGTTTGAAGAAATAAAATTGCTCAAAATCTAAAGTGGAGTGCTTTATAACATACAGGCCCTATACCTGTTGAAGTTTCAGCTCAGTGAATACTGTAGATACATTTTAAGAAAAATAGAGAAAGTTTCCGTTGGTGGCGGCGTTTCATTTGGTCCTTTTGCTGTTTCGGTTGTAAGATGCAGTCGCTACGACTTGTTGGGATTACCCTGCTGTGACAAGTCAGTTTACAATATTCCTGCTCAAAACTATCGATTAACCATAGACAAAAATCAACATCACACAGATTAAACATCACACACATCACGGCGACATTTACCACAGTCGCTTCCAGGCTGATCGTCGCACGTGTAGTCTTGTCTGTTAACTATAGTGATATTTCTCAAGCAGTAGGTAGCTTCCAAGTCCAATCTCCACCACGGATTCGTCTTTGCTGCATCTGTGTTAAAAGCTGTGGACAATTCAGTGTACAAGACGCCATTTATTAATGCCTTCAAAATTCGTGTCGGTGTTACGTGTCCTATATAGGCCTAATTGATTTCTCAAGTGACGTCATCACTTTCCTTATACCATTGTATTGAAGCAACTAATCGCAGGTCCATTCTGATTCAGCTTGTGAACAAAATCGCTTAAATTAATGGCATAAGCGGCGCTACGTGCTCCATGTCGAAATAAATCGACAAATTACATGTGTATGGATTTTTTTACATTCATTTGTTTTATGTTATGTCTTGCAACACTGATTAAAAAAATCATTATAAAGGAAAAGTTGTCCAGGTCTAGACAAAAATTGGTAAAAAAACTGTCATCAATGATGTGTACAAACAAAATGAGTAAAATATGCAGCATCAATAGCTATTAACATAAATGTATAAAAAAAAAAAACACATTGAAAACAGGGAAACATTCAAACACAGCCGGTAATTAAACACACAGACAAAACGACAACTACACATTTGAGTGTTAGGGATCAACCTGCCTGTATGCGATCGGGTGCCAAGATTTCCGTCCACAGCATTCTCTGCTTCGTCATGAGGCCCAGCGGTTGAGCTCTGTGTGGCTGGTTTCCCAACAACATCCAAGGATACTCCTGTGGTTTCAACATACATACAACAGGATTAGACCCATCAACCGAGCGATCCGATATGTGTATCAGATCCAGCGGGGGTGGGGGATTTGTCTTTGGATGTGGGCTTGAAAAGTACAATCAAACTACCCGACCCATATAAATGCAAGTTGTCCATTATTTTTGTCCGTCTCATAAAGCTGGGGCCACCCCTATCAATATTATACACCCCGCCACCTCAATCTTTGTTTCTTTATCTAAGAACCAATACATATCTGACATAAGAGCAAAGTTGACTCATGGAGGTGTTCCCTACCTCCATGGTTTACTAGATCATGGCAATTCATACTTATTTTCATTGAGTATATTTTAGTGCATGTGCAAAATGTGCCATCACGGTAGGCCTATTGCGCGCGTTAGAAAACATCAAGCTAAACATTACAATGGATTCACATCATTTTTTTCTCACCATTTTCATCATTTCATGGTTTTAAAATGCAACAATCTATTTTATAGTTGATGGTAACCACTATTAATAGGCCTATTACGCAAGTTACCTCTGCTAAGAAGATACACAACCATCAGAAATAACGACGCACGGGCATGGTACGGGCGTATTAGATAGTCCGCCATGATCACTGAACAGGAAGTATAAGTCTAGAAAAATATAACGACGGCATATTATATATTTCGTTTCGGTATTATTGTACCAACAATGAATAATACGCTTTGTCCCCCTTCCAACTGCTTTTGTGCAAGAAATATAAAGTCAATAAAATGTGTGCATTGTACCGTACTAAAGCCTCCTTTTCAACTGATTTTGTGCCAGACCCAGCATATAATGTATTGAACGTAATACCGTATATAAGGAGTGCGTTCGATTACTTCCCCCAGCTTACCCGCGCCTGGCTCCTGACAGACATGCGCAGTGGAGCTAAATAAACGAACGTTTTCGGGTACCCCCCCCCCCCTCGCAACGTCCATGGCTGGAAAGTTGAATTTTGACACGACACAAACGGAAAAAATGTTGTAACCTGACGCCACTTTTTTTCTTCATATACCATCTCAATGAAGGTCATTCATTGCAAAAATGATGATAGGACATGAATTTGGGACTGAGAAATATTTCCAGTTTTGTTAGGAAATACTTAACAAATTTTCTTCACTCTCCATAGACTTTGTACACAATCGCGGAAGTGGCGTCAGGTTGCAACATTTGTCCCAGGCTGCACCCGAATCAATTAACTGTCTAGAGAACTGTCTAGAGCTCTAATGCTCCGTGGTAGCCCGTTTCGGACACGGCCTCGAGCTATGAGGCGCCCGCCGGACGTTGCATGGCCTTATGGGATACCAACCCAAGTAACCGGCTCGGCGAGTCGGTTACTTGGGCCAGGCTCGAGTAAGCGCGAGTAGTCACGTGAGAGTAAATCGAACGCTGTCGCACTTGCACGAGTAAGCGCGGAGGAAGTAATCGAACGCACTGAAAGCAAGGTCACAGGTCGTGGACTCCATGCGTGCACGAACGGTATAGATGGCGCTTTCTCAACCACTTCGAATAGCCTATCCGCTCCGTTCACAATTACCCCCTCACCGGCAAAGGAACAGTTGGGGGTGACCGACCGACGCCATCTTGCCTGACTGCAATTTTGCTGCGACGCGCGGCCGTACCACTGCGTGTACAAAGTACAAATCCCCTGGTGTACGTGCGTCACACACAAGGAAAGGTGCGCATGGCTAAATGTCCCGCCCATGGGACGTCGTTGCTAGGTTAAAGGAGGCCCTCTTCGTTGGCGCACGGAACCCATAGTGGACGAGACACGCCGCGTTAGTGTTTCGCTATAGAAACCACGTCTAAGTTGTAGGGAAAACAATCGACCGCCAAAAAGTCAGCTGTGAATGTCATATAGACGTTATGAACAGCATCTCTAAGCGTCAAATCATGTCCCTTGCTCCCCCCCCCTTCGATTTTTCCGGCGACTTCTGATGAGTGCATAGCCCCCCCCCCCCCCCCCCCCCTATAGAAATATCCTGCCAGTCCGGGAATCTGTGATATTACACTCCAGGAATTTGAGAAACAAACCCTGGTACGCACACAACCCCACCCATTCTCTTCTGGGCTTGATTCCGCGACGACATCTTGATAGTCTAGGCCTACGATGGTCCCGACTTGAGAATGTTTATCGCCCTCGTCAACCAAATGAATCAGATGCGCGCCATCCTCCAATCAGGCCTTCGACACATCCATCACCTACTTGCGTGCATCATTTTCAAGGTACGTGTACATCGTTTCAAAACCACGGGCATCCTAGACAATGAAGTCTACAAAAAGCCTACCTAGGGGCATAGCGCCTACATTGACAGATCATCTGCACACCCATAGTACGCAGATGTCTTTATCAAAGGAGAAACCCTAATAACATCAGAAACACAATTCACAAAGAGTTTTTCACTGACAAGGTCAAAACATTCACGGATCATTATAAACTCATCAAAAGAGGCTACACAATTAGGTGAAATCAATAGTGGTGACAAACCCAATACCCCACTCCACATGCCAAAAATCTGATTCACCGAGCTAGACAGAGGCAACAAAACTCAAACAATTCCCCTCGTACTCACACATTCAACCCACACATGAAACAAAGAGACGTGACGTGAAAAGCAATCCTCAAGCACTGGTCATCTATTCAAAGAAGCCCTAGGCTACTCGTAGGGAAATCTTCCATATCCCCCCTCTCCCCCCCCCCCCAATGGTAGCTTACAAAAAGGCCGATAACATTATGGAAAAGTTATTAGAGCCAAACTGAACCCAACCGGACACTAAACCCCAATCTGGATGATTTTGTCTTAATCAGAGGACACCCTGAGCACTCAATACTTGTCTCACTATATTTGACTTTCTTCATCTTCCCAATATCCTCGGAACCCTTGGGTCTATCTTGGGTCTACTATCTCCCAAACACACGGCCATACCATTTGTACTTCAAATCTAAGCAATATCCCGGTTCTCAAGAACCCATAAGGATGAGCCCTATTGGTGGGCGCGGACATCCGGGAAGTTTTACAATGGCTTATCTATCTCCAACGCCTATGTTTCTTAAAACTCATCGGTTCCGATCTGGAATGCTGGATGGCACAAGCAAATGAATATTATATGTTTTCATCGGATGACGTTACTCCGTCCCAATCTACAACATGAAAAAGCATTCCCGCTCACCAAAAGGAAACATTTATCATCTCAAGTCTCAACACCATTTTGATATTGGTATTTCTGCTTGTAGCAGCAACCTGGAACGATGGCCCAGTGTAAAAAGTTGAACCTTTGAATGGGAGGTTTGCGGTATTGTGAATGATATCTCTTTAATGTGAGTTGCGTGGTTCTGAGAAGAACCAATTGGTTTAACTCGACGTTTCGAACAGTGTGCTCTACTCGTCATCAAGAGACTACCCAACTCTTGTTGGTGTAGTAGTTTAAGGAGTGGCCGGATGCTAGGTTCAGTGGACCGTTAAGGCGGGATATTCTGGAACAAGATGCTAAGATGCTGGGTAGGATTATGAAGTGGGCTGTGCGTGATCACTGAAGCATGTCAGAAGATGGTGGTACAGCTAGGATGAACATCAAGCAGAGTGCTTGATGCTTGATGCTTGGTGTGTAGACTCCTTAGAAGCACATTGCTTGTCCAAGGAGAAGTCGAGGTGACTCAAGTTGTGCAGTTGTGCAGGTGCGGTAGAGATACAAGTGCAAGTAAAAACATCCTCACTTCTTAGAGTTGCTGGTGGGTGGTGGTGGGACGCATGTCTCTTAGGCCCCCAAAAAGTCTCCGGTTTCTGGTATGGAGCTTGCCCAAAAAGTGGTGCGGCGACGCGGCTTTTAAATTTTTTTTACCAGATTTGTTTGTTTCAAATGTCGGCTGATGACTTGATGACTGCAAATGGTGCCCGACTAAACTTAGTGCAAATATATGGGAGTCCAGAGAGGCCACATAAAGCTTATCCTCGACCATAACCCAATCTAAAAACAATTGTGCAGCAGCAGGATTCCAGTCAAACCAGTGAGTTTGGCGGTTTTGAGACATCATCTTTCATTGAAAAAAAAAACTTTTTCATTTTGCCGACGCGCATGGCTACGGCGACGAGCGCGCATACCAGAAACCGGAGACTTTTTTTTTTTTGGCCTTACCGCCGGAAGGGCCACTGCCTGAAAAGCTGTAATTGATGGTGCTATTACTGCTTCCAGCTGGAGCCTGTTCCACATATTGGTATGGTGCGGACGAAGAATGAGAATTGTAATGAGTCACGCCTGGACTGGTTGATAGTAAAGATGATGTTGGGATCTGCCTACTGCTGGGTGAAGTTGGATACAAGGTGGAAAACGACGACATTGACGAAGTTGTAGTGAATTTTGTAGAACATGGTGCACTGGTGTAGATGTCTTCTGACCTTCACCTTGAGCAGCTGTTTCACTTTTTAGCGGAGTGTACGATCTTCCCAACGGCGATTGCTTTAAAAGTTCACAATCTTCCTGAAGTTATTTTTAAAAAACCCAAAAAAAACAATTGATAAGGTGCATAATCCAAAAACAGTAACATACATGATGAAAAATGGAAAGATGTGGTAGAAAAAAAGTGTTCATAATACCACCCCATCTGTGACTAGACTCAGTTACAGTTGCTCAGCTGCTGTACGCTGTAAATTTCAAATGAGGCACTTAGGCATTGCCTCCTCAAGCACATGAGTGTTGCCATTAACCAGAGAATAAAATGCTTTGAAAATTGTACATATTCCGTATGATTTACCAAAGAAAATGTTTTTAGTGGCTTTACAAAACTAGACAATACGTTAACACGTTGAGTGCATGGGGCAAATTTGCTGTTTACCTTCCATGAGCATGGTGGCGCCCTTCCCCATGAGCAGCTGTGTTTCACTTTTTAGCGGAGTGTCCGATCTTCCCAACGCAAGGTGACCAATCATAATTTGCACATCATGGCGGCGCCCTGTAACTAAGTTTGGTGATCTAATAATTTGCGAATCTTTGCGTTTGCGAATTCGAGATAAGGTGAAGTAGAAAGGGCATTGGTGAACGTTGAAAAATGGCTGAAATATCGGTGAACATTTTCGTTGGAAATACAACCTTCATTGACCCAGAGGTTTATAAACTGTGGCTGGAAGGACATTCGTGTAAGTTGTCAATGACAATGTCATCATCATCATGATCAGAAGTAGCCCCATAAATGTGGCCTATTTACTGGACTGCCTCCGTAAACATAGGCCACACATCCACATGTACAAAAACGTGTCGACTTTGCCAAATTTTGATTTTCACATTTAGGCTTACTTTGTAGGTTTTTTTTGCTTTAGAAGCATTCTCACCCTCTATATAGGCTAATCAGAAAGTGCTGCCTCTTTCAGATTTCTAATTTAATTAGGCCAATAAACAACATTATTGATGTGATACATTTTTATATAGCCTCTAGTCCTCAATAACTGACCATCAAACATAATACTGACGTCCTTCATTTTGGGTACACTCCTCGATGAAATCCGCATTAAATATATAATTTAGGGTTCAGTGTTCTCTAAATGTGTTCTGTTTGTGTTATTAGCGTTTGAAGGCGCATCAATCCGTTACCAGAAGTTGTCGTCTCAGACAGCGGGCCTGAAATTTGATCTTTTGAAGAGCGACACGACTGACAATTACCGGATGTTCCTGGCGATGGAGAAACATTTACGCAGCCCTGTGACGCTGTCCTACCAACCTCTCTTCCAAATCCCTCCGGATATGCAGCGGATGCTGATTGAAAAGTAACGTTTCATTTTTTTTTTGATTGTCAAGCCATTATGACAAAAGAAAAATTTGGTTTTTAATCTTAATTATGTTTTTTGCAGTTTACTTCAAATTCACTGACAATTTGTTTAGGAAAATACATAGTTTGTTTTTAGTGGTGGGAGAAATCGGATATTTCAAAATCCGAATGTCCTATTTTTTTTGTAAACTGAGTAACAGTTAAATCCGATTTTTTTTAAAACTTAGTAGGGGGTAACAGGCACTCATTTTCTAAAAGTGTTTTTGTCATAGCTTCTTTCAATTCTTTTCTTTGAAATTTTGACATACTTGCAATTTCTCTGTGGTCTCAGGTACTACGAGCTCGATTCCATCGTGGCTCGTGAGATACTGGGCAAGAAACTTTCCAGCAAACACCGCAAGGATTTGGACGAAGTCAGCGACAAAACGAAAGTCTCCCTGAAAAGCTGCAGACGACAGGTACAACAAGTGCATGCGTTTGTGCGTCAAATTGCAATCTACACTTACATTAGGCTTACCTATGGATTCTGTAAAGCAGAGCCAAATGTAGAGAGAGTTGCGACAGCTCTCAATTTGGATGCCATTATTGGTCCAACTCAGCTTGCTGAGGACCCATCTCCATTCATATCCAGTACAAGTTCTGGACAAGTTCCAGACATTGTATCAGGTATAAGTTGCAGGATTCTGAACAACTTCCCTGCAATCTTCCTGCAATGAAGTTATCAGTATTGATGAGTCAAGCAGTTGCTAATGAAAAGTTCCCTGGAACATGTCCGGGACAAATGCAGAGCTTCTTCTGGACAAACTGAATGATTCTACCCGCAACTTGTCCTGGATATGAATTGAGACAAGACCTTCGTGCTCCTAATGCTATGAGATTTTGTGCACAGTCACCAGTTTCTCTAATTTTCTGTCACTTATGTCGACATTACCGTTAAATAACCCCATTCTTGGACCTATAATGACGTTCAAAATTGGTACCATACTTCATAAAGTCCAAATTTCATGTGACACTGGAAAAGTGTTTAAGACCAGCCAGCCTTTAGCAACCGTTTAAAACTGGTCACGTGACGGGCTCTTGACCAATAGGAATGGGTAAACTGTCTTATGCTAGGTTCACACATTCCCGAATTAGTTATGAATACAACAAGAATTGAAATTGGTTCCCCAATCAACCTGGCAATTTTGAACATGTTCAAATTTGTCGGGGCGCTTCCCGATCTTTAACGATCTTTCACCGAACTAACAGAATCATCCCGAGGCTGCCAAAAACCAGCCCCGATTTACTCAAGAATTGGTATTTGCGGCGATTCAGCTTAAAAATCAGGAATGTGTGAACCTAGCATAAGGTATTTATGAATTTTTCTTTAATACATTAATTGCAGTTTTTGTTTTCTTTGTGTAGTACGATAACTTCAAGAGAGTCTTCAAAGCTGTTGAGGACATGGAGGGACCAATGGTCAAGAACATTCAGGCAAACTTCTGCTTCTCAGAACTACTTGCCAAGTAAGTTTTTTTTATAAAATAACTTCTGCTTGAGGTTTATCATAAATTATTCTAGATTCTTAGCCCATTTCGTAAAAAGGAGATATTTGCTGCACTTGGTGATCCCGGTAAAATGAGTGTAGGTGTATTTTCAGAAACCTAAAAAGGGAAATAAACTTTGTGTTACCTTCAAAAATAGTTTTATGCACACATCTCTGTAAATTCTTTAATCTAGCAGATGATTTAATCAACCTTTTTATCTACCTTTTCAACCTTTCTTTGACCATTTCACCATGTAATACAATTCTCAGTATATTTTTGCTGATTTTTTTTACCCTCAGGAAATATGCAGCGGTTGTCTTTTTTGCCAACAACCGGTTTGAAACGGGCAAGAAGCGCCTGCAGTATCTGACCTTCTCTGATTTTGCATTCTGCGCAGACGAGATGATCGTCAAGTGGACAGCAGGGTCTACCGGTAGGTACACATAACAAAATAGTTGTGCCAAAAGCGCCGGGCAAAGTGGAACCATCATTCTGGAAGTTATTTCTTGTAATATTATTTCATAATAATGGTCAATGTAAACAGGGTGGGCCGTAATAAAAGCCACAAAACTAGACATTTTATAAATCGTGGTGTTTTCACACATTGATTTCTATGACATGCCATCTTGATGCATATGTCTGGGAGGTTTTTTTTTGTGGTGATTTTCATTTCTTCGCAACCTTTCAGACTGTCTTTCTATCCGGTGCCTTTTTAACCCCAAAATGATGACAATATGCGGGATGCATTTTAACAAGCGATTTTGTCTTGAAATGGAATTCGACCAGTTTCCTGTGGTGAGCGGCATATTGTTTCAATCGGTCTTCAACACACAGCAAAATAAACTCCCATCGTTTGTTTATATGGTCTGAAAAAAAAAGAATTCTGGTAAAAAATTAAGTAATGAGAATTATTTTTTATTGTGGCCTTTTTTTGCCCCAACTGTATCAGACTTGACATGCCTGTATCTTGAACAGATGCGTGGTACTATTTGCATAATTTCAAGTCTTTTGCTTTAAACAGTATTGAGAGTGGTTCTTTTCTGTTCAAAAACATAATCAGATACAACTCTTGGAGTTGATGTTCTTTTTGCTGGTCCCAGAGGGCCAGCCTATCTCATTGACTGACTGACTGACTCCCTCACTCCCCTTAGTGAGCCGGGCAGTGCTATCATATAGGATTACCCCGTAACACCAATCAATTAGGTAAATCCACCCATTTTGTAGACCAGATTCATGAAAAGGTTTTCAGTGAATAGCCTTTCTGAATCAATTGATTATAATTTTGTGAACTCTTGGATCAGCTTAAGTAGGCTTGTCGTGTTTTCTTCATTTTTTTTTTATCCAGATTCCAGGAAGGAGGATTTGGATGCGGATTTTGACCGAGAGTTCCTTCAGGAACTTCGAGAGTTGAAGATTCTTGTTAGTGACAAAGACGCCAGCGACCAACACAAAGGGTGCGTGAAACTTTTGTACTTTTTCCAGAGAATGAATAAACACATGTATCCATGGTAACCAAAATTGCTTCCTGACTGTACAAAAATAGAGAAATCCTGTAAGTTTTACTCCCCCCACCAAAAAAAACCTCCAAACAAAAACAAATGAAATTTGTGTTAGAGATATAAATAATATATGAAATTTAAACACTAAGGTTTTTCAACATTACCTTTCTATAGGTTAATATCTGCTTCACTGAAGGGCAAGATATCCGAGAAAGCATATGCAGACATCGAGTCCAATTTCAAGGTAAATCCATTTAAAATATAACTTAAACAGACTCATTTTAGAGACATTTGATTTAACATTTTGTCTTCCTTAAATAACTCGTGCTCTGAACCTATCCTTAAAAAAACAAAAATGGAGCTTGATCAAATATCTTTTTTCAGTGGACGAGTATAGAAGGTGATCAGAAATGCTTTTTGTTGTTTTCCTTTTTAAAGAATCTTTCCCGCGCCATCGTCAACATTGCCAGCGGCATGATCCATTCCAAGGAGCTTCGAGATTTCTTTAATGATGTGGTGGAGAAGGTGAGCTCTTTGTTTTTTTTTTTTCGTTTTCTTTCAAATTATAGTTTGTCAAAATATATTTATTAATTGAGTATAAACAACAAGGACATACACAACAGGTGGGAAATGTTCTGTTTTGAAGCTTCATAAGGTGTTCTCTTATGGGGGAGATTGAGGCTTCTTTGTCAGTTTATTTTAATCATGAGGCGCAATAAAACAAAACATAGTTTGGGAAAGCAGTTTCAAATTACTGGTCCTTCTGTCGGAATCCACCAATTCCTGAGCACCAGTAATTTCACACTTAAACACATGTATGTGTGATACTTCACTTTGTCACGTACCGTACACTGCAAAGTAGTGTTCTTGAGGTTTGTAGGTTTTGAGACCTGGTCTTGGTCCCGAGACCGTCTCGAGACCTTTTTTTTTGCAGTCTCGGTCTCAGTCTCGTCCTATCAGAGTCTTGGTCTTGGGAGATCTGGTCTTGGTCTTGAAAGCGCTGGTCTCGTGTTCCGTCTCGGTCTCAGATGCCAAGGGTTTTACCCTCAAGACCCATCAAGACCCCAACAAAATGCACCATCTACGTACGGCTTTATTCATTTGCAAGCTGAATTACGTATGAGTCTAGTCTTCATTCCAAACACTAACGACATTGTAAGTACAAGTTTTCATGCTGAAGAATAAGATTGAAGCTGAAATGAAGACCAGTCAATGCCGCTTGTTGATTCGGAGTACTGGCACCTGCGCACAGTTACTTTGTACACGTATTTCACTGGTACATGTCATTCGGGCCTCGAACAGCCCTTGCACGTGCAAATGTAACGCGTTCTTACTCCATGCTTAACGCATGCTTAACGCTAGTTTTTTTACCTAAAACTGTACGACTAGTACAGTTGTAACTCCAAAAACATCAACTTCAAATCTGCAGTGGTGCTGTTTGGCTTTAAGAACCACAGGGAATTGTTGGGCAGTGAAAAAGGATGCAAGAAACACTGTGCAGAATGCAAAGTTTTCTCGAAGATAATTTCAGTACAGCACAAGGGAAATCAGCTTCAACACCATGCGTTTTTATTCATGCTTGGTCTCGGTCTCGGTCTCGGAAGTCTTGGTCTATGTCTCGTCCTACAAAAGTCTCGGTCTAGGATGTCTTGGTCTCGGTCTTGAAAGAGCTGGTCTTGATTTCTGTCTCGGTCTCGCATGCCTCTATCTCGAATGCTTCGGTCTCAGCCTCGGACATGAAGGTCTCGACTGAAAGACTGCTGCAAAGTAGTCCACTGCAACATTGCCTAAATGCGTGTTTTGCTTTTGCAAATAAAATGCATTTACGTGTATTTTGTTGTTGTTTGTTCCATAAGATTGTTGAGCCTACAAAGCAGGCACAGTGGACTAGCAACGACATGGCTCTGTTTCTGAAATGCTACACGTCAAGCAGCTATCAGATTGAGGGAATGGGAAGGTGAGTAACATTTTTCAGTTACAAAAAAACAAAGAGTGCCATCCATGTCTTTCAGTATATCTTGAGACTCAAGTTCTGTGTTAAATAACAATTTACTTTTTGGCCTACTGCGCTGCCACTCAATTCAACACAAAAATTAAGATGTTATCATTGAGATGTCATGAAATTTAGATCTTTACATCAATGAATAGCAAAAGCCACAAAAAAGAGAGGATTGAAAGTTAATACTTTGATCCTCATGGTATCAGGAAGGCCAACTAAAAAGAATTGGTTTCCCGTTCCCGTCCGCTTCCTTTTCCTGCCTGCCCCCTTTATTATTTTTTTAATCCCACGTTCGCAGTATAGTTTTTTCTTTTTATTGTTTCCAGCAACATTGTAGCTATGTATGCAAGTTCAAAATTTGGTAGAAGAGTTTAAGCTCCTTTGGACACAAACGCATCGGCAAAAGAGTCAAGCAATGGAAGGATCCAATCGCCATCTTGGGGAAAATGAGGCCTTCTTCTTCCTTAAAAAACAAACAAACCTGGATGAGAAACATTTATTTGTTACTTGCCAAAAATGCAAAAGGTTTTTATTTTGGGGGGGGGGGGGGGGGGGTTGGCGAGGGAAAAAAGGGCGGTAATTTTTTTTTTCAATGTTTTGTTCTCCTACAGGCACAGCCGTCTGCATACAACGCTGGAACGCTACATGACGACACTCACCAAATGCGTCCTGCGCATGTATCACAGCTGATCTACACAGTAGAGCTGAACAGGACGGCATTTGCGGCCTCTGCAAAGGAACTGTTGGTGGCGCTGTGCGGCACGATCACGATACCAGATGCAGGACAAGTGGCATGCAGTGCCTTGTAGTGCCATGCATGGACTGGTTCCAGCATGTACATTGTAAATGGCATGGATTGTGAGTGATCAGTGTCTGCTGCATAATGTACATATCCTATGGACTCCGTGCATGAACAGTAGATGGCGTTTTGTGAACCACTTTCGTGAACCCAAGTTGGCGGGACACACATTGTGCGCACACAGTCGTGAATTTCTATACGCCCGAGGACAATGTTTTGTGTTTCCCTTTGTCTCTGTAATATAACACTCTCCCATATACCAAGTACATAACCGTACGATTGAGGACCGTTTTCAACAAAAGACCCAACGCTCAAGGACTGAAAGGATCTTTTGTTCTCCCTTTGTGTGTCTGTCCTCTATCGTAAAGCCGTACATGTACATACTGGTTTGCACATGCGTGGCGTGAAGTATGCACAACTCAGTTATCCTGAATGTGCACAAACTAGTGGCACCTTTGTGTGAGCTCGTCAATCCCCGGTGGCAGTGCAATCGAATGTCCCTCCCAGTGATCTCCCCCAACTCTCCCTTTGTAACTTCTGAAGTGGGTACTTCTGCACAATGCAGTATTTTCCCATGAGAATGAATGTACCCGAGTGTGATTGCAGATCTGCTGTGACGCCAATCTGTAACAAAACTGCTTTTGCATTCTTTTACCACCTGGTCGTGGTTATGCTCAGAGTCTATTATGTGGCCAGGGCCCAATTTCATGGCTCTGCTTACCGTTAGCGAAAAAATCCCCGTGTACGGTAGCAGAAAATTCTGTGCTTACAATCAGCGTATTCCACAGGTTAGTGAGGAATTTTGGCTTCTGCGCATGCTTACATCCTATAACGAAGCATTCTGTGCTTACAGGGTTGTATTGGCACAGAGTGTTTCTGCTTGTGCTGTTAGCACAGAATGGTGATCGTAAGCAGGAAATTCTGTGGTTAACAGAGTCATGAAATTGGGCCCAGATTGCACGAAATGAGTCCTGTCAGTTTTTTCTGCCACTAATTCACATTCCATATGCATTAGGAAGAGCATAATCAGCTAATCATCTTGATATATCACTCATTTAGACAATGTGACGAATATGGCCATTTTATGTGTGACATTAGTTTTAATGGCCCTTACTTATATACATGTACAGCCCAGGGGACCTCTGACTCGTTTAGTGTCGTTTGTTCACATTCTGTCTGGTGGCATGAAGAGCATATTGTTGCTTCAGCTTTCAATATTGGATCAAAACTGCTGTTTCCAATGCTTACAGTGACCCTGCTCTTGCTTTCAACAGTTCCCTTTAGACTAATTCCGAGGTGAAACCACTGATCTCTTTATACTGACACACTCGCACACAGGTGGTCTGCACACAGCTACATGTGATTATACTTCACCAGTTTTACTATCTAAATGAGCGTATGCCTCGACATGCGTGCTAGTGTGGTTCCACTTCAGTATAGCTTTTCAATTTTGTTCGCTGAATTAGCTTACGCCCGGTTCAGACAGGCGTTCTAGAGTCGCGCTGAACCAAATAAAAGGCAAGATTTGAATTAAGTTCATGAAACGTTTAACGTCTGTAACAATTAGGAGCGTCTAGACACGCCAGATGGCAAAAGATCGATTTCAGATGTCGCTCTAGTCACGAGTAATGTCGGCTTGTTGTTTAAAATCATGTGATCACTTGTTTGTGCACAATATACTCCAGTGTATTAAGTTCGCCTGTCTGAAACCAAGATCTATTTGGATCGACATCGAGTTGCTCCTAACCGATTTGTTTCGGTACGACTCTGGAACGCCTCTATGAATAGGGTGATATAGACCAATCCGGGCACCTATTACTGTACGCTTACTGAGCAGCAGACAAGATTTTTAGCACTACGTACGTATGACAAATTCAATCACTTATATATTCCCTTAATATTTTTTAACCAAATCTTGCCCTTGTGGTACATTCAGCAAGTAATGGTCAAGCTGAAAATGTATCCAATATAACCTAAAGGAATTCTGTCACATTATGTATAAAACTCCCTGGATAAAATTGAAAGAAAATGTATGAGACTATTGGTATTAACTCGTTCTTAGATTGATGTTTAATGACTTTTTGGGAAGTTTATTCAATTGATGCTTAGATGAAATCACTTTGCATACGACCATAAACAAAAAGAACAGTATTGTACAAATTGTAAATTACATAGATAAGTATGATATATAAAGTCTAATTAAATCTGTATTTATTTGTTGGAATCTGCGCATTGGTTAAGTAACTTTACAAATTACTCTTCTTTTTTTGAGGTTTTGACAAATAAATAGCCAATTCACAAAGATTATTTTGTCTAAAACATTTGATATGTTCAGTACCAGTGGACTATCTTCACGAAATCATTGTGCTCAAGGATCATTGAAAATCCTTAGATTGTCAGGAAATTCAGGTTTAAAAAATCACATACTTTTAAGACGCCAAATATTTAAAAATCTTTGTCATCATCACATCCATACCTTATGATTTAGAAGTCAAAACGTTCCAATAATTTTGAGCGTTGTTGGTGTCAATGTGGATATCTAATGGAACAGCTACCCCCCAAAAAAAATTCTCCAAAATGTGAGTAGCTACAAGCATGCAACTATTTCGGATCAGCTGATTCTCTTGTTTTTCACTTCATACATGTGCTATTAAAAATTTTGGGGGAAAAAATGTGTTGTAAAGCTTGGAGTTTCCTTTTTTTTAAGTTACTCCCTAGTTGCATGCCTGAAAAAACATCCTGTTGTCATTCAAACTGAAAAGCTCATACTGCCAAGAAATTTCTTTAACTGAAACCTCCAGACGAAGGAAACATCACCATGCATGACTTCTTTTGTGACTTGTGAGTTTTATGATATAACAGGCCTATTTTATCCAGAATCCGGTAGTAATTGAACACTTGCAGGGATGTAGTCCCATCCATCACAAGTCCAGTCATAAGTAAATCACAAGTCCAGTCATAAGTAACAGTGGATGAACAATAACAAGGAATGCCTTTGTCAAAGCTCATTTGAATAGCTTGTGATTTGAATAGGGACTGGAGGACTTGTGATGGACTGACTCATATCCTGGGACTGCTGGTACGCTGCCCAGGTTCACATCTGTTAACCCTTACTTCATGGGCATTTTTGCTAGGAGCCTTCCTCAATCCTCCAAAATCCTCCACTCTCCATGCAAACCAATGTTAAATTCTTTGTAGAGTAATCGAAGGCTTCAAGCCCCATGTAATGTACCACTGGCCAGGCTGTACCTTGCTTAATAACCCATTAGCAAATGTATTACATTGTACTACACTGTACTACATTGTACTACACTGTGCTACATTGTATTTACTCCTTGGTGAATCCATAAAACCATAGAGTGCTGGGGTGATTTGGGGGCAATATAAAGAGTAACAGGCAGGGAACTTTAGGGTGGTACAGAGACTAATGGCTTAAAATCCTCAAGAACCTTTTTGTGGATTTTGGAGAATCTTGGAGGTTCAGGGTTAATACCAGAGAGGTTAAGTTACGCATTTTGCTAAACCCGTATGGGTACGCGTAATGGGAGCTTCGCATTCCTGTTCGGCTACGTGAAATTTAAAAAAAGAATGTGTATGCGAAATTTTTTAAAAACGTTGAAAAAAAAATTTCAGTTAAATGAGACGATCTTCTCAAGCCTACTGACTGTGATAGTAGTTTATTTGACCTGTGATAAAACTTCCTAATCGGTCTTTAACATTTTGCAAATAAAGAGGTTTTTCCTCCCTTTGCTTCACATTACGAGGAACACCAAAATCACTCGTTTGGCATTGGGTACGGCAAGCCAGCAGTTGTATGTGTGTTGCCAACGCATATTTTGGTGACGTTCTCGCTCCGGGCGAATCCATGATGCAAGGCAGGTCCTACATGTCCTAGACGTGGACGTTCTTGAGAAAACTTGTAACTTAACCTCTCTTATAAATGTTATCTGGTAAAGTTCAACAGTCAGACCGAAGCTTCGCATCCGAATCTTTTTCTAACAAGGGCCAAAGAAAGCACATTGTCTAGATGCTTAAATACGAGTGCAGGGGCCGACCATCATGATGTTGGCTTGGTCACCATTAGAACAGCAGAAGGCACCAGACCTGAACAAACGAAATATGAAGAAGATATTAATCCGCTGAAACTCCTTTAGGCAGGTATTTCCTGTATACTTCGTTTGCACTAGCGGCCATCTTTGAGTAGTTGTGCTTTTGTACCACAGGGATAAGGCTGGTTCTTACTTCACGCAAATGGGCATGTTACGCATATATGACGTCAGAAAACATTTTCTGTGAAATTTGTTGGACTTGAAATGTGTTCAACTTTTGGGGATTCGCAGTAGGAAACTTTGCCATGACCTCACAAGATCGCATTCACGCTTGCTTTTGCACAGTGTATGAACCAGCCTTTTGAATACGCAAGAAAAGAACTCTTGTGCATTTATTGTTACTGAATTAAAATAACAAAAAAACACCAAAATAAACAACTGTTCAGGAATCCAGTGACACATTTTAAACAATAACTTTGCAAGCTGTTCAAACTTCAAGTACAGTAACTCCTACTAGAACCTTTTTTTCGATCCTGCAAAAGTAATCCCAAAACCCACTGGTGAATTTCGTGTATAATGGCAGTTTTGAAGATCTCACTTCTTCAGATATCACACTTTTTGTTTCTCATCCATACACAGAATGCAATGTACATTTCAACAAGGTATATATATATGGTAAATGCTTTTGTGATATGTTTAACTAGTCTTGGTACAACCCTGGAGTTTATTCCCCTAATGCAGACAGTCAAGAAGTCACTACCAACAAGGTGAATGAAATCCAGTCTTGCGAACTTTGGCAGCAGGACCCAGGAATTCTGAGCTTATCTCATGCGCCCCATATTCAAGCTAATCCAAACGATAGAGGTTTGCTGGAAATTTCTTTAGTCAGAGTGCCAACGTTCCCAGGATCAAATTTGATAATCTTGTTGATATTAACCGCTACCGTTCGCTGCTGCACAATGAGAAAAAACCAAAATCAAAACCAGTTTTGGCCTAAGGCTACATCTTACCTAGTTCCTTGAGTGGTTTTTCCATGTCCTCTTCCGTGTAGACCTTCTTAGGGAAGTTGGTCATGAGGGTGAAGGGAGCGTTGCTGCCGTCCTTGCGGTTGACCTCAACAAAGAGTCTGACCGCGGCCAGTTGCTCCGAGACTCCGAATGAGTTGGTGAGCGCCGAGCCGTTGGGTAGTCGGATCTGAGGGAAGATTTACGATTAAACCAATACTGACTTGAAAATATAATGGTTTTTTTTTTAGATTTTGCATGGTGTACTCAAATATAATCAAAATCCATGGACAAGGTGCTGATTTCACGAAACTCGTCTTATCTTGTGACTCATCTTAGGACTTAAGACGCATTCTAAGATCGATTACGATAAACCCATCTTAAGCAAGACGCATCAAAACTACCAAAAAACTTGTCATTCTTGCTCCCCGTTTCATCACTCTATTTAAAAAGTTGAGTAGGTGTTGGCGTATAATTAAATTTTGTATACAAGTCATTTTTATTAAAACTACCCACATATCAAAAATCTTTTCAAATATGTTTCTACAGCGGTTTTCTTCCTCGAAACTATAACTCTAGACTGACACTCATCTTTAACGGCAATGATTTCCGGATGATATACAAATTAATGCATGCATTAGTGAGATATGACAACCATCAGACCCATCTTAAGTTAATACGAGTTCAGCTGCGTTGCTAACAAAGTTGGGACATGTTGAACGCGTCTTAAGTTTGGTGAAATCGATCCTAGGATGAGTCGCGAGATAAGATGAGTTACCCTTCCTAAGACGCGTATTAATGTTTCGTGAAATCGGCCCCAAGACTGCTCTTGATATCTCATTGAACAGTAAGTTCTTTTGCCTGCTAAAAAAACCTATTAATTAAAAAAAAATTGTCAGGTAATATTTTTCATATTATCATATTTTCAGCAGTTATCTGAAACCTGCCACAAAATAGAGCGACAAATATTTAACACTCCTTTTGTCATGCGTGTTTGGCAAAATGCTTGCAGAGAACAGCAGCCAATAAGACAAATGTGTATAATTAAACAGCATCAGGATGAGAATCGGAAGGAACAAATACAGAAGATTGCAAAATGGAGATGATTAAAGTCTTGTCTCTCTGTACCTGAAGCCTGGTGGAGTCGTACTCTTTCTTGGGTGCTGCTGGTTGCTGGGGTGCAGTGGGTTGTGTGGCTGGCTTAGGGTGCGTCGTCTCCGCAGACGTCTTGGCGTATCTCGCTGCTCTCTCGCGCTTGTCTCTCTCAATCTCCTCTCTTACTTTTTGTCTGTGGTGTCAGCAGCCCAAAAGACGATGTTTTGTCACACCTATTTATGCGATATATCCCCATCTATTTCTGGTGTATGTATCTCTCTGAAACTGGGCTTTTATTGAGGGTTACTTTTGCACACAAACAGATCTGCCTGTGAGCAGACTGGTCCAGGTTTCGACATGAATGATTTTGATGGGGATGAAGGAACAAGTCTACCCAGCGAGAACTGGTTTATTGTTGGGCCGCAAATATATTTGTGAAGCAATTTTTCCTTCACTAATAATATGGGCCAAATGTTTTAAATTCCCCCCCCCCCCCCCCCCCCCCCCCCCCCCCCCCCCCCCGAATAACTTTTGTATTGCTAAAAATACCAGATTAAAAAGATTATGTTTTTTGATGGGGGGTTGTGAAACAGAAAGTTAAAAAAAATCGCAGAAAAAGTAAATGTTTAAGCCTTCTTCTTCGATTGTAATCTGGCCAGTTAACCGGCAAACAAATATCCACCACAAACTCCAATCAGGAAAGACTCCATTTGGAGCGATTAGGGGGTGCTCATTTGCTAATCAGAGATTATCTTGGCATTTATTAGAATGCGTGGTTGCCTACACCCTTATCATGTATATACTTTACATGGGGCTCCCAAAGAAAATACTGATTTTTTTGGAGGGTGCTCTGGACTTGAGTCACTTGATATGTTTTCTTCCTCACCTTGCAAGGCGTTCTTCCTGTTTCTCTCGTTTCTTCAGTTCAGCTAGCTTCTTGACTTCATCCATCTCCATCCTTTCAACAAAAAATCGTTGAGAGAAACAGTTTTTATGTGTTCAAGTTTAAAATGTGATGCCTTGATTTGAAATACGCTGTTCCGATACACAAAGAAAATGCCCGTGTACTGCTAGGGACACTCACAATAACAGAGTTTTAAGGTTGGCTCATACTGGGTACGAAAGCAAATTTATGCGAATGCTTATTCGTGACGTCACGGCTAGTATTCACACTGTGAATTCCCAAAAGTTGAACACAATCCAATTCCAGCAAATTTTGCAGTGAATGTTTCCTGAATTCAAAGTCACTTCAAATATATATTCCTTTGGAAAATGAACAAGTCTTCAGTAGTCAAGTCCGTCACAAGTCAATGACAATTCAATCAAAAGTCATCCAGTCTCAAGAAATGTCACAAGCTATTCAATTGATCACTTGTCAATGTTCATTTTTTGTTACTTGTCACCTGGCTTGTGACTGACAGGTTTACAACTCTACTTGTCATAAACAAGTTAAAACAAGCTCGAAATGATATCAGAAGCTGCGGCCCAACTGTAGACCTACTGTAGCCTATAAGTCATGTACATGATGTAAATGTCTGTTCTTATAATGCACAACTACTCACGTGGTCGTGACTGTCAATTGAAAAGGATTCCCATTTGTTGAACATCAGTTGGTGCATGGAGTGTTTAATAGCATGTGGAACACCCAATATGTGTGCAGTACAGTGCCAGCCCCAGTGCAAAATGAATGACCTCGATAATAGTGTTTTCAGTACAAACAGTTGGTTTTTGAGTCCAGTGACCCAATTTTCAACGAGTGCAATAAATTGGTAACTGGTCAGTGGAGACCTCTGAACCTGTCTCAATTCAGGGCCATGAACCCGAGGCACGTGTTGTTGCGAGGGGCCTGCGGGACAAGGTGATTGATGGCTATAAAAGGCATGTGCTGACGTTAGTTACTAACCAACCAACTAACGGAGAGACATGATGATTTCTTGAGCTGCTTTCGGCAGCTAAAAAACTTCATCCAAGTTTATTACCCTTATTCAAGGGGGTTTCCCATTTTGTTGTTGTGTATCAGCCTTACGGAAGTGCAATTTTTTGGGAATGAAATTTACAAAGAAAAGCAGTATGTGTAGACATGCTATGGGAACAATTTTTACTTGTTTTGAGTACAGAATGAAGTACCTTCATTAGACAGTATTAAAACAATGCACTATTGTGCTTGCCATCTCCAAGGGGTGCCATTTTGAGCCGATGAATCCGATGGAAAATGACCAACCCCACCCCTCCCCAAGATTTGCAACGTCTACAGGTAAAGAGAACAGAATCATGCTTACTTGTGTTTGGCCTCGACAAGATCTTTCCCCTTTTTCCGCCGGAGTTTTTCTCTCTCCACTTCCTCCTTCTTTGCCAGTTCTGCCTTCTCCTTCTGTCGCTGTTTCATTTTTTCTTGTAACCTGTGGCCATGACACCAACAAACACACACTCAACAAAAAATTGAAAAGCTATTGTAGCACAGGATACGAGGTAGGCTTGGGAGACTCAAGACTGAATTGATTCTAAACTTGGAACATAAGAATTGTGAGGAATCAATACCCCGCCGTTTCCAATTTTACCATTTCTCCACCAATTCTATCTCTCCCCCTCTGGCTGACAAATTCAACAAAGCCATCACCACTTTTCCATTGGGTAAATTTGGAATTGACTCTAAAATGTGATGGAATCGGAATCAGAATCAACTCCAAAAAATCGCCCACGCCTAATCCGAGGTAAATGACTATAAAAACTGGATTGACGCAATTGACTGTTGAAGGATGCAAGCCTGCAACCCGCTGGCACTCAACCGATAGAGGCATCTAGTGTTTACTTTTACTTTAAGGTATCGTAGTCATACAGTAGATAAAGTAAAAATAACAAACATTCTTCACTTAATTTTCACAATGCTTATTCGACAACAAACCTACCAACATCTGACGTTGTATCCATCATCTAGGTTAATTTTCCAGAAACGCAATGAGAACAAATTTCTAACCAGACGATCTTTAATCTGTCAGAAAGAAATGCAACAATTTAATTCTTCTTCACAGGCCAATTTACTTGATGGCCCTTCCATGAATTACCTTAGCATCTGTTCCTGTTTCTCCTCTGCCGTTAGTGGTTTGATTTCCTCAATTGATTCGGAAAAGTTCCCGTGCCCTGTTCTAGCCGCATGAACCTTGTCAGATAATAAAGAAATAATACAATAGTTAAGTGATTGCATGCGAAATTTATGAAAATATGTTTGCTCTGGGCCCAATTTCACGGCGCTGTTAAGCACACAATTTTCTGCTAACAGAGCCTCTGTCTATTTCATGGAGACCGTAAGCATAAGCACAGCAAAAGGCACGCTTAACTTAGTGACGTAACAATAGAAATCTCCATGCATGCGCGACCGTTAGCACATCCACGACGTGAAATAGTGCTTAAGGTTAGCAAATTTTTCTGCTATGCTAAGCACAACTTTTCTGCTAACTGTTAATCAGCGCCGTGAAATTGGGCCCAGATCTGTTGTGCCTGACCCCGAATGTTGCTGAAAATGGGGATCCAAAGTTTGTGGGAAAAAGATGCAAATAGACTGGGGAGGGGGCAAATGCCCCACTTTCTCCCTGCCCACACTACCTGATGCAGCAACTGGGCTAATTGAACCCACAATTACTTCAGCTAGAATGGCCTCTTTAGGAATGTCCTTCCATATTTTTCTCAAATCCAAGTTTGGAGACCCTAACTATATTCAAGTGCCAATTTGAAGTACTGAGTGCAACATCTTAAAGATGACTGTCCGAGCTCTTCAACAAATTGGATTTTTTTTTCATCTTGAGAATTTTGCAGCTTGTTTAAGGATCTTTGCATTAAATGTTGCTAAACATATATATGTTTAGCCATTTCACAAAGGCTGACACCTGCCTGCTGTCTGCAGACCAGTGTGATTGATATGATAAATCAACAATGACTGACATCATAAATAGCGGGCAGTCACTGAAAAAAATAAAATCTTAAATACGTGTACCCCGAAAGTAATCCAGCACTGCAGTACTTCTAAGGTTTTGTAAATAAAATAGGTTTGAAAACATTGTTCATTATTTGTGCTATTATGTTTAATGCAAAGGAAGATTGCAACTCCCTTTTTTATAATTTGTGTTTCATTTAAACGTTTTGGAAAATTTGTAAACATATTTAGATGAGTTTTTGTTTAAACAATTAAATGTGTAAACCTCGCATCCTTAAACGTGTTTTAGAAAAAAAAACTCATTAACTTTACCCATCTTGGGTATTATTTCTGGGTCCTTTTTGTACACACAAAAATCTGCAATAGAAATTGGTCCTTACATTATTGATTCTGAAAGAGGGGCAGGAAACTTAATAAGAAATTACTCAATAGCTAAATGTGGGCTAATTTTATCATTCTGTGTCACATTTAAAAGTGAATAACTTTTGTATCTCTAGAAAAATAGCAATTTAAAAACAAAATCTATATTTTTTAGGGTGAAACTTGAAACAGCATGGACAGAAAATATTTAAGAAACTGCAAAGTTGCCCCAAACTGGTCTCTTATGTACCATAAGTAAAGGCAATTACTTACTTGGACATCTTCTGGTGTTCTCAACTTCTTTCCACATCTGCAAGACAAATGGATTTTTAAATCATTATGCTCTTATGTGTAGTATGCAACCAAATATGATTCGTTCCAGACATATCTGATTCAGAATAATTTGATAATTTACTCAAGGCTTCACTCTGAGGTCACTCTGATTTCAATTATCTTGTACAAGTTATCTTATTTTATTACAGCCAAAAAATGAGGAAAAATTAAGACCCCCCCCCCAGAAAATCATCAAAAACTACCTTTTACCCTTGACTACATGCAGACACCTCGATATGATCGTACACAAAAAGAAACTATCCCCCCCCCAAAAAAACTTCCCTACCTACCTACCCTACTTTCAAATGCCATGTGATTGGAAGCATGGCTAGTGATGCCACAACTTTTTCCCAAATTTGCGATCATAACATAAACAGGTGTGCCTAGTGACACAGTCACATTAAGAGTGGTGTTTTGAAGCGTAATTTTGATTTTAAACTTGGAGGGTGTAACATTTCAGCGGTCGCACCACGAAGTGACATATCGTGTGCACAAAGTCCATAGACGATACATCTCTTCGTGGTGCACCCGACCATTTGATACCAAAGGTACGTCGGGTAGAAAATTGGAACTTACAAAGTGCAAAGAAGTTTAAAACTCAAGAAAAAAATCCCTATTTTCAAGGGTTTAGCAGAATCAAATCCAATAACATCAGGAAATCTTGACTAGTGCAAGTCTTGAAATCTTGACTAGTACGTCCGCCCCAAGCCAATATGGCTCATCAGGCCGGCGTTTATCTCCGGTTTCCTTGGTATGACACCACTGACAACATTTCTATTTACACTCCATGGGTAGAGAGGGGCAATTGGGGGTGAAGTGGCTTGTCTAAGGAAATATCATAAGTCAAACAGCTGGATTCGAACCCCTGGCCTTCTGATCATGAGTCACAAACCCATCCACTGGGCCACACTCTCCCCCCAAAAAGGTAGCAGCAGTGGCGACAATGAATGATAACTTACTCATCACATTTGAGCGACTTGGCCTGCACTGGTGCACCTTCTGCTGTCGGGACCTCCTCCTCCCCTGACTTACTGTCTCCGCCCTCACCAGTACCTATTCAGTATAGCGTACATAAGCAATTAGTCAATGCAAATCACTGTAAGGTAGAAATCAGAAATGGACTTATTGTTTGTTTATTTGCATAATTTACTTCCGTCTTGTTTTTATTCTTGTTTTACCTTAGCATCTAACATTCATGTATATAACACTCAAAGTAGTGCTAAGGGAAATTTGTTTGTCCAATTTAACATAACGTCAATGTCAAAAAATAGTGTTATTCACCGAGGCACCTTGTACTGGAATAGTTCAGATGATTCTCTTAAATCGTTACTTTCACTATCTGTCTGACAAAAATTTAAAAACTCATTTTCTCGAATCATATTCATAAATTGAAGTTCCATTATTTTGTGTATTAATAGTTAGGCCTTGTCTCACACACTTGTCCTGTCTGTCTCACGTATTGTTTTGTTTGTCCCTTATTACAGTTCTTTGGTCTATGTTTGTCCATAGGTAAGGGCACAAAAGCGTTCTGCTTAACCTTATACCTAAATGTTGTCATTTAATTTCACACTTTATAATTAATCACTGCGTACATAACTATCAAAGATTATACTAGTGACTTTTTCTAATTTATACATGTTTGATAATTGTAATGAATGACACCATGGAAATAAATGTTACTACTGCTACTACATTTTTTTATTGATATTGCCCGTTACAAAATGGGAAAGAGCTACTTCAGGCAAAGGGTTACTAAAATATGGGGAGAATGCAAAATTCAACAAGTGGTAGCTCGAGGTTGAACCCGAGCTACCCAACAAAACCCTGTTAACCCTACTTGGTTACTTGGCAAAAGTGTGTTGCTGATTTCAAATGATGCACTTGTGTCAAGGTCTTGGGCCGGACCTTGTGTTGTTTATGTTCAGTCATGGATACATTTAGGCCTAGAAATATTTAAAATCCTCTGCACTGCTGCAGGATGTCACTGGCTCTGCCTCAACATATTGACAGTGATCGTGGAGGATTTTGCAGAATTGAGGCTATATGCTATTTTTTACATGGAGGCAGTTGGAAGATTTTGCAGGATTGAGGATGCATCGTAGCAAAAAATGCCTAGGGAGTTAGGGTTCAATTCCTGCTCTACCTTGACTAGTGTCGCCTCCAAGTTTGTGTCCCTCTGGAGCCTGGAACGGTTCATCAATATCTGGGTCATCACTGTGAGCAAACAACCTGTATTTGGGGAGGAAGCATAGGACAAATAATGAAATGACCAATACGAATGCTGGTAATTACCCGGAGACGGACCTACTAATTTAGTGAGAAATCTTTGCTCAAATTGAAGATAGGGATGGTACTCCACCTGAAAATTTGAAGTGGTATCATTGGGAAGACAGCAATCATAGAAGGTGGCTTAAAGGGAACATGCAATAAAATTTTGATTGCATTTTTTTGCTTAAATCAATAAAGGATGATGTTCTTAACAATATTTTGTGTATGGCGGTGTTTATTTTCTAAGATAAATGGGGGAAAATAATTTGTGAACATGTTTGGTCAAACTACTCCGCCCCACAAAGGGAAGCTTCATTAACATAAAACTTCGCGAGGGGTATGACGCAAGCGAAGGCAGAGACTTGCCGCGCTGCGGGGGCACCGGCATTGCGGCGTGCATCATAATACATGTACATATACATTGCGGCACTGAAAGTTTTTCTGGTGTTTCATTCGGAATCGAGGAGAAATAACACCCTATTTTCGGCCATGCCGACAAGGTGTGTGGCTGCTGGGTGTAGCAAAACTACCAAGGATGGAGTAAGCCTTCATTTGTTTCCAGTAAATCCGAAATATCGGAGCATTTGGAGAGCCAAAGTGAAGGTAAATACCAGAGCAAAGTGGTCCGGGCCCAGTGAGTTCGCGGCCCTCTGCGCTGCACTTTGAGCTGTCGTGCTTTGATGCTGGTCTGTACAGCAACTTGGGCATGCCCCTAAAAAAACATCGAGTCAGTGTTTGAATCATTAGAACTCTGATTGGAATCGGACGAATCTGTACCATTTTCATCGGATTCGCTAAGTAAAGAAGAGGACGGTCTTCGGAACTTTTACGGTCATGACGGTCGTCGTTGTGTTCATTTGACAACGGTGGCACCGTGGCACGTCCACGTGTACTGTACATATCCCATGTACATGTAGACACATTCGTACGTGTGCATATAATGCCACGTACGGGTACGCGGCGGCTGCACATACACACAGCACAGTAGCTTCGCTAATCCGTCTCGTACCCAGACGTCATTTACGGGCCCTGGATTTCTCTGCCTTTGTTTATGTCATGAACAGCGCCCTCATTTGGAGTTGCCGCGAAAATCAAAAAGGGGGGGTTCAATTTTGGACGGCAAATTACCACACTAAACGTACACCAGAACCATTTCTGCTTTTAATTCACATTTAATACACATAAATGAATGTATATATAAAATAAAATACGTTATGAAAATTTTGGACTGCATGTTTCCTTTAACCCTAACTCCCAAGCATGATTTACTAGGAACCATACCCATCCTGGCAAATTCCAACACCATATGGGAAACTGCACACACATATTTCTGACTTTGATTCTGGAGGTGTGCCAACCCAATGTAAAAGACTGTCAGTTTAGGGGTACTGTACCCATCCTGACAGATTCCAACAAAACATGCCGTTGAGGTTTGATGGGTTGGGGGAGGTTAGGGTTAAAAAAAACCTCAAAATAAAATGGTAGTCCTGGAGCTGAAACTTTCAGTGGTTAGTTGTTATGCACCTTACGTAGGATTCGGAGCAATTTTGTTGCTAAAACAAAAACTACATATAAAGCAAATGATCCTGCATGTGTTTAATCCAAATCAAGTTAAAATTAAAAAAAATCCCTGCTTTGTGTGAAACCTTGAACAAATTGATGGTTTACATTGTGCAACGATTCCACCTGTATATTATTTATGTTTGCAGCTAATGGTAAGCAGTAACACAAGAAACCTCATTGGGCAGATACTAGTGGACTGAACGAGTCCAACTTCCAACATGTTAGGCATGGGAGGGGGGGGGGGGGCATGGGGGTAGGGGGAGGGGGGGGGGGGGCATGGGGGGCCATTTGTAACTGCTGGGGAAGGGGAGGGAGGTAAGTGTGCAACATAGCCCATAGTCAGAACTATGGTTACCGGTTAATCAAAGATCTTGATCAAATTTGTAGAACTACTGACTGAGCAAGTTTGTCCAATTGCAACAAAGCTACGAGAGAAACAAGAGACAAGAGCTTACCAATCCATTGCCACCTGGACAGATTTGTACTGAGTGGCTGCAAGCGCTCTTTGTCTGGTAAAAGAGAAAAACAAAGAAGAAAGGACACCTGATGAAACACATGTTGTTATACCATGTGCTGCAAAAGTACATACAAATTCAGGTCCCAGATTTCGAAAAAATTCTACTTACATACATGTATATTAATTTTGAATAGGGGAATAAATATGTGTTTGGCTGGTTTTAAACAAGATGTTTATGACAGGTTTTGGAGTCAGGACACCGAAGAGGGTCATTATCAGCGTCCAGACTCCAAACTGGTCTTAAACATCTCGTTTAATACCAGGCAAGCACATATTTATTCCCATTCATAAATACCTTATTGGTAAAAAAACGTAGAAGAAATGACAGAACGTTCCAAAGAGTACAAACATTGACAACTTTCCGACAATGTTTTGTTCACGAATTTAAGGTTACCATTGACCAAAAGTCACCAAGTAACTCGCTATTTTAACATTTTGGACATGGTCTGCAGATTATCCAAATGTTAAAAAAAGCGATTTATATAGTCTTTGATTTCTTGCATTATCCTTGGTGGTGGTCCATCATTGCAAAAGTTGACAGAATTAGAATCATTTCCATTCTTTTAAAACAAAATACTTTGAATTAAAATTCCCCAAAGACTATGCACGCGACCAACAAACTGGCATCAATTAGTCTGGGTAACAATGGTAACATCAGACCCTACAAAATACCTGTTCCCCCAAAATCCTTAGGGTTAGGGTTAGGGTTAGATGGTTAGGGTTGGGGAACACAGGTATTGGGGAACATAGGTATTGGGGAACATAAGTACATGTATGCACCCATTTTATCAAAGTCACCCAATCATCGCATCCAAATGAAGAAAAGGATAATATTAGAATCATTTTCAAACAGGGGCGTAGCGAAGCCATTTCCATTGGGGGGGGGGGGGGTGTGGAAGTCAAATTGCTGACTCAGGTCCGTTCCTGCCTTTATCCTAGATTGCAGGGTTATCAATTATAAATGGCCGTCTCCCCTAAGGAATATGGGGGAAAGAATGTTGCATCCCTGATGCAAATCTTTTTCATCATTATCTCAATGAAGGTCAGTCATTGCAGAAATATTGAAAAGACATGAAACTGGGACTGAGAAACATTTCCAATTTTGTTAGAAAATACTTAAAAATAATAAAATGTACTCGAACCTTCACAGACTTTGTACACAACCACGTGAGAGGAGTGGCATCTGGATTACTAGGCCTACATTTTTTCAAAATGGGTGAACTTGTACCCAGGTGCGTACCCCAAAATCATCCAATTTACACCCGGTCCCAAGTCAAGTCGAGTACAACTACAAGCTAACTTGGGTACACATTGACACCAGTACGAGTTGACCCAGGCCAGGTACGAGTTGACCCCAGTACAATTACAAGGTAATTCTGGTAATACTTAACTTTAGCTTGAGTAACTCCAGCTGACATTATATATGGCTGACATGCTCATCAGGAATTCACAGTAACGTGAGTTCCTGATAAGCATGTCAGCTGGAGTTAGGCCGTGTCCAAAATGGGCTTCCAGAGCTACATGTACGGCTACGTCTATTGTCAGCGCGTTCCCGCGTATTTACAATGGGCGCAGACCTAGACATAGCTCTAGACAGCTGATTTGGATGCAGCCTTACTCAAGCTAACTTAACTTGGGTAGGAGATGACCCAAAATCTCCCCAAATTTTATTAGGCCCCTAGGCCCTACTTATATATAAAATATTAATGTTGGGAGTGATCGGGGGTTGATCCGCGCGATCGGTCGATCCGCGCGATCGGTCAATTTGCGTGATCGGTCAATCCGCGCGATCAGTCAATCAGCGCGATCGGTCAATCCGCGCGATTGGTCGAATCGAACACCTTTTCTTTATTATTCACGGCTCTTGTGGTTTTTTGTGAGAAAAGGGTAAGTAAAGTCCGTGTCCGAGATATCCGTCATGATCGACCGATGGTGCAGCGCGATCAACGGATCGCGCAGATCGACCGATCGCGCCCGGCGATACTCGATAGCAAGTAGCCTTGTCACGCCCCAACTATCGCATCGGTCCCAACTATAGTTGGGACTGTCCCAACTATAGTGCGGCAGTTGGGTCAGCCCAACTATAGTTAGGACTGGAGTTGCGCCGGATGCTTCATGCTTGATAGATCTTGTTGGATTATTGTTCCGCGGCGCTGGCACCATGTACATGTATTCGTCGTGCATGCATGCCGCAAGGCTGGCCGGTCACGTGGTACTGCCTAGTTGGATGAGTTGTCCAGCTGCTGGGTTGATTGTCCAGCAACATTTTGCAAAATTCAAAGATTGCCATGGCCGGCCAACTATAGATGGGCCCCACCCATAGCTAATGTCAAAGGTCCCAAGTAAAGTCGGACAGTATGTAACAGAGCTGTAGGAAATGTTTTATAGTCGTCGTACATCAATGTAAACTATAGTTGGGACCGCCAAATAAAAATATTGCGGTGGCCCAACTACAGATGGTCCCCACCCATAGATAATTTCATTGGTCCCAAGTAAAGTCAGATGTGTATTACTAGAGTTGTAGGGAATGTTTTATAATCGTACAACAATGTACACTATAGTTGGGACCGCAAAATAAAAAGATTGGAGTGGCCCAACTATAGATTGGCCCCATCAATAACTAATTTCAGTGGTCCCCAGTAAAGTCAGACGTGTATCAGAGCTGTAGGGAACGTTTTATAGTTGTACATTAATGTACACTACAGTTGGGACACCGCAAAATAAAAAGATCGGAGTGGCCCAACTATAGATGGGCCAGCCCAACAGTGGAACTTACAGTTGGGACCGTCCCAACTATAGTTGGGACAGGCCCAACTATAGTTGGACCAGCCCAACTGTGGAACTACAGTTGGGACAGGCCCAACTATAGTTGAGACAGGCCCAACTATAGTTGGGACCGATGCGATAGTTGGGGCGTGAGAGCCTGACTCAGTTAAACCATGGAGCTATACAAACTGACATGACTGACATGACTGAGTGCATTTTTCGTGCAGCAAACCACTAACTCACGCTCTATTTTCCGGGAAACCCATTTCCATTAATGTTTCTACGTCGGTCGGCATTTTGAAAACTTCCAGAATTGTCCTACACTGTTCTCTGGCGTCAAGACTGGTGAATAATCGACTGTGATTAATGGTAAAATCTGAGAATAGCGAGTTTCTAATCCCAAACTTCTTTAGCTGGCACTTGCGTATAGACCTACACGTGCGAGTTGCGATTTTGCGCAAGAGCTTACGATTCCCTGGTGTACATGTACTCGCTACGTCACCCGGCTCAATACCCGTGCACGTGCGCGCACACGTGGGCACGCACGTACGTACGGAATGTACGTACGGAACACGGAATCATGGTCTGTCTGCAGACCCATATTGGTCGAGCGCATGCGCTTTATGCAGGACGCGGAAAAGAATCTACGCTACGGAACCAGTCGATGAGACTGAGAGAGTCGAACAAAAGCGCAAGCAGAAACCACGTCGGAAGGAGTTGAGTTCAGTCGCCAAAAATACATAATTTCACGGTAATGCAAATCTAAACGTAATCAATTTTCCTTCTTTTTGATGAGGAGATTATGTAGATGTATGAGGGATGTTTTAGAGGCTAGTTTGTGGCCTTGGTGCGTGGTAAATTAGACCAGACGAACGGAGTAAAGCGGCGGCTTCTTCATGCCGCGCCGTTCTCTTTTGCCCCAAGCTGCTAGTGGGGGTACCGGCTACCCCGGCTAGTGGCAGTGCTACACACAGTATGCTCACTACGCGTCACTGGAAACAGGTCAACTCGTACGCGAACCAACTCGTACGCGAGTCAACTCGTACGCGGATTGGTCAACTCGTACGCGAGACAACTCGTACGCGAACCAACTCGTACGCGTGCCAACTCGTACGCGAGCCAACTCGTACGCTAGCCAACTCGTACGCGAACCAACTCGTACGCGGGCCGTTTTAGGAGTGGTTTCGAGGATTGGGTTGGCATGGTTGGGAAGAATTTGGGAATAGTGTGACGGGTAGTCCGTAGTTCAATGTGTGACCGTTGTGTGTGATTGGGAGTGAACCCGTGAATGATGATAATAAAGTAACTGATTTTTGTAAATTCTGATTTTAACAAAAAATAAAAATCAACTCCCCATTTTTTCTTTTTTTACAAAATATTATTTGGATATATAATAATTAGGACTAAAAAACTATCTGACCCAAGCAAAAAACTGGCGGACGCTGTCCGTACAACTGTATAAGCATGCGTGATGCTATATTCCTTTTTTTTTTTATAGTAGCTCCTTTTTATACAATAGACCTCGCAAAAATCGGTGTTTTCTTGTCATTGTACTTGTCTAACCAACCATCAATTGTACCGCGGCATACACAGGTTACAGCGATTCAATCATGCATTCTTTATACAGTGCGCGGTGCGGCGGGAACCTATCATACTGCACTGGTTATCGCGAAGACAACTTCCCAATCAATCAAGCGAACTTGTAAAAAAAAACAAAAAACGCAGACTTCTTCTCTAAAAAATCGCGAATGTAAGTAGCACTGGCGGATTCAAAAATCAACTACATTTAATTTGAAAATCTCAACCTTTCAGAAAAGGTAAAATTATGCCGACCTACCGTACCGAACCTAATTTCATCTGTCCATGTGAGCTAAACCAATCGTCTAAACTCACGCGTACGAGTTGGTCCGCGTACGAGTTGGTCCGCGTACGAGTCGGTCCACGTACGAGTCGGTCCACGTACGAGTCGGTTCGCGTACGAATTGACCCGCGTACGAGTTGGTTCGCGTACGAGTTGACCTGTATTCGCGTCACTTCGCCCCAATTTAACATAACACAGGCAGTGCAGCAACCTCTTCCCCAGTGCTTACTTTATATCCAACCTCGTTTTCCAATAGTAAGCCCTGGATAGGAAACTTTCTTCCTGTATCCTGATTAAATACCGAAATTGGCTAGAAATGGATCGTGTAGGCATGGTAGGCACTTTGTCGGTGTTGTCATTCTCATTAATCTCAATGTGCAGTACGTTACACTAAAGTGAAACTTACAGGGATCGTTCACCTGTCAGTCACGCAGCGCAGCGCACCGCATGCCCCGTAGTCTTTGCCCAAGATCAGCTTTAATAATTTTCATCTAGGCCTAGGTGCAGTTGGTGCAAGCGCGCTGGCAAGCGCAGCCAAACAACATCAACGGTAGAGGGCGCTATCGGCGAGACAAAGCCGGTCTTGGGCTAAGATAGCCCCATAAATGTGGCCAGTTTACTGGACTGCCTCCGTAAACATAGGCCACACAGCCACCATCTTGGAAACTGACTCGGCGAAATTCCTAGGATTCCTGATCCTAGGAATAGTCAGAATCTTTTGGTCTGGGAACCGGACTACCACTGGGCCTGCGGCGTGCGTCCTGCACGCGTGATTGACAGGTGAACGATCTGCGCGAGGGCATTGTTCAGTTGGACCATGGAGATAGCTCCATGGTTGGACCAAGTTGCCAAGAAGGCTCCAGAAAATGTCGTAAATTACGCAGCAGCTGGGCAACTGACACCGGCAGCAGGTTCTAATTTTGTTATTAAGAGGGTAAGTGTATTTTTAAAGCATAAATGAACTGGGTCTGAAGTCGCAATGTGGAAATCACTTTCAAAATTTCGTCGAGTCAGTTTCCAAGATGGTGGCTGTGTGGCCTATGTTTATGGAGGCAGTCCAGTAAACTGGCCACATTTATGGGGCTAGGGCTAAGACTGACAGGTGAAAGATCCCTGTACATTGCGCGAGAGCATTGTTCAGTTGGAACATGGCGCACACACAAACGGATTGAGTTACACACAAACGGATGCCAAAAAGGACTGGGATTGGGAAATGACATGAAAACTGGAGAGTTGTACACTTTGCATTATTTTCTCTTTGTTACCAACAAGGTCAGTGTTTTTTTCAAGCATAAATGAACTGCATACGCAGTCTAAATGCAAAAATTAATTTGGTGCCAAGTGCTAACGTGTTGTGGAAATGTCCTAGTGTGGCCTTAGTTTACGGAGGTAGTCCAGTAAATAGGCCACATTTATGGGGCTGTTGTGCGCTTTCTATTACAGTACTTGGCATAGTCTTGGGGTAAAATATACAGCGGCCGCTCCAAAAATCAACTCCAGATTTTGTTGGTCATTGACTGTATATTAAGTATATAATGTTCAGCATGGTTTGCGTTGATATGCCTAGCTATGGGGTGAATCAAGCCCCATAATTCTAGGGGTACACGACGTGTGCATCCAAAATCTGCTCTAAAAACACATTTTTCCTAAACAATTTTCGCATTGCCAGAGCTTCCTGGATTCATCTTGGGTGATATCACAAGGTGAGGTGAAAATTGATGTTTGGCGCCAGGTAAGTGGTGGCCTAGTACGGAATTCTTCCCAAAATGTTTTCCATTTTGCGGACCCCTTACATCGTAGGTCGATCAGCCATTGACACACTGGCCCATCTTGGGCTCTCTTACATCGTAGGTCGATCAGACACACTGGCCAATCTTGGGCTCTCTTACATCGTAGGTCCAATCAGCCAGTGACACACTGGCCAATCTTGGGCTCTTTATCGACCATCTGCCATGATTCCTTAACCCTTACTAAGAACAGTACCAAGTGCCAACATCCATCACTGACTCTGCTTCGCATAATGCTTCAAGACCAAATCCACCACAAATCCACCACTGCTATAGGTGGATTTTGATGGACTTGGTACTAAATGGCTTGCCTACCAAAATCCCCCAAATGGGGGATGGATTTTAATGGAGTTGGGAAGGTTAGGGTCAATAGAAATTCACCAAGGCTATAGACATCAAACTTTCACAATTTGAAAACTTGTTTCCGTTAAAATGACATGTATTAAATTAGCAGACTCCCATTTGATAAAATCATATTTTTTGTTTTGTCTTTCATATACAGTATCTCTGAAGAGCATATCCAGTAGTATCTGTGAAGAACATCAAGATGTTGACGGAGGGTAGGCTGTATGTGGGTTCACTGAATCCTGGTACATCCAAGCAAGACATCGAGTCTGAATTTGGGCGATACGGATCACTGCGCGATGTGTGGCTGGCCAGAAACCCCCCAGGCTTCGCGTTCATCGAGTACGACAGTGTTGCAGACGCTGAGAAGGCCATGCGGGATTTGGACGGCGCCAACATCTTAGGCTCGCGGATCAAGGTGGAACCATCCAAAGGGCACCAGAGAGGGGGTCGCGGAGGTAGAGGTGGCGGGATGCGGGGCGGCGGTGGCGACAGACGCGGTGGAGGAATGCGCGGCGGGTCACGCGGGGGCAGTTTCCGCGGATCACGCGGTAGCCGCGATGGTGATTCCCGCGGTGGCCGAGGCCCTCCATCGTCCTATAGTAGCTATGGCGACTACCCGGCCCGCGGTGGAGCAGGTGCATATCGCGATGAGCCAAAAGCACGCTACAGTTCAGATCCCTACGGAAGCAGATATGATTCCGCCGCCTATCGCAGCAGATCGCCAATTCGCAGAAGGTATTTATACGCACATCGCACAACGTGAACTCTGGTCTTCACTCCGCTATTACTTGCCGTTGGTACATGAGCGAGCATGTTAAGTTTCATGCAGTGTATGCAAGTATACACCCCATTAGCCAACCGCTGTTTCACTCAGAAGTCTGTCAAATCAGTAAAACAAATCTTCAATGTGGTAAAATTTCCCACACTCAAAAAGTCAGTGATCAATAAGCTTTTTGTAGTATTCAAACTGGGGGAGATAGTGAAAATGCATGTTAACAGTGGTACAGTGTTTTTCTCGCCGTTCTATCCCGTGTGTTTAGGACGTGTATTGACATTTATCACAGATGTTCTTTTACAGCAAAACACCAATGGCTGAAGAGTATGCCCAACCAGCGACTTCTTCTGATGACATGCGCATACAAATGTACGTGTACATGTGTAGATTTTTTTCACAGCCACAGTGTTCCACGACTGCTCGGATCTCCACGCAATTGCCGTCACTGCTATTTCTACCAACTTAGTGACGTTTCTCACTCGGCCATTGTTACCTTCTTTTCTCAGAAACCAATAATTCTGTATTGAATGTGCCACCTAACCACTCGGATCATTTCCTTCAATTGGATTTTCTCCCTCCAAAACGCATACATTTACTTCACTACTGTCACTTGTTTGCTACGTTACCCTGCATGGAGTTGTAGAACTGGCTGATAACACTTCAATACTTTTCACAACCGTCTGTTTTTCGAAAACAATACTAACCTGAAAATTTACGCAGCATACTGAGATTATTTTGTGTATTGCTACGGTGACAACGCTCTCCAACGTTCCTCGATTGATATGACCTGCACGTGAGTCGGCCTACTTGTTGCATCAGAATGGCACTCCGAACGCTCTGCATTCCAACGCTTTCTGTCATCAGACCTTCGCGTGCAGCATTCTACAGTCGAACACCATGATTCAACAGCTTTCCACGTTCAAGCTTGCACGCTCTGTGTAAATTTCCCTCAGAAGCTGTTTAAAATCACAATCATTTTGCATTTAAACTTATGCAACTTTGATTGTGACAACCTCACGTATTGCCATCATCAGGAGGTGAAGTTATAGCGTACCTCGTTAAGCCCAGTGGTACCAATGCTTATGTCGCATCGTAGTGTATTCGTACGATGTGCAGTAACGCTGTGGTCCAGACTCGGTGTATTGTATCTTCACTCGATACTCGATGGAAAGCAAAATAAAGATGTAACTTGTCTCCGTGTTCTTCAGTTATTCATGTGGATAAGATCCAAAGGGAATGAGTACACACTATGATTTATCCAATGCAAACTATCTATTTAAGTTTTATTTGATCTCGTCAGTTTCTCGTCAGAATCCTGATTAATTTCGTCAAAATTGAATACGCTGTCTCACAAATTCACATGTGCGTACATGCCAAGGGGAAAAGCCTACAATTCTTCAACGACTTCTTTTGCACAAGTATTGCCAGGGTAAAACTTTAAAGCTCACCATGAAATCGCATTTGATACGAAAGTCTACAAAGGTCGCTAGCCACTGCAGCATACAATCATCAATACCAATTTCATCTGCGTTTCTTTTCCTCCCGAGTCTCAAAATTCAAAGGAAATTCTGTCTGTATCACTGATGTTTCGATAGCAAATGAGCTCAGCCAGTGGTGAAAAATGAAGCAAAGTTTGGCGCATACTTGGTTTTTGACGACACTCGCTATATTTTTTTTCAAAAACACCTGCGAAATCTACTTCTCCTTAACTGTCGCATTATCAACTAGTCTACAATTCTGCATGCCGGCACATGTAGCTACTGTCGCTAAAACATAGGAACATCGCTACCTAATAAGTGTCGCTTAGATGATGTGCTGCATTAAACTACATCAGAGCTTGGCCTCCATCCCTCCTTACCTCCACTTGTATAGCTGGGATATAGACACACGTTTTGGAAACTTTAACAACTTTTAAGGGTAATGTGATGAACTAATGAGGAGACAAACATTAGAACTTGCCGGGGCCTGTCGTCTCTATGAAATGGTACTCATTCCTTTCATTTTCTTTTATTTTGTCGTATGAAAAATGCAGGGGTGATTCTGTGCTTAATGTCAACTTCCTTGCAAGCCATTTTAGTCCACTTTAAAAATAAAGGATCTACATTGAAAGCCAATTTATGCTTTGTTTCACCGTGGAATGGCTGTTTTGAGTTATTATTTCCTTTGTACATTTTGCAGCAATCTCAAAAAAATTGGTTGCAGTTTTTCCCAGTCGGATTCAAGTGCTAAACAATGAAGTTGGCATAAGCACATAGTTAACCCTTGTATGTACAAACAGATGTGTAGTGAAGTTTTCAATTTATCTTTGAATTTGGAGTGAATTCAGAATTTGAATACTGTACAAATGTACATTGCATTACCAAGTGTGGTGTAAGTTTAGCTTGAAAGCTGTCAGATACATTCTTTGTGCAAACTGTTCATGCATTATGCTACAAACAACAAAATGAAAAAAAAAGACCGTGGCATTTCTTCTTCTGTTTCGTTAGAATTCTGTTTGTTTCTTGACAATACATGTAATACTCGAAAGTGGGACAAACAGTAAGATATTTTCTTGGGCACTGTAAATGTGCACAATCAAATGCCCATGTTTATACTTGAACAACCTGCCAAGGAACAGTGTGTCGGGTTTTACGATAAATTTTCACATTAACTCATGTCATACAGTCAAAGTTGTAGTCAGTACTCTCCGAGTACCAGCTTAGCTACCAGAGATAATGATGGTTTGTATGGAGAAAGCTGCATAATGCAGACACTGAACAGTAAATCCCACCAAAAGATATTAAACACTCTAGACAATCAGAATCTTGTATGAACTAACCTTTTAAGACAAAAGTGTTCGGAAAGTACTCGCCAAGTATTTTTCAAGTACTTTTAGGGTACTTCTGACCCAAAAGGTTAATTAAAAAGGGGTTTTAAGTAACCAAAGTCTCAAATTAATTTGTTCTCTAACACTGACTTCATTTTGCTGTCTACTCTCAATGTTTCTCTTGTGTTGTTCGCAAGAAACAGCTCAATACTTGGTAATAAACAAAGTACTCGGAAAGTACTTGACTACAACTCTGCGTACAGTACACATTATAGTTGACTGAACTGTCGGCTGTGGTTGAGCATTTGAAACCTGTATGGGGCTGAAGAAACAGTGTGGTGCTATTGCTCAGTTAAATTTGCTATTAATCTGGTTTGCAAAGTGCCAATACTACTGTTGTACTTCATGTAATTAGTGAATAATTAGTGTGGACCAATCTGGGCACGCTATCACCTCTCACTGGGGCCTCCTTCAATAGACCTTTATCATGCTGCAACCATTTCAGTCATGTTCCTTGTATCCAATAACAGTACTGAATGATAACTTTTTTGTGCGGAAAGGAACCTGACTATTTTTCCTTTCAGCCTTGCTTTGGTTATGTTGATTTGAATGGGAAAAATCAAGATGGCTGCAAAATGATAATGGTCTATGGTGAAAGCATTGTGCAATCTTGCAGATAATCTGTCATGGGACAGTTGCGTTGTTCAATAGTGTGCACAACTGTTTATCCATTGAAGGGGGCCTCGAGTGTTCAGTGATCACGAGCCCGGATTTGTCTGCACTCCCTGAGTTTTGCAATTGGCGAGACGGGATTCAAAGAAGGTTGATATTCAAAGGCCATGATCAAGTTTGTATTCAAAACAGTAATGGAATGGTCATTGATGTAGAAAAGATTTTCTGAATTTTGCCGAACATAGATTGAAATGAAACAGCCTAACCCTGTTTTGCTACGGACCATGCTGTATCCAACAATATCCAATAGTTAAAACAGGAAAGTGTTCATCACGCACAATCCAACTTTACAATTCAACTTATTGTTAACAATTTAAGCAAAGCTATTCATCCAAAGCCAAGATCAACAAACTCAAACAGAAATGTACCGTTATTGGATATTGTAATGTTGGATTCAGCAGGGTTGAGGTTATAGAGCTGCCAGCATAGGTCTTTACCATAGAGCTATATTAAATTACTAGAGCGCTAACTCTTCATTCTTGCGCGCGGAGACGCTTTGAAGCCGCTCTGGGTGTAGACATTTTGAATTTATGTGCGTGTTTGTAGAACACAACCAAAAAATAGATGGATTGAATTTTAAAAGTGTACTCTACATTCAACGCGCAAGTAGAACATACGCAGACAACTTCAGCGCGTCATGACGGTTCAAAAAACGTCAGGGCGAAAAGCATCTCTGCAGCGGAGGGACGCGCACACGTTGCGCTGTTTGCGTAGAGCAAAATGAAACGCTCATTTGCTGATCGTGCGTTTCGGTTTTGGGCGTATCGGCTTCGATGACGCACCGGTATGGAATACAAACGCAGATATGCAAATAGCCGTACAAAAGCCGTACACAATTTCGAGTTTTCCATAGGTTTGTGCACAAACATGGATGCGCCCATCAGGCATTACTTTGTACATCGAGTTAGCGCTCTAGTAATTTAATATAGCTCTATGGTCTTTACGCATGGACTTTGTACTGATAGATCTTCATTGACAAAGCAAAGACGGCTATTCAATTCAAGAGTTCAAATTTCTTGACCCCTCACAGGTCCCCTCCGCCCACGAGAGGGCGGGATTTCGGAAGCCGAGAATACAGCACCATGAGCCGTGAGTACGGTAGTGGGCGCGACTATGGGGCCGGGGCTGCGGATTATGGGACCTCTGCAAGGGATTACGCTTCTCCTAGGAGTTACGCCCCACGAGATAGCACCCGGGACTTTGACCGAGAGTACAGATCGCCCGTTGCTAGTAGTGGAGCTGGGTAAGTTTTTTTTAAATCTGAATCCCAACTTTCTGGGTGCTTTTGCCAGGACGTTTCCTGAACCCACCCAAATTCATTATTGGTCAGTAAACGGGTAACGTATACATGTAATTAGATTTCAACTCCATGTGCTGGGCTGTACAGTCCCCAATTCAGTAAAATATACTGCAAAACGATTTTGGCCTCGGGCAGATATGTGGAACTTAAGTTGGAGAAGAAAAACATGCAACTTGGACAAATGTGTAGCAGAACATGTGTATCAGTGCAAAAGGAATACAGTGAAATCTCGATAAGTCAAACCTCAAGGGAACAGGTTCCAAATTTGACTTAAGCAGAGTTGTTAAGTTAAGCAGGTTTGTGTATCATTGTAAAACTACTGAAGGGAATGGATTCTTTGTTTGACTTAACAGTTGTTTTGAGTTATCAGAGTTTGACTTGTCGAGATTTCACTGTTTTATTTCAAACACAGAATTGCTTTTCATATTGTTGGTTGCTTTTACTATGAAGTGATTGATGTAGATTTGCAGGTTAAATCAGTGATTTGATGTATTTGCCTACGAACTGTGAATATTTCTAGGGGATTTTCTTCATTTCATTTTCAAATTGTTATATTGTCGTCCCTTAGTATTTGATATGAAAAAAACCTGCACATTTGAATCTTATTTTTGCTCTTGACATTGCTTTCAGTGCCCGTTACGACCGAAGTGATTTTGATCGCTACAGTCGCTACGACAGGGCCCCTGCTACTTACAACGACAGAACCCGGCGATCACCTTTGCCACGTCGCTGAGGATATTAGGGCACCAGGGTAAACGAGTACCAGTTTCACTTCCATGGAAGGAGTACATTGTGAACAGCCTCCCCCCTTCTAAAAACTTAACAGTTGTTTTGTTTTCGTGGTTTCTCGTTAAAATTGTTTTTACATGCATGTGTTTCTAGTAACGTTGAAATAGTGCGAATAACTTTTATGTTCTTCCAAGGATTGTATAATGTACATACTGAATTAAGAATTCTTCCATCTTGTGTTTTTGTGTGCTCCCCAAAAGAAGAAAACAAAGAAAAAAATCCCGACAAAATCATGACAAGACTATTAAAACCATTACAATGTTAGATTGTGTTTATCATAAATTGTTTTCTTCTTTCCCTGTAAAAATGTAGTGCATCTCGTTTAATGTAGATATTCACCTGCTTGAAAGGTTTCATGTTTTTTTTTTTATTAGGTTTTTTTTTAAACATATTTTGTAGTACTTAAAACTTTAACAGTCCACACTAAAGGCCAGTCTTGGGGGACAGTTTCATGAAGCTGTGTAGTCTTGATGCAAGACTGGATTTGGATTTTATTCCCCTTATACAGCCGGTCCGTGACAAGCGAGGTCGCTATCAACAGGACGAATCAAATCAAGTCTTGGCAATTTTGGCAGCGCTAACCAGGAAATTCAATGTATTCAAGCAAATACATGTGCGTGAAGTACATGTATGCTCGGAATTTCCCGGGTAGCGCTGCCGATATTGCCAAGCTTTGATTCATCTTGTTGATAGAGTTCTCCACCATCGCGGTAACTTAACCACATTTGTCACGGGACTGGATGCAAAACAGGGTAATAATAATTCAAATCCAGTCTTGGACGAAGACTAGAAGTTGCGAGGCACTCAAATTTGCTAGACACAGAAAAATTCTGCTTACCAGAATGAGTTCTCAATATGCCTTTGACTGGTTTGCAGCTTTTTTTAACATGTAAAATTGCTTAACTATATTTTATGCATAGAAGCTCCATAAATTACATGTTGACAAAGATTTGTAATGTAGGTTATCTGGGGTCTTGTGTATATGACAAATTAACTTAAAGTTGCTCTACCTGTGCTCTTTAACGAATTTAAAAAAAAAATCCTCCTAATGAATTTTCAATGTGTTTGTTTTTTTCTAATAGGATAAAGCTACTTTTTTCTATTGTGGATGTTTTCAACCCTTTGAAATTACGCTTATTGTGTGTTCCTTTTGCACCCATTACGCACAAAGTGATATGCCTGAATTGTCATCGAGCCGCAAATCAAAAATTTGTCAACTAAATACATGTATTCCATTTTGCTTGATGTCTCATTCAAGGGTGCATAACTTTTTAATTGCTAGAAAAAAAATAGCAATTTAAAAAGATCTGGGTTTTTTTTGGGAAGAAACTACAAAGTAGCACAGGACTGGTACAGCAACTTAAATATAAGCTCTGCTCGTTGTAGAGTCATGATGGAAAGGAAGATGTTATTTCAGAACATTTATGTATGGTTTGCTATTTTTTTAATGAGAATACTGTGTACTTGCACTAACCTCCAAGTTTTAGCCCAGGATATTAAAGTTTAACCATATTGCATCAAATCTTGACAAAAAAATTTGGGAAACTGAAAAAAAAAATACATGTCATGTAACCAAGTTTCTCTGTCAATTGGTTCTTTGTTGGAATTTTATCTCCGAATATTATCTCCCCAAAATAGGAAATATTCTTTTTAAAAACAAGTCTAGGTAATACTAATGCATAAAGTTAAGAAATTTTTCGCAAAACTTTTGTCAAGAAATTCAATTTCTCTGTTTGCAGTGGGTTGTAATTATTGTCATGCTGCAAATTGGGAAACATTAACTGCCACATATTTTGTTTTTGTTATCAACCAAAAGCATTTCAAATTATGAAAAAGTTATTTTTTTCAAGTGTCATCAAACTAAGGTATATCATGCATTTGCAGGTATGTCTGCTTAAGAGCTGTTTAACTAACCAACCTAAGGAACTTAGCAAATCATTTGGTTTAGTGCTGAGCACCACTGGAAATGTACAAATATCATGTCATGGCAACCTTATTATTTCTGTCCATGTGTTTGTGAATAAAACATTGGTAGCTTCTGTTAATAAAAAACTGTTGCTGAGAATTCAGTTTGCAACTTTTTCTTTATGTTGTTGTTACAGTAGGGATAATTAAATCAAGATCCATTTGCTTGAAATGATCCATACTTGCATTTACTTCTTTCTGGTGTTGACCCTTAACTCCTCCAACTTTCCAAGATAATGCTAGAGTGCCAGACGTTGGAAATATTAAGTGTGCAGGGAAACGAAGAAATATCCTCTGTTCGAGTACTACATTTATATACAGGCAAGACGTGTGGGGTGTGGGTATGATGATGGGCCAAAAGCCGAAAAAACACACCAAAACAACCTCTTGGATATTGACCTAATTCCTCACAAATTATAGTAGCATGTGTAACCATTTTCGAAATGCCATTGTCCAGACACACTTAAGTCTTGAGGGAGGGTAACTACGTGTATATGTATAAACAATTTGCTTCAGGTTCTGCAATCGTCAAAAAAAGTTTGGTTTCTTCAGGACAGACACTGTCGGAATTTGATTCTTTCAATCATGGAGGTAGAATTAGTTCTACCTCCATGTTTCAATCTAGTGAGTGCGAACAAAATCCGGTGCACCATGCAGACGAAATTTAACCTGATAGTCAAGCGGATTTTGGTCTAGTTCCCCGTGAAAAGAAAAATGCTCCACTCAGTACTACTAGACGGCGCACCGTGGCGCGCGCTGGAGCAGGGTGACCGTTTTAGCCGATTTTCGGCTATTTTTGACAGATTTTTGGGGAAAAAAAACGAGTTTGACACAAAATTTGACAATGGGTTTTGGGGGCAAATTTTGACAGAATTCTGAAAAAATTGTTCTTTGACGGAAAAACAGCAAATTTGGTAGAAATGGTATATTTGTTAAAAAAAAACTCATTTCAAACAAACCCTTGCATAATGGGACAGAATGGCTGGTCTATGACTTCGTCGTGACGCAACCGCGTTTTGCCTGAAATTTACACAATTATTTCATAACATCCTTATGTGACTATAGATTGTTTATAATGTAATTTAAACCTTAATTAAGATAAAACTACAAATATACATGTAATTTTAAGTGTTTATAGTGTATTTCTAGTAATTCTGGGAGATTTTTGATAAATCTGACAGGTTTTTGAAGTGCATTTAGCAGAATTTGGCTGTGACCTTACGGTCACCCCGCGCGGGAGGAGTCGGTCAGTCGATATGACGTGGAGGGAAAATTGAACAGCTGAACAGAAGATGTCCCAAAATGCAAGGTGGCTGAGCATCCTCAAAAGGAAAGTTAGGAAATCACAGGTTGTAGAACCGAAAGAATAGTTTTGAAACGTCACAGGAGGTTTGTATAACCTGCACAGTCCCACTAACTGGGGCGCTAGAACTCTTTTTTTTGCGACAGACCAATTCAACATCCCTAATGTCAAAAAAAGGAGTTCTACTTCTATTATTATTCGCAGTGGCTATTGTTACGGCAGCCGTAACGCATTTCCCATTTATATCGTTACGGTAGACTGCAACCGGGCAACTTTTATAAAAAAAACATGACAAGAAAATATAAAATTAGAAGGAAAAAAGTGAATTTGAACTTTATGAAATTCGAACTTTATTTCCCTTTAAAAAAAAATCCTCCAAAGCCTCAGGTTAGAAAAGGAAAAAAATTCGAGTGCAAAACTGAGATTCGAACCCGCAACCTCGCGGTGCAAAATCCTACCCTCTATCGGCTGAGCTGGCGCTCAGCCGATCAAAAAAATATCGTAGAGGGCGCTAAACAACGAGTGCCGTAACGATAGCCACTTCGATTATTATTATTATTATTAATCCTTTCTGGTAATGAAACCAAGGATTCCTCAAAAGCGCCCAAGGCACTGTAGCTCACAAGCCTGAAGAAACCTGTAGAGAGAAGACAATGAGAAGAAATTACAGTTTTAGAGATGGGAGGAAAAGCCCAGAAGAATATTCTGGGGAAAACCCACGGAATCAGGCAGGGACTGAAAACCCAATCCACATATTGGCCCAGGCGGGATTCAAACCCGGGTCACAGCGGTGGAAGGCGAGGAAAGTACCGCTACGCCAAGCTCCCCAGTTACTTAGTGGGACCATGGAGAAATTCTCCATGGTGGGACCATGGAGGAAGGAATTCCTTCCTCCATGGTGGGACCTAGTCCCACTAACATGACTAACTGGGTCGCTAGAACTCCTTTTTTGACATTTGGGATGTTACTGACAAATACTGTCGTATTAACATCCCAAATGTCAAAAAAGGAGTTCAACTTCTAGCGACCCAATTAGTGGGACTAAGTGGGACCATGGAGGATGATGGGACTAATTGTAGATGTAGCTTGAGTAAATATACTCCAGCTCCAATGGCAATGCTCATCAGGAATTCAACATATACATGATATATAGGGCCTAGTCGTGTTCCCTAACATGGCGCACTTTGAAGCCTACCCGACTTTCCTCGTGTAGTGTTGCCAAACCTCTTTGTTGACAAACCTCAAGTTCATCCAGTAAAATACTATAGTAGTAGTACTTTTACCTTTGTAATGCTTGCTATTTAACCTCTGTGAACAATTTCGGTTTCATAAAATTTAATCCGAAATTCAAAAACAGTGGCGTCCGGAAATTGGGCACAAATTGGCGGAGTGTTCCCTAACTTTATGTGGGATAGATGCAACAGAGAAAAAGGCCAAAATGACGTCACTGTTAATTTTTTTTATTTTTTTATTTTTTTTCAATTTAAAAAGAAAAAAAGAGAAGAAAAAAGAAGAGGGGGCTTCCAAATAGGAAGCGGGCTGGGACGCTAAACATGTTTATTTTTTGTATTTGGCCTAACGAACTGGATTGTAGTTATTCTGTATTGACTGATTCCCTGTGACGTGCTGTGTTGTCTGCATTGAACGAGCCAACAGGTTTCAAAATGTACCTGTCATGCCCCTCCCCTTTCTGGATCTGTTCTTCCCACAACTAGGTATACATTTAGACAAGTAATAGTACAACACTTTTACTTTAACATTGAGTATATATGTTTGTTGCAGTGATTACTTTGTAGCGAGATGGAAAAGCCACCACAAAGTAAACCTTCATCGTCATCAGCAAAAGGTGCTGGCTCCACCCTGACAATGAATTGGAATACAATTGACCTGTTGGTGCAGAATGTACAAGAAGAATACTGGGCTATTAGTAAGTGACTTCATGATTTGTCCACCGTTCAACTTTGTCTTTGTTTTATCTTTTATTAAGATTAACCCTAACTCCCTATGCATTTTTTGCTAGGATGCAGCCTCAATCCTGCAAAATCCTCCAACTGCCTCCATGTAAAAATTGTACACAGCCTCAATCCTGCAAAATCCTCCGTTATTTCTTGAATGTGGTCCTTGGATGGGTGAAGACTGACTCAATCCTGCAAAATCCTCCAGCAATCACTGTCAATGTGTTGAGACAGAGCAAATGACAGCCTGGAGCAGTGCAGAGGATTTCAAGTATAATCTTGGCCTAAATGTATGCACAGCTGAGCATAAACAACACAAGGTCTGGCCCAAGATCTTGACATAGTGCATCTTCCAATATCAGCCACACATTTTTGCCATATAGCCTCAATCCGGCAAAATCGTCCATTTTGCAAAGAGGATTTTGGAGGATTTGGAAAGGTTACTCACTGACAAACTCACTGTAATTAGACTTGCTTTTGTAAGTCGCACCTTGGTCAAAAAGATTGAAATACTGGTAGATTACCCTGTAACGCCAGTGAATGGGTTAAATCCAGCCAATTGTGTAGGCCACATGCATGAAAAGACTTCCAGTGAAAAGCCATTCTGAATGGGGACCATCTTTCAAGGGCTTCCTTTATCTTGTTTTTAGCTGAATCCATCAAATAAAACTGAGGGTCCAAGTTCAGTTTTGATATTCTCACTTTATTACGACAGACAGTGTTGATGACAATATGTGTCCATAAAGAGACTGAAGACCTTGTGCGTCAGACCCCATGCACAATTATCCTCTCAATGGTTACAGAGAGTTCCCTTGAACTCCATTGCTGGTCTGGGCCTGATGCCAAAGCAAAATGGCTGGCGTTGTGCTTTTAGTTGTGTGTACCCAAACTATGGACTGATGCATGGAGTCCATACTTGCACATGGTGTGTCTGGCACACTGGAATGGTTACACAGTGTCATCTACTATATTCTTGCCTGGAATTCCTAGTCAAAACACCAATAATTTTGGAAGTGGCTATTGCTTGACAAATGCAAAGAAAAAGTAATTCACAGGTTTTTTATGCCCCGCGGCGAAGCCGAAGGGGCATACTGTTTCCGCCTTGTCCTTCCGTGGGTGGGTGGGTGGGTGGGTGGGTGGGTGGGTGGGTGTGTGGGTGTGTGTGTGGGTGGGTGAGTTTGTCTTACATACGCAGTGTGGACTTCCGAACAAAAGACGTCCACATAATGTAGGTAGCACCGACGTTGTGTGGACTTACCCCACGTCCACACAGTGTTTCCCCATTTCTGGAAAACAGGTTTAGAGGCATTTTTGGGTTAGGTTTATCTGTAGCAGAATGAAGAGAAACACTAAAGGGAATCATAGAAAAAAAATTGGGTTGAAAGAGTTTTCACAGTTTGAGAAAAATGAGTTTTTTCACTGGTTTTTCTTAACTACACGAAAGCAATGGAAAGTCCACACTAGTCATGTGAAACAAGTGTGGGTGGGTGTGTGGGTGTGTGTGTCCGGACAAATCTTGTCAGCGCGATAACTTGAGAAATACTTAACATATTAACTTCAAATTTGGTTTGTGGATTGTTCTTGGTAATCCTAAGAAGCCTTTCGCATTTGGGGCCAAAAGGCCAAAGGTCAAGTTCACAGTGGCTAAAACAATAGAAATCTTGTCAGCGCGATAACTTGAGAAATACTTAACATATGAACTTCAAATTTGGTTTGTGGCTTGTTCTTAGTAATCCTAAGAAGCCTTTCGCATTTGGGGCCAAAAGGCCAAAGGTCAAGTTCACAGTGGCTAAAACAATAGAAATCTTGTCAGCGCGATAACTTGAGAAATACTTTACATGTGAACTTCAAATTTGGTTTGTGGATTGTTTTTGGCAATCCTAAGAAGCCTTTCGCATTTGGGGCCAAAAGGCCAAAGGTCAAGTTCACAGTGGCTAAAACAATAGAAATCTTGTCAGCGCGATAACTTGAGAAATACTTTACATGTGAACTTCAAATTTGGTTTGTGGATTGTTTTTGGCAATCCTAAGAAGCCTTTTGCATTTGGGGCCAAAAGGCCAAAGGTCAAGTTCACAGTGGCTAAAACAATAGAAATCTTGTCAGCGCAATAACTTGAGAAATACTTTACATGTGAACTTCAAATTTGGTTTGTGGATTGTTCTTGGCAATCCTAAGAAGCCTATTGCATTTGGGGTCAAAAGGTCAAGTGTCAAGTTCACAGTGGCTAAAACAATAGAAATCTTGTCAGCGCGATAACTTGAGAAATACTTAACATATGAACTTCAAATTTGGTTTGTGGATTGTTCTTGGTAATCCTAAGAAGCCTATTGAATTTGGGGCCAAAAGGTCAAGGGTCAAGTTCACAGTGGCTAAAACAATAGAAATCTTGTATTTATTCTGAGATTATAGGGATTAGGGATTAATTCATATAAAACCTACAGAAGACACTAATGCTGTCAATGAATGTTCCATGTGACCAAGGTACATGTAAGTTGATGTTAAAAGAGTGGTGTTATGTCATGGGAACAGTCACGGTTGCGGGGCATTTGTGTTTGTAAACACACCTGACTTGTTTTAGATGCACTTTGATGCAGAAGTTCCTTCTATGATTTGACACTGATTCTCTCTCTTTTTTTTACAGAAAACTTGGTGGACCTTTTGGAAGATGGTTGCAGTGTCCCATTCATTGCCAGATATAGAAAAGAGCAGACCAACCACATGGAGGTTGATAAGATTAGAGAGGTCATTGTCAAAGTGGATGAACTCAAGTGAGTTATATGTATCTGCATGGATATCATTGTCTTGATAAGTTTTTTTCACTGCTCTTGTAGTGCACTATGATCCTACACTTCTTTTGTCTCCTGTTTTCCTTGTCCATATTCTTGTCTTTTTTCTTTGTCTTTCCAACTTTGTATTGAACAATTACAATTATATGCTTACATAAACATAACAAATGGGTGTAATTTGACCACGAGAATAGAAACTTTGGTTATTTCGACTAATCATAGTAACCAATCTTAGAAGACTTGTTCATTTGTTTTTCTTTAGAAGGTTGGGAAGAGTGGAACACATTCTGCAAAGGTTTTAAAATTCTAACTGAAAGTTGTGCTAATTTGAATCAAAGGGGTTTTACGATTAGATATCAATGTGGCAAACCTGTAATGGATGTTGAGGTCCATATATTCACGTTGTAGCATGCACAGCTGTTTGGAAACATTACACGTATGTGTACTCATATCTGTTCGTATCCCTCAACATGGGTTGTGTGTGCGTTCCTTCACAAATCTCTTGATGTGCGAATATGTTTTAAAAAAAAACGCTGATTGGGTGTTAAGAATGAATATGCATGTGGTTCAAACCAATCTGCCAGTATATTTGGAATAAAAATTCTGATTCCCTCAAATGCTGCGCTGTGATTGGCCGCTACCCAAATTGGTGTATTAGCTCATAGACTGTGTACAAACTCCTGGCAGATTGACCAAGTCAGGGTTTCTGAACTCACATGAAAATAACATTTACATGTATATGTACATTTTTAACATATCGGTCGGGAACTGACACGTGAAGGCTCGCATTATACACTTATGTACTGTGTGTTGGTGGTGTATGTGCTCCTACCTCCATGACTGAATGGACCAAGCGAAGTCCAGACTTTGGCAAAGTCTAACATCAGTCACGCAATTCATGCTGTTGCATAAAAATTACAACCTAAACACTTGTATAGCACTTTTGTTTTTTCTTGTCAGGCATGTGCAGACAAAAGTATCATCTGCAGTGAAGCAGATTGAGAAGAGTGGCAAAATGACGGCCAGGTTATTGAGTTCCTTCAAGAGTGCTCAGACAGTGGAGGAAGTGGACACACTGGTGAGAGATTCTCATTCACGGTGAACAATTCTCATTCGGTGAATAATGCTAACATTTGTCAATGTTGTCAATGTCTGTGCAAGTGGAACCGACTGGTTGCCACCAATGTTGGCAAACATTAGTAAGAAAGGGCAAGGGGTTTTCCCGAGTTATTTGCTATGTTTTTCAAAATGACCAACACACAATGAACGTAATGATTCTGTCGGTGCTAAAACATCCCAAGTACGTTCATATTTACTGGAAAAAACAATTCACAGCCAGTCACAGGTATTTTTCTAGGATTTTTAAAGCAGAAAGTAAAAACATTGACAATTTTAGGATTGGCCTGCAGGGCGCCGCCGTTTAGACAACAGTTTTGTTATGACATTATCGTTTCATTTGGGTTTGGCACGTTCGCAGAGCCTCGCTGACGAACACTAAAATGTTAGCGTGACTGGAACACGCCCCAGATAAACTAGTCCTGAAACACTGTTGTTTCCCCCTTGTTTCAGTTTGCTCCGTACAAGAGTGGGGCCAAGACCACTCTGGCGGAGCGTGCTAGGAAGCTAGGTTTGGAGCCTGCTGTGGAGATTGTCCTTCAGAAGCCAGAGCAGTTCCAGCTCCAGAGATTTGTCAAGCATGGTGTCAAAGGTGAGACGGAATTTATTTGGTTGTTTATAAGACTGCCTAGACCTGTTAGACTGAATTGGTCTGGGACAGCTTTAAAAAAAATTTTTCATATGATAATTCTCTGCACCCTTTCCTCTGAATTACATTGCATGCTCTTTAAACTTGGGTGAAAAAAGGAGCCTTACCTTAAGATTTGCATATTACCTGTCTCAATGACATATGTCCAAAAAACCCAACCTGAGGTCAAGATTATACACATATGGACTGGCAATGAGGTCACTAGTGCACGTCTGTGCCCCCCCCCCCCCCCCAGGGACTGTCATTGACCAGAAGAGGGTCCTATTTCCCGAGGCCGAAAAATAGGACCCTCTTCTGGTCACTCACAGGCCGGAGGGGGGCAGAGACGTGCAATAGTGACCGAATTATGCCAGTCCATATGTGTTTTATAACTCACCTCTGTCCAAAATATAAAATAAGAAAAGAAACTTGTTCAGGTTTTTATTATGGAATTGTTTTAGTTCAACAATTAACTCACCCGTCATGCCCGTAAGCAATTCAACCATAAGCAATTTAACTATGTTAAAGGACTGCTTTCAGTTTCCCTAGATTCAGTTTTTGAGTTAGAGTTTTTGAGAGGGCACTGTAACCAGTCAAAAAAATTGGAGTATAGTGCCGGATTGGGCATATACTCCCGAAATAACGCGTGCGCAATGGCTTGACGCGCGTCTAGTCCACACTGACGCGAATTTCATGCACTAGCCTGTACAGGGTGAGTAAAAAAAAACGAAACCCAAATGTCAGGACCATTGTTTAAGTGAAGTGCTACATGAAGCACTTTCAAAATCTAGTATATGAAAGCCCAATTCATAAGCTTTCTTTTAGTACAAGAATCATTCAAATCACTGACATGTACTTTTCAAGTGACGGAATTCAACACACAACCACCATTTTAAAGTTCGGTCCACGGATCACAAGAAGCTGAGTGTTCTTTCGGCCAAACGAAAACAAATCACATAAGGATGTGTGTGAATTTTTTGTTGGTTTTGCTGACTCACCCTGTATTAGTGAACCACATGTGACCGCTTTTCAGCCAACCAGAATAAAGAACCAGCAAGATGTGTGTTATAAAATACATTGGTATATGACTCCACCCAGCGCGGCATACTGCTAGTATTTTAAAGTCTGAGAGACCTATCTTGGTTGCTTAATTTTGCTCAGGAGAGGCTTGAGCCGTAACTCCAGGGCTAACCAAAAGTTCAAAGTTGCACACACGTAGATGAACTGGTGATGAACTGAGCTGCAATGAAAAATCAAAATTTAAAAACAAAAAACTATCATTCGCTGTGTGAGCACTATTCATGAACCCCTTTCTCGCTATTTTCCCCCAGGACTGAGCACCGTAGCTGAGGTGGAGAAGGGTGTCCACCACATTTTGATTGACATCATTGCCAAAGACAGTAGAGTAGTCAACAAACTCAGAGAACTGTAAGTTGACAAACCTGAAAATGAGGTTGTAATAAATAATTATTAATTTTGTTTCTATCCTTGATGTTGACCCTCAGACTCAAAAGAGCTCAAGTGTTGGGAAAACACCGCTTGTGCCCAAAAGTTTGAATGTGTACGGCATAGACAGGACACTTGGCTTTGCGGTCAGAGCTCCCCTTTTCCCTCCCCAGAATGTTCAAGAAATGGTCGTCCAGCCATGCCACATTTCTGTCCTCAAACTGGTACAGCTGCTTGTACAGGGTGAGTCAAAAAAAGTAGAACCCAAACCCCAAAAATTATATTTCATATTTAAAAAAATATGTAGCACCAAAAAATAATGACTGGAAAGCCAATTTCATAAGCTACTTTTGGAGGGAAAAAATACTGAAATTGGTCAATCCGTTCAAAAAATATCACCATTTAAACACAATGACCCTAAAACCTGTCTCATCCAAAAAAATGCGATTTCAACAATCGTCATCACAACTGTCTTCAAACATCACCAGCGATGAAATCTTAGTTTAAACATTAACGATATGCAACAAAGTCCTTTTGAAGGCCCGTCTTTTAAAAAAGGGTTGTTAATCAAAATATTGTGTGCTACAGTTGGTGACAGTTGTTGAAACAAGTATTCTGTGTCATTTTCTTTGTTGTTCCAAACAGTCAAAACACACAATAAATTGATTTTTTGGACGAGACAGGTTTTAGGGTCATTGCGTTTAAATGGTGGTATTCTTCGAACGGATTGAGCAATTTCAGTAATATTTTCATCTAAAAGTAGCTTTTGAAATTGGCTTTCCAGTCATTATTATTTTTGGTGCTACATATTTTTTTAAATACGAAATACATTTTTGGGGTTTGGGTTCCGCTTTTTTTGACTCACCCTGTATTTTGATTTTAGACACTCCCTCCTCCGAGCATATACCTTTTTTTGCCGAACCACATTTATAAAAGCTGTTATTTTGCATACTAGTGTTTGCTTCTCCCTTTTCAAGGTTGCCCTGACCCAGCCTTGAAAAATGACAAGTAAATACATATACTCTCAATCTGAAACATTTACTCCATTTTATTTAACCAAACAAAGAAAATGATAATAGTCTAGCAAAAGCTACGAAAGTACAAAGTAATTACTTTTAGTTTTTAGCAAATGCTGCCAGGAAAAGCATTTGCTTCATTTGTATTCATGCGTAGCAAAAGCACAAACTAGGTTTTTGTCCATCGCTAATTAAAACCATTAAAGTCCAATCATAAGTAAGGTCATAATTATCATTGGCAAGTGATGCCCTTGACATCCTGTCGCCATTCATTTGGATATTTTGGTTATTTGACTTGTGACTGAATGACCAGAGATTGTTAAAACTTAACAATTACGACTCTGCATCTGAAACGTGTTGTATCAACAGTAAATATTTTTTTCCTCTCAAACAGCGTAAGGAATGCCAATGTTACCATCAGGACGACCCTGAGACAACTCACAGAGGAGAATCAACACAACAAAGACACCTACTCACTCTACTTTGATTTCTGCGCATCAACGAGATCAATCAAACCTCATCAGGTAAATAGCTGACAAAGGCCAAGTTGATTCTCCCTATATAGGAGTCATCTCATTAAATATCGTGGATAAGTCCAGGGCAAATTTATCCGCAATATCCCCTTTTGATTGGGTATTAGTTTCAGGATTCTGAACAACTCCCCCATAAAGTTGTCAGTTTGTAAACAGTGCTGATAAATTCATTATGAGAAGATTCTAAGGATGTAGTTGAGAATCCTGCTACTAATACCCAATACAATGGGCCCACTGCTGATAAAGTTGTTCACAACTCATCCCAGCTATTTAATTAGATGACTCCTCAGTCAACAAAATTTTCCAAATTTCATAAGGCAAAGATGAGTTCTTATAAGATGGAATATTTGCGTCGGGGTGATATAAATCAAATTAGGTTTTTGCCCTGCACCGACGTTTAAACACTGTATACTCAGTGTGTTACCTCCCGAGTGAAAGTTGGAAAAAAATCACTCGGGTGGGACTCGAACCCACGACCTCCTGCTTTCTAGCGCAGATGTCTTACCACTCGACCACCGAGCTAACGGCATCGGTTGGCTGGTTTGAATCTGATGTACATAGCAGCGGGTACCGCGTAAACTATTATAAGATGGAATTTTGCGTCGGGGTGATATAAATCAAATTAGGTTTTGCCCTTCACCGACGTTTAAACACTGTATACTCAGTGTGTTACCTCCCGAGTGAAAGTTGGAAAAAAGATGAGTTCCTCAGTATTCTACCAGCTAATTTTGTACTCTCAATACAGATTTTAGAGTACAGTTTTCTTCAACAGATTGTGAAGTGAGAGGTTTAAATTTGAAGCCTGACATGCCTGAGACAATTAGACTTGTAGCACATGTGCCACGTTTTTAACAGATGTACAATTAGGTAGCGAGTTGGCGTGACTGGGGAGACAATGTAAAGAAATCTAGAGTACATGTAGATGTCAGATGTTGCAAGGGGGTTGATACCCCTTTGGAAGTTAACCCTAACTCCCTACTTACTTTTACCAGTGTAGCACCATGTCTGTCAAAATCTATCACTCACTCTACTTCACCAAATGCTTCCTGCAAAATCTACCACTGGAGTGCTGTTGGATATTGATGGACTTTGTACGGCTTATATGGCAACAGCAGCACTGATGCTAGGCAAAATTAATTTCCTAGCAGTGCTTAAAGCCTTCTGGCCCAAGTCCATCATACTCCATCAAAATTGAATCAAACCAGGCTAGCAGGACCACGTCCTCCAAAACCCATCAAAATTGGGGGAGTGGATTTTGGTAGAGTTGTTTTAGGTGAGGGTTAAAGTAATAACTATCTGTCATTAGGTTCCATTGGGTTTGACAAGAGATGAAGTTTCAAGGATTCAGGAATTTCTCTTGCAAATATCCCATTGGAGTTGGCATTTATCCATTTGTCCCTCTACCGCCCCTAATCGCCTTGCCTGTTTCTCCCTGTACTATCCAAAATTGCCCCACCATTGGCTGGTTTTATGGATGCATCGGGGAAATAATATAATGTAAAACATGCTATTTCAGAAAAACTCTGTGCTATTTGGTTGTCCAGATTCTTGCCATAAACAGAGCGGATGTTCTGAAAGTGCTCCTGGTCAAGGTGGTCATCCCGGACAGCACATTGGCGGCCTTCAAGACACACTGCCGGGTTCAGTGGGTGCCCAGGAGAGCCTGCCCAGAGCTGGTGATCAAGCTGTTCCAGTCCTCCATCGATGAGGCTTGCAGTAAGCGTCTACTACCCATGATCATGAGAGAAATCAGGTAGGCGGGTCGTGGTTGACAAATCTTGGGGGTTGTCCGAACTTTTATTTTGTCTATAAAGATTTAGCTTCAGGAGTTAAGGATGCCCTTAACCCTAACCCTCCAGGGTATTTTGGCTAGAAACCCTGCCAAACACAGCAACATGCAACGCTTGTCTAAGTGACAAGCCTGCCCAGTGCAGCAAGATCCATCAGGCCAAAAGTCTCAAGGCCTAATTGCCTCAGAGTCTGTGGTCAGTGAATGCAGCAGGATACAACTGTGGCATTGTTCAACGGGATTAGCCCTCATTGTCTTAGAAGTCGCCGTTTATGCTCTGGTGTTGGTAGCTAAATGCATCAAAGTGCACCGACACATACTACTATCCTTGTAAAAATTGATGCAACTTCGCCATTGGCTACAAGTTCAATTTGAAATAAACCAACAATAATAATAATGATAGACTTTCTCACCTGATGCACTGTGTTGCCTCTGGCAGGGTTGATCCAGGTTCGTCAGTATAAACAAATGCTATAATATGAGTCCCAAAGTGTATACAGTATTGCAATTTGATTTGCCGTCTTGTAATTCCTATATGCCTTGAAGTCCAGAATTAGTATCTTTTCTGTTTGACAGATCCAACTTAACCAAAACAGCTGAGAAGGCATCAGTGGACGTCTTTGCTCAGAACCTGCGGCGTCTCCTCCTGACTCCACCAGTCAGGGGAAAGGTCATCATGGGCGTTGACCCTGGCTTCAAGCACGGCTGCAAGGTGGCAGTCACATCACCATTAGGTTAGTGGAACAGAAACAATGTTACAGATGAATCTAGCGAGCGATTACTGTATTTGACTATGGAGCCACAATTACGGTGTGTCCGTGCGTGCTTCATAAAGGCGTGTATACTTCACACTCAGTTTCCACCAAAGTTTGATCATTTCTCCTATATTGGAACATTTATTATTATTATTAATCATAATAATTTCTGGTAATGAAACCAAGGATTCCTCAATAGCATCGGAGGCACTGTAAGCTCGCAAGCCTGAAGAAACCTGTAGAGAGAAGACAATGAGAAGAAAGTACAGTTTTAGATGTGGGAGGAAAACCCCAGAATATTCTTGGGGTTAAAACCCATAGAATCAGCCAGGGACTAAAAAACTTTATCCACATTTTGGCCCAGACAGGTTTCGAACCCGGGTCACAGCGGTGGACGGTAAGGAAGTACCGCTACACCAACCTGACTCCCCATTTGTTGACAACAATCATAATTTTGGTGTCCAAGAACTCATGGGTCAGATTCCATAAGCTTGATTGTAGATGTGTGTATAACATACTATGCTGCAGACTAATACTTGACTATGTTAATGTTTGCTGATACACTTGTTCTCATTAAAAGCGAAATGTATAATATTTCCAAAAGTATGCATCATATTTTTCATGACCCCAGATGTTTGCCTAAATTTTTTCTTCTCGAAACCCCAGGTCAGATTTTAGAAACTGGTGTAGTATATCTCCATGGCAACCGAGGAAGGGGAGATTTCCAGAAGATTGTAGAAATGGCAAAGAAACATGGGTAAGATGCACATCAAACAATTTTTTTATGTTGGACAGAATTAAGGAGGAAAGTGATAAAACACATACAGTCTTTGATTAATGAACAATAAGAGTATTACGTCCATTAGTTCTCGCTTGATTGAATTTTTATCAGTTGGTGCAAAAGTTGCACCAAACATGACAAGAAAATTGGGCTACCCTTAAGAGCATTTTACAGTGAAGATTTGCATGTGCAATGAAATTTCTGTTTGCAGCAGGTTCCACTTTAGTACATACAAATTGCTACTCGAATTAGTGATGATAAATTTTGTGAAATAGAGGTTTCTGCTGGCTGACAGTACTAAGCCATGTTGGCCTGTAACAATTATTCACTTATGGGTCAATTTATGGATGAAAGTGCACATTTTCCTGTCCCTATTACCTTGCAGCTGTAATTCACCATTGAAGTATCTGTAGGAATGACTTCAGGTTGCAGGCCAGTAAATCAGCCAAAATAGTCTGGAAGACGTGCACAGGACTGTGAGCTTGTAGTTCTGTGCAATTTGGATGAAATTGGGGCCCTAAAAGCACTCTATTTTGCAGTGGAGTGTAGGCATCCTTTTTCAAAATGGCGATGGGCTTCAGGACTATTTTCAGGGGTGATCATCTTCGGAGGGAAATTTCTCCTAAAAGTCATTAGTTAACCCCCAAAAAATTGAAAAGAAAATAAAGGATGATGAAATAAGCTTTAATTTGATGTGTGTCTCTAACATCTTGGAGAGCTGTGAGCATTTTTCCTGAATTTGTGAAGTGGGGGCATTTATCGTTGGGGTCTATGGAAGTTTATTTACTGGTCTGTAACCTTCAGGGCAATTTTGTAAAATCTAACGAACGTCCGACAAAATGCAAAAGTTCGTTAAGGTGGTGTACCTCAGTGTGGTGTGTAACTGTTTCCCACTTATTAGATGTTACATATTAGTGATGTATCACATTCACTTTTCCAACAGCAGCTCATTAAATTGTCTGACATGTACGTCGGAATTTACGGAATTGCTCTTCAAATGATTTTATATTTGGTGGATAGGTAGTTTGCTATTCATAATCACTCTTGGAAGACGACTGCATGATGCATTGTGTGCATCAGATTTATAAAATCATAGACGTCAGATGTAACAGGGACAGGAAAAAACGTGGACCCTGAATTTATAGAAAGACCCTTACTCGATTAAATTGATTGTTGTGTCGGTTTACATTTTTTGTTTTGATTTATCAAAAATCACTCAAGGGCCAATCAGAAATATACCATTATTTGTTTGAAAATAAAATAATCATATGCTTGCCAGGCATCAATCAGTGGTATGAAGATTGACCCCTATCTTTGAACTTTGCCATATGACCTTTAATCAGGTGTGAGACGATAGCCGTGGGCAACGGTACTGCCTGCAGGGAGACAGAGAGCGTCCTGTCCAAACTCATCACTACCAAAGCCTTCGGTCATCTCAACGTCATGTACTGGTAGGTATCAAAATCTTCTCTTTGTTCTGATAATGAAACCTTGGATTTGTCAAAAGTGTCCATGGAACTAGCTGTAGCTTGTAGAAACTTGAAGAAACTTGTGAGGAGAAGAAAAAAGTTGAAAGACGAATCCTGAATTTGGGCTCTAATTGGGATTGAAAAAGAAAATCTAAGTGTTTCGAGGGCCACACGGGTAAAGTCAAGGGCAATATCACTGCACTAACCTGACGCCACTGGGTGCAGTGGCTGCAGATCCAAGATTTTTCAAAGTTGGGTTGCAACTTTAAGAGTCAAGCAACTATGCCACCCAAAAAAAAACTGGTCTCTTTTTTGGGTAGGGGGGAAGAACTCAAAAATGGATAGTATTTTCATCATGAAGCTAATTAATTATAAAGTCTTAGTAGCGGATCTAGAGGGGGGTTGGGAGGTTGCAACCCCCCATTCAGCCACTGACAAATGTCATGATACTTGTAAAATGGGGCCAAAAATAGTTATTGGAATGCTAAAATTCCTAAATTTATTCTTGAATTGCTTTAGAACGCAGGAGAAAGCAGCATAGATTCCAACATTTTCCGGGGGCATGCCCCTTGACTCCCGTAGCAGGGTTATGCCTTTGGCACACCTTAGACTCAAACCCCCCCCCCCCCCTCGGTTTCCTGCCCTGAGCCTTCAATATCACTTTCAAAGTCAGGAAATACTTAAAGTATTGAATTTAAGGAGAGTGTTTCATTATATATTCACTTCTTATGAGGTGATCCCTTCAGTGATTGTTTTTGTCATTTCAGCATTGTAAATGAGGATGGTGCGTCTATTTACAGCGTGTCTCCTGAAGCTGAGAAGGAAATGCCCAACATGGACCCTAACCTCAGAAGTGCTGGTAAGTTAAAATCGGGATAGTTTAACTTCCACACATCTGCTCCTTCCACTACCGTTGACGTTCCCATACCCTCATCCAGAATTGCAACCTTCAAGGCATTATTTTCTAAGAATTTTCTGATTGAAAACAACCACACATTCCAAGGATTTTTTTCCACATCATTGGTTCAATTTGTGCTTTCCCTTTTGTATTCCCTGTGCAGTGTCAATAGCAAGACGACTCCAAGATCCCTTGGTTGAACTTGTCAAGATAGAGCCCAAACACATTGGGGTTGGCATGTACCAGGTAATTAGTTTGCTCCCACTTCTGATTTCTGCGCTTACAATCACCATTCTAGTGGCAGAAAATCTCTGCAATCTCATCTGTGGGCATAGATTCATATAATAGATCTACAGTTGACTTCAAGATACTTTTGCACACAGTAGCATAATGACTCCACTATTGCCACATTTGTTGCCTGGGATGGTTCGGAAGTTGGCGGATTTCAGGGAAGTTGTGTCGTGCATGAGTATGCAGCTTACTTACACAAATAATGATGTAAAGGCCAGTTTATACTTCTTGCGAATGCGAATGCTAAACGAATTTGACGTCATGAAACATTTGCTACAAAATTCGCCGGAGCTGAAATGTGCTTAACTTTTGCAAAATCGCAGCCCGAAAAACTTGCCGTGAAGTCATAAATTCGTGTTTGCATTCAGGCTGAGTATGAATCGGCCGTTATTAGGCAGTTTGTTAGGCAGCATATATTGAAGTATACTACAACTTGTAAATTGTACCATTTTATTGCCTAACAAAAGAATTCACAACCTTGTTTTTGAGTTTAATGAAACACTGGTTTACCGGAGTGAGACTTTTGACAGTGTCGCCAGTTTCTGTGGAAGATACAACTTAATTCAAAATGATGGGCACAGCCATTTCGGTTGGCCAATAGTAGATCAGTCCATTGTTTGTGCGTTTATTTGGAAACTCTTGTCTATTTCAGCATGATGTTCATGACAAATTTCTGAAGGAAGCACTTGATGGAGTGGTAGAGGAGTGCGTCAGCTTTGTGGGTATTGATCTGAATGTCTGCTCAGAAAGTCTTCTAAGGTAGGAAACTAACAGTCACATTAAAGATTCTGATGTACTACGTTATCTGTAAATCTTAAAATCTTAAATTCTTGTTCAATAATGAAAAGTGAATGTGATCCAAACCTGAGAACTAAGGAATGTGCAGATACCTAGGATAAAAAAAATGAGATGTGGACAGTACTGAACTTTGACCTGAATTATTTTCTGAAGGTATTTCTTATTGTTAAAATAAAATCATCTTCACCTAATTTAATCAGTATTCCTGATACTCCTCTTCCCCCGCAGGTATTTTTGTCAATAACCCTTCTCGAAACCCTCATAAATCCTCCAACTTGGCAGAGAAACCAATGGCAAATACTTTGCAGGTCAAGTTTAACTTTCGTACTGACTGGAATGTAGATTCCTGAATTCTGCTAAATCATCCCAAACCTTCCAAAGGAGTTTGAAGGAGCCCAAATCTTTGAAGTTAATCAATATGTCTGAAATAATATCATTTCAACGCACGTTGAATATTAAACAATTTCAAACTCTTTTCTGTGCATAACAAATTAGGAAAATTGCCGGCTTGAATGTCACAAGGGCCAAGAAAATCATTGAATACCGGGAAAAGCACGGCGGGTTCACAAACCGAGAGCAACTCCTGGAGATCAAAGGACTAGGACCCAAGACCTACCAGCAGTGTGCTGGGTTTGTCAGAGTCCGGCCAGAGTCCGCAAGCAGTGAAACACAGAGGTTGGCTTTCCCCCTTAAGAGTTTTCTTCCGTTTGAAACTTGAGCGACTGAAGTTTTGCAGGCTTGTCTTTTATGTTTGTGTGTCTTTCTGTTTTTGAGTTGTGAGCCTTGAACCAAATACACTGAAGACAAATTTGCACAATTCATTTTTTGTAGTCAAGTCCATCACAAGTCCATCACAAGTATTTCAGTGCAACGTTTCAGTTATGACACATTTCATGAAAGTTTCATAGTGCGTAAGTCCGCGACTTGCACAACAAATTATGGCGCAACTTGTGCAATGGTTTTAGGTGGCGTAAGTTGTGGCGTAGTGACTTAAAATGAACATTTTACTAGCAAACCATGATCGTCGTGGAGCCTGTCATTGCACAAATTATCAAGTTTGTTACAAGACATTTGCAGCTTTGTGCTTGAGGTAAATGAATTGCAATTTTTTTGTGACAGAATATTTTAGAGTTACCGCACGATTCCAAAAACAGTGGCGGCAGTGATTTGATGACTGTTTCGTGACCAAATAAAATCATTCACAAACGGCCGTCGAAAATGCTGTAATTATCCTCATCCAGGATGTTTACTATATTTAAAACGTTGCGCAACTACGCCAAGTTTCGTGAAATCGATTGTAAGTCTATTGCACAGCTGCGCAATACATTTGTCTGCATAAGTCTTATGCATGGCGTATGTTACGCACTGTTTTGTGACTTTTTGCACAAGTTTCCCCTTTACGGTTACAACTTTTAGGGAGAGTTAGGGGAGACCACTGGGAGAGACATTCAAATGCATTGCAGACGAAGCTTGGAGCTCACGCGAAGAAACCGCATGTTTGTGTATATTCAGAATGAAAAGTGGTACCTACTTGTGCCATACGCATGTAAATTTGTACGCGCATTCACTTTGTCCTTCCCATTGTGCTCTCAAACATGTCAAAGTAGTTGCAAAACCCCAAATACTGTTCATGCATGGAGTTCTTAGTCAAACAAAATTTGGAATTCTAGTTGAGAGAAGTTCTACATTTTCAAACTATGTTTAATCATTTGTCATTTCTCCCAGTTCAGTCTGTGATCTTACAACAAGTGATTACGAAGATACCAGTTCTGGATCCAAGAGAAAAGCAACAGGAAGGGCGAAGGGCAAAGGCAAAAAGAGAAAGACTGACCTAGCGCCTAATCCACTGGATATGACCTGGATACATCCGGAATCGTATGACATCGCAAACAAGTAAGTTTATATTACTTTGGTTTTAGGTTATGAGCTTTCATTCGTTGAAAATTATTCACTTGACATACTACAAAAGATCGTATATGACGACCTGAGTACATCAAAGACTTTATCAAAGACTGAAGCATTTGACTGTTGAAATAAAACACATAGGGGTGATAAAACAGGAAAAGTCGTTACGAAAATGATATTTAACTTACCATATTGTCATTTCTTACAGACTCAAAAGTAAAAAAACACACGGTATAACCAAACAATTGTTGTCTGTAGCCTAGCACATTTGTATTGTCAGCATGCAAACATCAGCTAAAAACTAATCACAAGTAATAGAGTTATTGGGTTTTTGTGTGACTCACTTCATCAGTTTGGTTCATTGGATTTTTTTTTGCCAGGGTCCTATCAAGGGCTGATGCATGTACCAGTGACATTGGGACCAACGTTATGAAAACCAAACTACAAAGGTTACTGCAAACTACAAGTAAGTTTAACATCAACTCAACCCACATACATGCATGTTGTGTACTGAAGATTCATAAACTTTAGATCAAAAGCTTTGCAATACAGGGTGAGTAAAAAAACACGAAACCCAAATGTCGGGACCATTGTTTTAGTGAAGTTCTGCATGTAGCACTTTCAAAATCTAGGATATGAAAGCCCAATTCATAAGCTTTCTTTTAGTACAAGAATCATTCAAATCACTCATGCACTTTTCAAATTACGGAATTTTAAACACAACCACTGTTTTAAAGTACTGTCCACAGATCACAAGAAATTAAGTGTTCTTTCATCAAAATGAATACAAATCACAAAGAGATGTGTGTGATTTTTTTTCATTTTGCTGAGAGAACGCACACCTTTTCTGTGATCCATGGACAGAACTTTAAAACGGTGGTTGTGTTTAAAATTCCGTAACTTGAAAAGCACATGAGTAATTTGAATGATTCTTGTACTGAAAGAAAGCTTATGAATTGGGCTTTCATATCCTAGATTTTGAAAGTGCTACATGCAGAACTTCACTATAACAATAGTCCCGACATTTGGGTTTCGCTTTTTTTGACTCGCCCTGTAGACTGATTCATTAAGCCCCCTTCTACTGCGCACACGGGCAACAACATGCATGCCTATCCAATGCCACACTGCATGGTCCAGCAACGTGTGTTATACAGACATTTGTACACACATATCCGACATTAATCATGGCTGTGATTGGTTCAAATACTATGGGGCCTAAAGGATTGGTCTATTCTTTTATGATTAAAAACATGATTCCCGTCTATTGCTGGTTTGGTCTATTTTGAGGATTAGTGGGTGCGTTCAATTAGCTCACCCAGGTCGACTCGAGTGAGCCCTGTGCCGTTCGATTAGCTCTGACGTCATTCTCAGGGCTTAGTCAGGGCAACGGATCCTGCTCTCGGGGCAGGGTCTGTGGTGGAAATACATCACACACATGCATTGTTCAAACTCATGGTCATTCCAAGAATCTGACAAATATAAAACTGGACAGTGGAAAAGATCAAGTGGACCTCAAAATAAAGTTATTTGGAGTATAAATTTAATTATTTACTGATCTCATTGCAACTTTAGAGGTTATTTTTACAATTGAAATATGACAGAATAGCATTAGATCTCAAAGTAAGACTCAGTCCGACAAGGGCGTTTTGTCCATAACTATGGCTATGACTACGGATGTCATGTGTGGATCATGATTGCCTACATTGGTGCGTTTGTTTAGCCCGCTGTGGCTAACTATTTTGGAGCTCCTAGGCCAATGACATATCCTCTTCTCTTACTTGGGTTTTCATATTAAGTTTTGGAAACCAAAGGTTACATCATGAAGATTGACATAAATTTCTTGCAGAATATGTCATCTGTTTTATCAATTTGCCATATTTGTCGTATATTACAAAACAATAGTTGACTGCTATAATGTGGGATATGTGCTTTTACACCCTTGAGGATGCATGACACCCTCTGCCTCTACATGTCATGTCTCAAATCACAGCAGTCAACAATTGAAAACTGCATGAGGTTCATATGTGAATGACGCAAAACAAAATTGTGAATACCTGTTTATTTCCATCCAAGGTCTGGGGAAACTTGCCAAAGATCTGGATGTAGGTGAACCAACGATGAAGCTTATCATAGATGGTCTCCAGCAACCTGTGGGCTATGACATCAGGGCAGGTAGGTCATGGGCATATGGACCAATCTGAGCATGTCATCGCAGCACACTCATAGAGACCCCTGTCAATGGTGCAAGCGTTGTGTCAGCTATGGACTCCGTTCACAAGTACCCTTCTCCGGTTACAAAAGGGAGAGATGGGAGAGACCACTGGGAGGAAAATTCAAACTATTGCTGACGACACCTGACACTCACGCAAAGACGCTTTTGATTTATGCACAATTGACAATAACATTCAAGCCATTTGCATTTAGAGCCTCAGTTGGCAAATGAACCACCAAATTAAAATAAAGAGCTCAGGTGATGCTGGAAGGGGATGTGGGGGTGTCTGGCACCTCTGTTTAATCGGTTTTAACTGCAAAATCATCATACTTTTGGCAAAATTGTGTATATGCCACTGATTGCCCAATTGTGTCCAAGGTATTCAGCATTGAACAGCTCCAAAGATTCAGGTGGGGTCCAGCCCCCTCCCCTATTTGATTTTGAGGTGACTGGGTGAACTGAAAAAGTGCTGATGAGGTGTTAAGTAAAGAACAAACAGAGACCAAAAGCCTATGGGCTCCGTGCACAAGTACCCCTCTAACGGCCAGAAAAGGAGAGTTGGGGGAGACCTAGACTGGTTCCAGGTCCATCCACTGAGTATTTCGATTGATCCAAAGTTATTGGGAGGGGGGATTAGTCGGCGAGACCATAGCAAGTATTCGCGCGCCAACGCCGCCAGATGCTCAGGTGCAAAGACACTATGGCTTAGCTTTGAGCACATTCAGGATAAATAAGTCCTGCATACTTTGCGCGAGACCAGTACAGTACATACACGCAGTGTCCCACCCAAGGGGCTCTCAAAAGTGGTAAAAATGCGTCCTCTTTTGTTGGTGCACGGAGCCAAAAAAAGTTGGCCTATTGGCAAATTGTTGTCTCACCCCCCAATCCTCAATTCAAACTGGTCTTGCAACCTCCCTGAAAGTACTCTTTGCTGCGTTTTTTAAAAATTCAGAATATGACCAACCCCTGTTCAAGAGAAACCTGCAGTCCATCTCGGACCTCAGCAGCAGTCAAGTACTGACCGGTCGCGTCACCAATGTGACTCACTTTGGTGCCTTTGTGGACATTGGTGTCGGCCGCCACGGGCTCATCCACAACAGCAAGATGAGGAGGGACTACTTGAAGCAGGGTCAGCCCCTGGGCCCCGGGGACAAAGTGGAGGTACAGGTGCTGTCCATCCAGAGGAACCAGGACGAGTCTAAGACACGGATCTCGCTGGAGCTGAGCCGACCGGTGCAATGAGGCTGATAATCAGGAAGATTTATTGTAGACCTGTCCTGAAGTTTCTTTCTCAAAACCTTGTATACTTTTTGAAGACATACTGTCAGTGCTCTTCAGCAGATTTGGTTTTACTCTCGTATCAAATCTTGGTCCGAGACTTTTATTTTTTTACCAAAAAAAGAACTGCTTTTGTGTTGTTTGGGCATCAGTTAAAAGCTTTATATTTTTGTTTGCTTATGCACACGAACAAATCTGCTTCAAAGTAGACTGGTTCCTGGTCCCTATATATTCTGTTCGGATGATGGGTCTGGAACCAGTTCAGCCTGCAGAAACTGAATGATCGTAATGATTTGTAAAGTAATTATTCCATCACTTAACATGGGTCAAATTTATTTCGTTCAATGACTCATTCAAATTTGAATGACTTTTGTATTGCTAGAAAAATAGCAATTGGAAAAATAAAACTATATTTTGCAGGGTGAAACTTGAAGTGAGAAGGACAGTACAAAACCCTAACCCTAACCCAAACCCTACGAGATCTGTTAAAATCGACCAGGAGTTTTAAGGTTAATACACATTGTTTTCAACATTGCAGTTGAGATCCTTGTTATGTTTTCTTGCGCAAAACCATTAAGCTTTTTACAAAATATTCTCCAAAAATTATTTCCAATTTTATGTAGAATCCACGAAGAAAATTTCGCTTTGAATTTTAAAAAAAATGGTAATGAGCCTCTCTCAGTATTTCGGTTGTCAACTGTATCTTTCCCAGTGGACTTCTATTGACCCAGTGAATTCTTTGTAGGGGCTTGTGATTTCAGCAGAGTTTAACTAGACCAATAGGATTCTAAATTGTTAAACAAAACAAGGGAAATAAAAAAAAGTCCTTTTATTTTTACTCAATTTCCTCCCAGCATGGTGTAAATATGTTGTATCATACATATAAGTTATTTTCATAATTGTATATATCCAAAGAAATTGATGCAACCGATAAGCGGATGGGATTGCAAAACAAGAAAAAATAAAGACATTAACTCTTTTTTCGAAAACCTGTTTACTTTTGACGTGTAATGTCCATGACACAGATATCTGATTAATTAACCACGATATCTAAGTAACGATTCAGAGAAATGATCCAAAATTCCAAGTCTGCAATCTCCTTGATCATTGCTAGATGACGGATGGATAAGATTCGAAAAATATTTTTTCAGGTGAAAATTCACTGAGCTCTTGGAAGCTCTGTCGCGGACATGACATACCACTGGAATTGGCCCACCTGTTAAACTCCGCCTTCTCCCCTAAGAGGATCAATAATGATTATAGGATGGTCTAAATAGAGATCTGCAACTTGGCTTTATCAAATTAAGCTTGTTGTGTATTTTTATAATTCAAGTGTATTGCTTTAAACACTTTTTATAGTACTTCATTTATTTAAAACAATTCATGCTTTCATAACATAGTTTCCTTTAACCCTCGCATGTCCCCTCTCTTCAGAATCCATCTCCTGTTTGCACGATGCTTTGTTTTCTCATTCTGCATAGCCATACTCATCAACCCTCCCTGCTTCCTTTGCCTATGTATTACTTGTGAATTTCCTGCTTGTTATACTGTTCCCAAGTTATTTTGCCTCTGAGAAAAGATTCTACTCAAGAAAAAATTTCATCAAGGCTTCTAATTCCAATGATTTTTTAAAAATTGAAAAAACATGTTTCTCACTTTTGATTAGTGGTGGGAACAATTGAGATTTCAAATTCTGGTGTGAATATCCTAACTTTTTTCAAACCGAATAACTGTTATCCGATTTCACCAGAAGTTCCCATCCAGCTAACAGTCATGCAAAAAAAAAGTGATGAGTGAGGTGCCGCATGCAATGCCCTCCACGATTATTGCGTATGGTTTGTGGGATCCAATCACCACTGGGCCTTTACAAAAACAATCCAGAGCCTTCATGTTGAAAACATCATGGGTGGGAACGCTCTAATCAGTCAAATGGGCAGGCTTATCATGAACCAAAAAGACTGCTAGTGAGTGAATGCGGTTACTATCAGCGACCATAATTGGGGGATGTTCCAGTTATTTTGTTTAGCTTCTGTCACAAAAAAATGGGAGGCTTACATTTTTTTAAGTTAGTTTTGAATATCCGGTTTCCAAAATCCAAACCGAATACTGGAATTCAAACCGAAATTTTAGAATATCCAGATTTGAATCCCACCACTACAACACACAGCTGACACAAATATAAGAATTATTAGTTTTATTTTAGTAACTTTGTACCAATCTTTCAGGATCTGAAACAGAAAAGATGTGAAATTGTTGCTTAAAACATTGAAGAATCTGTGTTCATTAAATGTTCTTCTTGTGTACTTCATCTTCTTACTTGACTCTGTTCCACAGTTTTTGTTTAAATTGTAAAGTGTGGACAAAAATCAGCTGTTGAAGATCATTGTTGATCTTTCAGCGCAAATATGTTAGAGATTTTAGAAGTTTTTGCTCTGTTTTTGCATCACATTCGACCTGCACAATGCAACACTACTTTGTTTCTTGTTGAAATGGAGCTATGTTGGCCTAAAAAAAGCATTTGACTTTGAACTGGTTTAATGATTAATGGGAGCTTGGGATGTGGGATGTATTGTTGGTGTACAAATCAGTTATATCACAAACCCACAATGTTGATCAGGAATTAATCTGCTCTTCAAATACACAATCAAAGGTTGAAGGTAGTATCGTCTCTACAGCACCTAGCCCGCATGTAATCTAGGCCAATGAAATTATCTCTTGACAAAAAATGATCAACTTTGACACAGTGCCTGCTTTGGTTCGCCAGTGGGCTCCTCTCGGAAGATTACAGAAGCCGTGCATTACTATTTGCACAGCTTTGTGGCATGTAACAAGTAACAAGTGCAGGTCTGAATGAATGTTTCTGAGATCGGAACTGTGGTTCTGTTTCTAAGCTTTTAATCTGAGTTACATATAACCTGGATGTGAAGCAAATTGTGTATTTTTGTGGTGTAGCAAGTTGATGATTTTGGAAGGTATTTTTGGACATTTAGAAGAAGTTCAAGTGAGGTGAGTTTTGATTTAATCATGTTTCTTGTTACACAGGCACATTGATGGGAAAAAAAGTTTTAACGACACTATGAAGAATAAAGAACATTGTAGATACCCAATTATAGTTGCTCATTGAATTGATAAAATAATTTACCAGTTGCTAAATATTTTGATTGACCAGCTGATGTTTACCCAATGCCATGATCTGTTTTTACTTCCCATGAACAAACTTTGAAAGTCTTGCGTGGTTAGTTTTCTTTTTAATAAACCAGTTGCATTCCAGATTTATTTCAGGTATTTTGGACATTTTTATTATGTCTTTAAATCATCTTACTAAGTTGGTTGTGCAATTTACATGTATTACTTTTTGCTTCATACTTTAATTTTGACCAGCCAAATCCAGGAAAAAATACATGTAATTTTTAAAAAGGAAAAACAAATGCCCCAGATGTTCCCTATTGTTGAAACATCTTGCAGAGTTTCAGGATTTCCTTGAGCACTATTAGAAACTTTCCTAACAATTTGTTTTTTTGACAGTAAGTTACATTTTTAAATTTTGATTTACATTGTTGACAAATCATGTTTTTTTTTCAAATTAGTTCTTGACCACCTGGAGTTAAATTGGGAAGAAACATGTTTTGCTTGTGAAATCCATTGTTGAAATGGTTTGCTTTCTTTCAGCATATAGGATTTTTTCAAGTCAAGCAAGATGGCTGAGAATGAGACATGGGAATGCCTGTCCCGGGATCGCTCAGTCGTGGAAATGGTCAACGGTAAATGCATCAAACTTTCCTTTGAATGTTTGTCGTTGGTATCTCTCTTCAAAGAAAATGTTCTAAGAAGCAAAATTAAAAGGAATATATACCACATTCGCAAACATCAAAAAACAAAACAACCAAATTAGTATGAAATACCATACTGGACTGTTAGTGAATGACAGTCTAAAGCATCCTGTAAAATCATGGCACCTGGTGTGCTGTTATTTTCAAGAAAAGTGGTATTTTTTGTATCAATTTTCAATTTTTTTGTATTAATTTAGTTAGTCCGCATTTTGTTTGCAATCGGTTACACACCTATGAATGGGTACAAGCCTTCTAGACTCCTTACAATTCTCCGACGTCAATAAATTGCTCTGTCTCATCTTAAGTTGGGTCAAGGAACCAGACTACAGGAACATGATTGTTTTTCTTGGTTTGTCCAGCATCTACGAACCCAAAACTTCAACCCCCAAATCCACCAATTTCTTAAAAATTACAGCAATAGCTAATGTTGTAAATTCCTTTGAAGTACAGAATTTATTTTTGCTTTTTAATTTTTTTTCTTCAGGAACTTGATTTTGTTGATCATTATAATGAAGGTTACCATCACAAGGCCAGATGGCACTGTATGTGAATTAAGGCTCTGTTGGGGAGTCTGGAAAAAATTTTTGAAGCAAAATGTACTAGTCTTTCATGCCTTTTCTCTTCTTTTTTTTTACAGTGATTTTTGATGACACTATGCTGACCAGTGTCTTCTGGATACTGACATTCATCACTATGGTGCTCTTCTTTGGGTTCATTGAAAACGTCAACTTCTTGTTCAACAGGATTCCCAACAAAGACAGGATGATTAGAATAATGTGGATCCTTGGCATCTATCCTGTAAGTTGCTATTTCTCCTTTAATTTTTAATCAACAACGGTAGGAAAGAAGGAAAATGTCTATGTATTTGGACAGCATTAAACTACCATTTGGCAAGGTTGCTAGGCCAGACCAATTGAAATAGCAACCGAGCATTCCAACATCACTGAAACAAGAATTTGTCTATTAAAAGTGTGATGGCATTTGCACCGTCGAGATGAAATTCATTGTTAGCTTTTGCCTTTCCTTGACATTATTTGTGTCTGCCTGGTGATGGTCTTACCACTCAACCCTCACCAAGCTCGGTGGCCGAGTAGTAAAAAGTCTGCACTAGTAAGCAGGAGGTTGTGGGTTCAAGTCCCACCTGAGTAATTGCTTGTGGGTTGTTTTTTTTGCAAGCCCTCGGACAACATTTGTGAAATTATGTCAGTGTAGGCCAAACCTGAATATTTAACAGTTGTCGACTAACTCAAAACGAAGAGCTTTCTCATATATTCGAAATACAAAACAGGAAAGTAACAGATGAAAAGGTAAATGTTTTGCAAAAACCAAGACACAAAGAGATTATCACAGAAATTCTCAGCGCTGTAAGTCCAGAATGATGAGTATATAAGAGCAGATATCCATGGTAGGCAGAATTGATGAGATTTGAAGGTTTACATGGTGAACTGAGCAATAAGAGTAAGTTTGCAGTTTCACCGTGTGAGATATATTTTGTGAGGTTGTGAGTTCTGAAAAGAACCAGGGGAAACAGACATCAACCGAATCAGTCAATGTCTTTTTTTTTCTTGACAGGTTTTTGCGTTAACCTCCCTCTTCTCTCTCTACTTCCCGCGTTCCTCTGTCTTTTGCAACCTCACTGCAACTTGGTAAGTAAAGTTTTCTCAAGTGCCACACTGGTGTTTAGTTCTGGTTTCCTTGGCATGAAACGACAGAGAATATTTCTCTACTCCCATTTGATGGGGTGCCATTCCATCATAGGTTACCAATAAAAATATCAAATATTCCAGCTATACTACTCAAACAAAGCTGTGTCTTAAACGAGAGTGACAAATCGTTAACACAAAATAATTGTCATGTTAGCTCAACTCCAACTTTTTCCCTTATCTTCCAAGGTTTAAAAATTATACCAATTCCTTTTCATATATTGCTTTTCTTGTTCATTGATTGGAATGTCTTCTTCCCTGCCCAGTTACTATGCCCTAGGTGTGTATTTCTTCATTGGTCTCATTGTCTTCTATTTTGGCGGCTACGAGCACGCTATCTTGAAGATCGCCGACACCCGAGTGCCCATCTTGCCGTTCTGTGGCAAGAAGGTGTCCATCAAGCTGACTGAGTAAGTTTTCTTAGTGACTTAATTTTTGTGCCATCGAGAACACAGTGGTGTCATAAGACTGGGGGACTGTATGTTATGCTTGAGAGTGCTGTTTGTCCCCTTTTCTTATCACTCTCTTTATTCATATTTCTCAAATCCATTCAGGGATAGGATGTGTGTAGTATCAATTTCAAGCAATTTTTTTTAAAATCCTCTTCTTGGCCCAATTTCATTTCTCTGCTTACCTTTAAGCGAAAAGTCCCCGCTTACAATAGCAGAAAATTCTGTGCTTATGCTTAGCATCTTTCATGGGTCAGTGATGAATTGAGGCTTACAAGCATACATCATGACATGCCTTAAAGTACGGATGCTGTGCTTACAGAGGTAGCACAGAAGTTTTTGCTAGCATTGTTAGCACAGATTGGTGATCGTAAACATTTTGTGGTAAGTAGAGCCGTGAAATAGGGTCCTGGCCACTTGGACCCTGTTGCCCCGATCCATCAATGTGCGTTGCAGTAACAAACTTATTTTACAATTTATCTTTCATTGACCTTATTTTGTAATCACTGACCTAGTATTGTTTGAGCGTCTGTCACAAAGTCTTGCCCACGATCTCTTGCTTTAATACTAGTGCAAAATCCTTAACAGATGGCTTATTGAAATTCAGTTGTCCCTTTAACAGTGAATTCTAATTGTTTTTTTTTCTTGTAACATTTGTTTAATATCTTAACCCTTTCTAGATGGGCTTTCTTGCGGCTGCGTTTCTGTGTCATCCAGTTCGCCATGTTCCGCGCTCTGCTGATGTTCATTGAGAATGTGCTGTTTGTCAATGGAACGTACAGTCTGAGTGTAGTAAGTGTGAACATAAATACCATTTCTCTGGAGAGTTGTAATCCAGCCAATCACAAGTCAAATCACAAGTGAATCACAACTTGATTACAAATCGATCACAGGCCACTTGCCATTCAATCACAAGCCAATGACAAGTTTGAATCACAAGTCAAATCCCAAGTCGATCATAAACCAAGGACAAGTCAAATCACAAGTCAAAGTCACAAGTAACAGGGGATTTATAAACAGTAACAAAGGAATGCACAGTTTATTTGAATAGTGACTTGACTTGGGACTGTATGACTTGTTATTAACTAGTGATTAATGACTCATGATACCCTCTGATCACTAGATATTATACAAATAAGAAATCTTTATGAATGCACTCGTAACAATTATTTCATGAGGTGACAGATGAAATGTTCCATTCCACAAGACAATAATTAAAACCAAGCTGAAATTCATGAAATTTGTCAGCAGTTGAAGTGTGTACATCTTTTTGTGAATATGCATTGCAAAAACTTGCTCATGCTGTGACATCGACAATTCTCTTTCTCGCTGAGTATGCACAAAGCCTTCAAAAGCATTTTGTATCGATTCTCATCATAGATGACGGCAGAAAACGGCTCCATCGCCATCTACAGTTTAGTCCTGGTCTCTGGCGGGATCTTCATGTGTGCTCTCTACATTGTCCACAACGCTTCCAAGCCTCTCCTCAAGGGTTTCTACCTGACTCCCAAGTGCCTCTTGCTGTTTGCTGGCTTCCTGATCAGCGATGTCCAGATGGTCATCATTGGACTACTGACCACGAAAGACGCCATCAAGTGTGTCATGCCGTTTGATGGACCCAACAGGGCAAATGGTTAGTAGGCTGTTGTCAATGCTGTACATTTTTGAAAAGAATAGTATTTGATTATTCTAAGTTGGTTTGATCTAATATTTTAATATTCGAAATGCACAGGGTCAACATGGTCAAGTTTTACATATGGTAGCCTAAATTGTGTGTGCTGGTCGAGAAAAAAATGGGCTGGAGATTTGAATTTGCCTGCATCTACACTTGTTGAAAAGTGACAATGAGCTTCATGAAATATTCGGGGTACATTTCATTAAATCTAAAAATAAAAGATTGTAAAAAAAGTTATTTTTTTATCAGTGCTACTACTAGTAGCATTGAAAACTAACGTCAAAACCTTGAATTCACGTCAGTTTAAACCCCAAAATGGCATCGTTACAACATTGTAATTCGCTGGGGACGTTGTGAGGTCACGCAGGGGTCAACTCGATGCAACCAACCATGCATTACTGGCATTGCAACGGCCCAGTGAACACCATAGTTTTGCTGTGGCCGTTGCATGAATCCGTTTCATAACTGGTTTGATTCTCCTCTTAAAATAAGCACAACTGTGGTTGTAACATTTGAAAATGTGCTTTAAAATTAGGATGTTCAATCGCTGTCTGTAATCGTGTGTTAAGTGTACATGTAATGCATCGTTAATGCTCGCGAACTGTTGTAGAGAAAGTGAGTCTGACCATGGGAGGAGGTGACGTAACACTTTCTCAGCGTATATGCTTTTGTGTTTTTTGGTCCAGGTTGGTACAGTCTGGTGCAGATTGTGGAGTGCGCCCTCATCTACCCCATCGTCATGATGTTCTTCAGGACCAGGAAGGGCAACGTGGTGAGTATGGTGGACATGGTGAAGAAGGTGACTGCGTCTCAGAAGAAGAAGTCCATGCTGAAGAGGGGTCCTAGCAAGACCTCGCTCTACAACACGTATGCCAATCTGTAGGCAGTGAAGTATGCAGTATCTAGAGACCAGAGGGTGTTTCTTAATCCTTGGCTTCGGCTTCAGCAGATTGTTAAGACCCACATCAATGGATTGATGGTTTTAAAAAGAAAACCTGTAGATCCTTGATCTTTTCAGGGGGACGGTTGTGGTTAAGAAGTCAAGGATTTTGCAAGTTGTTGGGGGGAGAGGGGTTAGTGTTTGAGTAAACTCAGAAACCAAAAGCTTTAAGAAATAAAACTTGACACTGGAAACAGCATTATATACAATTTTATCAGGATAGAAAATTTGAATTTTCCCCAGTAAGAACAAATCATTAAAATAGTTCAGAGGGAAGGGGAGGGGAAGAGGTGGGGAAGGGAAGGGGGGGGGGGGGGGGTGGGGTTAAATTAGTCACCCCCTCTTAGGTCAAAATGAGTCCATGTTGTACTTTGGGTACATGAAATCCTAAAAATGAGGCTGCAGTCTGGAGTATTTCCATATGCTTTGGATAGAAAGAGCTTGTAACTGATTCTGAATCAGGAAACTAAAGCCAAGCTGTGGACAAAGCCAGGCTTTTCAAAAACCCCAAGTGTCCTGTTTCAACACACATGGTTACATTACATACCTTGTGTGAACATTCCTTTGTTTTCGTCTAGTTAAGAAAAACCTGTGAAAAAATCGTTTCCTCACACTGTGAAAACTCTTTCAACCCACTTTTGTTTCTATGATTCCCTTGAGTGTTTCTCTTCATTTTGCGACAGATAACCTAACCCCAAAATGCCTCTAAACCTGTTTTCCAGAGAGGGGGAAACCACAGTGTCTGAAAACTGGTTTATGTGGACATCTTTTGTTCGGAAGTCCACACAGTGGATGTAATGCTTGTACAGTAATACTGCATGGTAGGTTTTGAAAATGCAGTACCAGTGTTGATTGTTTTGTTGTTTCTTTTTTAATTCCTGTAATGTTTAGGCAAGGATGATATTTTATCTTTTGTCAAACAAATTTCAGCCGTTTGGAAAATTTGACTCCATTGTTTTGAAAGACAAAAATGAAGAGAAGGTGGACCGGAATTTTTAGTTAGGAACAGTACTCTCTGTCAGGCAAATTTCACCTGTTCAGACAAGTTTTAGTCAGGTTTTTTTTAAAGACAAGAATATAACAATTGTCAACATATTAAGAAAACAAATGTGCCGTTTGAAATATGTTTATGTATATAATGACTCCCATGTGACTGTGTCATAAGCCTTTACATTGTTCATCCTTGTTTGTGTTATTTGATTGAGAAATATTCATATGATTTGCATCAGGATTTTTGAGACGACAATCTCAAGTAAACAATCCATGTACAAAGATTTTAAAAAAATTACAATTATTTAAATGTTTGTGTTTTTACTTCTTGTTTTAGAGTAATGTTATTATTGTATGGAGTTAATTTTGACTGCTTTGAAATGAGGCAGTCCATTATATAGCACTATTATTTGGGCATAGTCGTAGATAACATGTGGTGCATGCTAACTGAAACTTACTGTTTTGCCGATAGTTTTATGAAAAAAGGCCCATCTTGTAAAAAGGAGCCCTAAATAAGCACTCTGCAATTTTTTGTGGAGTCCGTGAGGGTTAAATGTTCTAGTAAAATTAATGCTTTCGACAACATTTCCTCACCTCCCATCTTTCTTTTGCTGGTTTTTTGAGAATGAAAATTTTAAAAGGGGTTATGCCTAATATTGCTGTGCACCCGTCATGTTTTCATGAAGAAAGTTAAAAATGGTATTAACCCCTTCCTGTTTGTCTATTTAAAATACGGCATTGTAGATTTTCTGTATTTCAATCCCCAAAACTGAAAAATTGTACATAGTTTAAACTGAAATATCATTTAAGCCAAATGCAATGCCTTAACAGTAATAATTATTTTTTTACATGAATATGAGTAAATGATTGGATAAAAAAAGACAAAGACACTTGCCATTTTTTTCGATTTCACTTTTATTAAATGACTGATCACTTTGTACATTTTTACACAATAATTTGCAACTGCTTGTTACAAAGAAAGGCATAGATTAGAAATGGAAGAGACTGGAAGGCATCATTTGTGCTGTATGAAATTGTGCTTGATAATTTTAGAATTCAGTTCTCAATACACAAGTATATAATGGCTGATAACATGGAAAGAAATAAACTCGTGTCAATAACAGAATCACTATTTGCAAACTGCTGTTTTGTTCTGCATCCAGAGATCATTAGTTACATGCAGGGTAGATCAGTTGTCATTTGTGCATTTTTTTTCATTTGAAGCAACAAAAGTGCTTAAAATCTAGAGACAGATGCTGAACAACTATTAACCTGATGAAGTTTCAGCTCAGTGAATGCTGTATGTTCCGAGAAAACAATATTCTAGGATCTCGATTTCAATTCAAACTTTGCCGAGTCATGTTTTGAATTGTGCCAGAAATCAGTGTCCGGGATACGTTCTCATTCAGCCGATTGCAGCTACGTGATGTCACGCACTGAACTGACAGATAATAGCAATCAACGCTTGTGCCCACCCATTCATGGATTCGCTGAAATACAAACCAACTACTAACGGAAATTTCCAAAAATGCGTCACGTGACGCATCTTTTGAAATGGCCTTCTTTGATGGTTTTCTTCCAAATGACAGCATACCTGAAGGAATAATTTCACAGGGAGTTTAGCGCCATTACAATCTTAAAACCAAGTAAGCTTTTCAACAATAATTTGGTCAGTTACTTTTTGGATAGCTGCAAATGATGTACTCTACCTTTAAACAACAAAGTAATGCTTTGAGGCAAGACATCCATATTAATCAGCCGGTTCGAGTCCCACCCGAGTAAGCTAGTGAAGTTTTTCTCGCAAACCCTCAGACAACACTGAATATTGAACATTTTTAAGTGAAGGGTAAAGGAAGAGGAAAAAAATGCAAATTCCATCTCATAAAATACCGCAGTAACGCTTATTGGCCTGTGATCTTTTTCAATATTTCTGGACAATGTCCACGGTAACTCGAAGAGCCAACATTACAGTCTCGGTGCATGAGCAGTATATGGCCCTTTGTGATCATTGATGAGAGCTCCATGACACCACACATGTGTGCAGCGATCTGTGCTTGTTTCGCTCGAATTACACACTGCTAAAACTCATCAGAATGTGTGCTACAGTTGTCTGACTGTCTCTTTGTCAACCGTTGAGGGGGTACTTGTAAAAACAGAGTCCACACCAGTTGTGTCAAATCAACATCCAATTCTACAAGTTGGGACTGCTCAGTCCTACTTCATCTGAGGCCACGGTAGTCTCGCCAGGTCCACGTTGCCTCCGCACAGAATGACTGCCACATTCTCCATGGAGGGATCAATCTCTCTCATCCGGTCAGAGAAAATGGCAGCCACTCCCGTAGCAGCGGCTGGCTCAATTAGCAACTGCAGGGGAAAACAAAAATGTGACATTCTGTGAGTAATTGCTCAGACTGTTTGTCGAAGTTTTCGATGAAGTACTCAGAAGTCAGTCGTAAGTCCATAGACCCGTCCATCAGGCCCCGCACACTGCGACCATGCGCAACAACAACTGCGCCTCTTCAATGACAGACTGTATGTTCCAGTCACGCTTGCAACATGCTTGTCATGCGTGCATGTCAAACTTTTGTGCACGCATGTTGGACATCAATCACGGCTATGATTGGTCAAAGCATCATTGGGTAGCTGTCAATGGCTCAGGCTGTTCACAAGCTATTCAAACAGGCATGCAACTGGGAAGTCACACAAAAAAGAGGAAATTCAAATCCTTCTGGGACTTTGTACAGTGTTTTTCTATTTTTAATGTCTGTTTCATGGGAAGTAAAAAGAGGAAATCGACTGATCCGAGGAAAAGTTGCATGCCTGTTCAAATGAATTTTTCAAGGTTATTTTCTTTATAATATAACAAAATACCATGACTTTTCCATGACTTTCCATGATAGCTTTAAATTCCAGGATTTTCCAGGATTTTTCCAGGACTGTGGGAAACCTGATTAAAGCTCTGCAAGAACTATATTAGAATTGTAACCTGCCGCCGCGAGAGGGCGTTATCACGACCAACCAATAAAACCCACGAACCTGTCAGGAACAACGTCTAGGGAATTTCGCAAAAATCTCCCCCTGAAAAATGGGGGAAACTACTGCGCATTCGCTACTTCTGCAGGCAATTACGATCCATTTTCAGTCCCACGAATACTAAATACCACAAAAGAGCTGACCAGTGAAGTTTCACAAAAGTCTTGCTGCATCTTGCATCTTGTTTCTTCTACTGGAAGAAATTTAAGAGTTTGGTTCGGAACTACAATGAAATGTTCTGAATGCATGCTGCATATATTAGGCCAAACAGGTGCGCGCACATTACACAACCGATACAAATTTCCCTACACGTTGTTCCTGACGGGTTCGTGGGGGATATTGGTTGGTTGTGATAGCGCCCTCTCGCGGCTGCGGGTTATTGCGATGGCAGGTTATCGCGTATCAAACCGTAACAACGTCTAGCCCCTAGACTATAAACTAATTGGCACCATGAAGAGGGGACATCAAGCCTTACCTTCAACCTTGTCCATGCAAATTGCATAGCTGCGACGATTTCTCTGTCACTCTGCAGTTGGAGAAAAATTAAAGAAGTGCACAGAAAGCTTGAGTCAGTTTTTATGGAATGCCTTTCTCACAGTTCAGCTTTGTGACTTGACTTGTGACTGATGAAGGGCTTGTGATTGACTTGTGATTGACTTGTTTGGACCTACAAGAACATGACTGCAGAGATGAAACTGGCCTTAGCAAAAAAAATCTGAAATTGGACCTTGGGTCCGAGCTGCCACAGCGTCACGCGGTGCAGCGCAGCACAGCGCATCAATGTCATAGGGCAGTATTTAATCTTTTCTCCAGGCGGAAAAGGATCTGATCAGCGTTGGTCTAGGTGTTTTACACTTGTGCACGTTTTTACGTGCCATTTTCATTGACTTTTCTTGGAAATCATAATAAAAAAACCAAAAACATTTGTGGAAAAATGGTTAAATAATCATTTTTGTGGGATCGTTAAAAAATCTGAAATTTCTTTGGAAAAGTTTTAAAAACCTGATTTCAGATTAAAATCTGAAAAGTTTCATCTCTGAATGACTGCAATTACGTGTATTGGTTTACATGTACGAGCGCACAGTGTGAAGAAGCTAAAAGTGTGGCTGATATCTAACGTACACTTTTCCAGTCTGCCAATATGTTATGTTTTTAACCACTTCGTGTCGGATGACGTGTATACACCAAAGGTTTTGCGGCATTTGTAATGGATGACGGATAAACACACAACGAGCGAGGCCAGAAATATCTGTCGGCGACCCGCTCGCAGCGAGCGAGGCCGGAAACATCAGGGTGCGCTACCTGCATATGACGACCTGTACCCGTCTCGGATCAAGGTTCGGGAAAACAATCCCGCACCTGGGTCCAGTCATAATAATCCCGGCTTGAACTGGTTAAAAGAGGGTACTCATCAAGAACTTTGAAGTGGGTGGCTAATATTTGCACAAAATATTTTCCAGTGTAAAATTCACGTTATGGACCATTTTAAGCTCCCTCACCACTGTGAAGACGTCCTTCTCTGCTTTTTCCTTGAGGATTGGAAAGGTCAACTTTCCCAGCTGCTGCGTGCGGATGGCGTCAGCGACTGTCTGGAGTGAGCGGGGCGGGTTGGGCCACATTCGCTTCCCTAAAATGAGACAAAGCAAGCCTAGTAAAACTGGTCCCAGAGCACATGAAATTCTATTCCATTGATTCAGAATGGCCTATCACTGCCAGTCTTGTCATCCTTTTGGTCTACACAACGGGCTGGATTTAGACCTTCCATTGGAGTAACTGGTAATTATATTTCAAACTTTTGGGCCAAGGTGAGAATTATGCAAGTCTAATTCACAAGTGACAGTCGGGGAGTCAGCCAGTCAGCCAGTCCGTCAGTCAGTCTGTCCAGTACAAAGAGAACTATAGACAAACAAAAAAAGTGGGTTTTTTTGGGGGGGGGGGGCCATTACCTTAAGAGTAACCAGGCAAATTATTGACAAATTTCTGAGGAGTTTCTTCGTCAGTAGCATCTAGGGGTAAAGTTTGAATAGCTTCTAGAATATGTATGGCTTTCAAAAGCTGTGTTATGAAGATTATTTCTTTGATTAAATGCTGGGCCTTATTTCACTGCCCTGCTTAAACCATACAATTTTGCCATTATAGTCATCATTCTGTGCTTATAGGTATGAACTGTGAAGCCGAATTTGGTCCCCAACTTTTTAAATTTGGCAGCTGAATTGGGAGCTCAATTGAGCCCAATGTCAGTTCAATTTCTAGGACCTCCTTGTAATGTGGATTTTGTTTTTTGGAGGGGGGGGGGGGGGCACTTTTACATCCCCCCCATTTTTTTTTTAAATATAGGTATATTTGGCATATACTTACCATGTCGAAGGGATTTTTCTAGGTCTTTCCCCTCCGGTTCCACACAGAAAACTACACACAAAAGCAAACAGTGAACAGTGTCAAGACCAGCGTGCAAAAAAACAAACAAGCCCTGTATTGAAAAAAAAATTGATTCTTTATCTTAACAAAAATATCTTTGTTATAATTGGTAAAAGATGTTTCCCCTTGCTACTTTGGAGTTCCACTTTGAAATGTAGATTTTTTTTTTTCAATTGCTATTTTCCTTGAAATATAAAAGTTATTCACTTTAGAATGACACATCGTATGAAAAAATCCACCAACATTTTGTTTTGACTGCCAGGACAATAATTACAGGCCTCACAGTTTCTCTCTTCATCAGGTTATTAAATAGGTTTTGAAAATCAAAATATAGGTTTTTATAGGTTTTTCGGGAGCAACATTTCAGCACGAGGTAGCAGAAATACAGGGAACTGATTACCTCAACGTTCTCCACACTCGATAAAGTAAACTAAAACTAACTTGCAGGATGTAATTGCAAACTTCCCAAGTTTGAAACACTTGAAAAAGAAAAATATCTAAAAGCGGTATATTGACGATTTTTTTATTTTGGCATTATAACTAAACTGTGATCAATTTAATTTTTAAAAATGTTCATTAAAATTTGTTAAAAAGTACGGCAGAATAAGAAATACAGGTTTTTATAGGTTATATAGGTTACCTAAAAACAAATATAAGGCTTCCAAGTTTTTATCGGTTTTAAATATTTTGCTGTGAGCCGTGTAATTGGCCTTTTGTCGGGAGAGTTCATTTGTATGCAAAATTAACAACTTTTTCAGAGGGTTGCAAATGCCCAAAATCGGATTACAGTAGTTTTTCGTGAAAACAAAACATACAAATTGAAAATTTGTTAGGAGAAAGCAAATCCCTTTTTTGAAGAGAACAAGATATGTTACTTTAACCCTAACCTTCCCAAATACTCCAAATCATCTTTGCAAAATGGAAGATTTTGCAGGATTGAGGCTATACGGCAAAGTGTGTGGTTGATTTCGGGGGATGCACTGTGTCAAGGTCTTAGGCTGGACCTTGTGTTGTTTATGCTCAGCGGTGCATAAATTTAAGGCCTAGATTATACTTTATCTCCTCCGCACTGCTCCAGGATGTCACTTGCTCTGCCTCAACATATTGAAAGTGCTTGCTAGGGGATTTTGCAGGATTGAGGCAGTGGTCACCCCTCCAACAACCACATTCAAGAAATAATGGATGATTTTGGAGGATTGAAGCTGTATACATGTATGCTATTTTACATGGAGGCAGTTGGAGGATTCTGCAGGATTGAGGTTACATCCTGGCAAAAATGCCTCGGGAGTTAGGGTTAATTAGTGGAATAGAATTTGCGATAAAGATGAATGTACAAGCATTTGACTTGGTCAAATAGTCAAATGGTAATGAAGAGAAAGCAAAGAGGATACAAGGCTGGCCCTCTGGGACCAGGAAAATCGGACAGATCCTTTGAGGAGAGAGTTATCTTACTTTTGACATCTTTCCTGATTCCCTTGACAGCTGTAGCAATCCCTGCAGCCAGGCCGCCCCCGCTGGTAGGTATGAGGATTGCCTGCACATTGGGGCACTGGTCTAAGAGCTCCAAGCCTAGCGTACCCTGTAAATTAGAGATACAAAGTGTACTAACTATGGACTCCATATATCACTATGGGACCACTTGTGAGATTTGGGAGGCACAGGTTACACTACAGGGTGAGTAAAAAAAACAAAAAAACAAACCAAATGTCGGGACCATTGTTTTAGTGAAGTTCTGCATGTAGCACTTTCCAAATCTAGGATATGAAAGCCCAATTCATAAGCTTTCATTTAGTACAAGAATCATTCATATCACTCATGTACTTTTTAAGTTTTAAACACAACCACCGTTTTAAAGTTCTGTCCACGGATTACAAAAAAAGGTGTGCATTCTTTCAGCAAAACGAAAACAATTCACACACATCCTTATGTGATTTGTTTTTGTTTTGCTGAAAGAACACTGAACTTTTTTGTGATCTGTGGACAGACCCTTAAAACGGCGGTTGTGTTTAAAACTCCGTAACTTGAAAAGTACATGAGTGATTCGAATGATTCTTGAACTAAAAGAAAGCTAAATGAATCGGATTTCATTTCCTAGATATTGAAAGTGCTACATGCAAAACTTCACTAAAACAACAGTTCCGACATTTGGGTTTCGTTTTTTCTTACTCACCCTGTAGTCCATGTGCATGTATTTCATTCTGAATGTGCACAAGCCTGAAGCATCTTGAATGATCATCTGGCGTACGGTGGCAACACAATCTCATTTTGTGATGACAGGTCCCAAAGTCCCACTTAACTCTCTCTTTTTGTAACCACTGTACGTAACACAAAAAGTGCTACAAAATGGTACTTTTCTTTAAGAGCAGGGCCCAATTTTGTTGAGCTACTTACGGGGAAAATCACCTGAAAACCAGTGGAGATGAATATCCACGGCATGAAGTTTTAGCTGGTAACGTAGCAAGTTTCTGATATTTTGCCTTTTTTTTTTTTAATTTTCTGCAAAGTTAATTTCTCTGCTACCATCTCCATGAAAATGATGACTGTGCTTTCCTCTTTCAATTCTCAACATTTCGGGTTGATTCTCAACATTTTCGGGTCAATTTACACTAAATTCATCGTAACTTAACCTCCACAGGATAGCTGTGAGGTGTCATCAAAATACATGGTACATGTACAAAGTAATAAAAAGATTACCCCAGCTACCTTTATACACTAACATGACTAATATGTGATGGATTAATAGATGCAGGATTGTAGTCTGGGTGTGGCACACATTACCACCAAAATATGGGCAAGAATTCCAAAACTCTACTTCCTACAAGAAATAAACAGATGCGAAAAGTTTCACTTCTCACCTGGCCAGCGATGACATCGTAATCATCATAAGGCGACACGTAATGATAACCCTTCTCTTCTTGTACTTTGGCACACGTCTCTGATCTAAAAAAAAAAAACACAACAATTTCAAAGGAAAGAAAATTTTTTCCATTTCTGCCCTTTTGAAACCAAAATCAAATTGGATCGTCCTGAGATGCTCTTAACCCTTTCCTTATCATGGGCGACTTTTGTCCACAAGGAACTACCCCCTCTGTTTACCATAGGTGACTTTAGTCGACCAGGAAACCACACACAGAACACCCTCAACACATATTTATTCACTGCTTTTCAGAAAGCTGACATGTTGCTATGTTGGGCCTCCCATACATCAACCATATACCAGCTCAAAGAGTGTTTTCGGATTGTTCTAATGACGTAATTTATAGTGTTACCATTACAAAAATTTAAGAAAAGTGATTCAGAAGTATCCACACACAGTTTGAGGTATGGAGTGCCATTTGGTCATGTAGTGATAGGCCTATGGCTTGCAGTTTGATAACTGGGACCAGATCAACAAACAGGCATAACTTACTTATTTTTGCATGTATGGTCTTGATTTTACATCACTTAAAAGAGTGAAGTTCAAGGAACAAACTTCACACACCACCTTTGATCTTAATCACTCCTTGGCAGTGAAAATCTGGGTTGTAAAAAAAGGTGAGTTTTCAAATTGTGGTTTGTTTTTCAAGCACTAGATTTCTGCATGACCGAGCAAACAATTTGGTCCTGGGGAGAACCAAGTCAGTAAACAACGTGGCAAGGAAAGGGTTAAAACGATTTGGTTCGGCGCAAAATCTAGAAGGCCAATCAGAAATGGATGTAACAATGAAGCATTCTCTCACAAACCTGGAAGCCTGTGAAGGCTGGCAGAAGATCAGCTGTGCCCCATAATTCATGATGGCTTCGTTCTAATGGTGTACGTTTATATACAATTTTAGCATTACCATTACAGAAATTTGCTTCAGAAGTATCCACGCACAATTTGAGGTATGGAGTGCCATTTGGTCATGTGGTGAAATAGCTTGCAGTTTGATAACTTGGACTAGATCAACAAACAGGCATAACTTACTTATTTTTTGCATACAATGTATATGGTCTTGATTTTACTTCACATTAAAGAGTGAAGTTCAAGGAATAAACTTTACACACACCACCTTTGATTTTAATCCCTCGTCGGCAGTGAAAATCTGGGTTGTAAAAAAAAAGGTTAGTTTTCAAATTTTGGTCCATTTTTCACGCTCTGGTGATTTCCGCATGAGCAAGCAATCAATTTGGTCCTTGGGAGAGCCACGTCAGTAAACAACATGCTAAGAAAAAAGTTAATATGATTTGGTTCCGCACAAAATCTAGAAGGCCAATCAGAAATGGATGTAAAAATGAAGCATTCTTTCACAAACCTGGACGCCTGTGAAGGCTGGCAGAAGATCAGCTGTGCTCCGTAATTCATGATGGCTTCTGCCTTGACAGCCGGCGTGTCATCAGGGATGACCACAGCACACTGGACACCTATCAGTTGAGCGGCATAGGCCAGTGCCTGGCCATGGTTGCCGGTACTATGTGTCACCTAAAAACAAACAAACAAATAAAAAGATATGTTCCTGTTCAGATTCAGGTAGATAGTAGAAAAGAAAATTGTATAAAATTTAGGCTCTAATATAGTAGGGGAGATGGGGGTTAGTTGGAACACGGGGTTAGTTGAAACAATGAATTTTTCTTGATCATCTTAATTAAATTTTATAAAATGTTTCCCTCAAGAGATGTCCCTTAGCAACAGCCATCCACCATATTGCCTGCAGCAACACTGCAACAATAGTGCTCAAGTGGGAAAGATAAGTTTGTTTTTTCACCTTTTGAGTAATTTTTTCACCATTCAAAAAATGTGTACTTTCTTAATGATGTTTATAGATAACAGTGACTAGTTTGGGGGTATTATATGCTCCAGTACTAAGCTACAAAATAAGGTTAAAAAGATATGTTATTGGAGCCCCTGTTTTGTAGAGTGAGCAAACAAATGTCACATGGGCCACTGGGGCTAGTTGGAACATTTTGATGGGGGCTAGTTGGAACATGATGATAATTGAGGAAATATTCTGACTTGGCAAACAATTTTGAAAGCACATAGACAGGTCATGTTGACCTTACCTCAATTTTATGCAAGCTTTTCATGTTATTTTTGGGGAGTTAAATTTCCCGTTTTGATGTTTTCTTTTTATGATCAGGCTTGTACCTGACTCTTGCCTCGCAATTTTCCTGTGTTTTTTTGTCTTGGTGCTGTTTGTGCCATTTCTTGCCAGTTTGTTAATTAAAAAAAAATGTTAGGAGCATCACCAGTGCTTGGAACAATTATTTTACTTGAAACTCAAATATAAATGCAGTTTTAAAGTAATTGTAGTATACTTTCAGATTAACAGCATACCGAGTTCCAACTTACCCCATACCATGTTCCAACTAACCCCATAGGAGGGGTTAGTTGGAACGCATGTCGTAGTTGTGATCAAGATGGATTTTTAAAATAACCATCAACAATTCTGAGAAGTTTATATGCTACATTTGCAACACACATGTGTATGAATAAATTGGCATAGTTGTTGTTTCTTGAAGAAAACCTGTTTGTGTTATGGATAGGTTTTTGTGAAAATCGTTCCAACTAACCCCCGTCTCTCCTGAATCTTTCAGATGGAGCATGAAAACTTAATGCTGTAATATTTTATATGTTTGTAATATAAAGTTTTAATGTATTTTAATGTTTTTGAGCACGAAAACCACGACACTCTCTATTGTATACCACTGTATATAAATAGCAATAAACCAAATCCAATCTAATCTAATCTAATCTAAAGAGGTCACAACACATTTGGATAGGGCCTAAGATATAGGCAAACAATCAACGTCTTACACAAAGCCATGCCAAAAAAAATTCAATTAAATTATGCGTGCACTTACCACACCATTAAAAGGCACATTTCTTTCCTTCAAACACAGTATCTAGAAGAAAAATACAACAGAAAACAGCAACAACAACAAAATGTTTAATAAATTTGATAATGTTTCCGTATAAAAAAAAAAATGGTTCGATTTCTAAAAAAAAAAAAAATCATGTGATTCAACTTGTTCCCAAACTTTTACAGTCAATGATTTAAATTTGTAAAATAATAATTCAATAATCCCGTACTGTTTTGTGTGTGTGTAGATGTCACATTCAAAAGTGAATAACTTTTGTATTGCTAGAAAAAAAAAAGCAAGAAAAGGAATCTATTTTTCGGGCTGAAACTCGAATATAACACGGGAATGAAACTTCACTTATTTGTAACAAACACCTTCACTGTATCGACCCCTGGCTGGTACAAACAAGATTATGTTGTACTCACAGCGTTCAAAGCTCCTCGGACCTTGAAGGACCCCGTCTTCTGGAACAGCTCGGCTTTGAAGAAGACTTTGCGTCCTGTCAGCTGGTCCACGGTGGCGCTCCGATGGATGGGCGTCACGTTGATGAGGCTGCTGATGCGTTGCGCAGCCTCCACCACCGCCTTAAAGGTCATCTTACGCACAGAGGGACGGCTGACTTTTGAGCGCAAGGTTTTGGCGTACTCCTGAGAAAACAATCCATATAGACAATCTGTAGTAGACGAAACTTTCTACAAGTAAATTCTTAATCTCTAAACGGCTTCTTGTTTTAACCCTAACGGACCTGAATCCATCAAAATCCATCAAAATCCATCAACCTGTTTTGGAGTATGTCGGCAGATTCAGGGTACCTACATATTGAACATTTGGAAGGGTTCAGGATTGTAAGCCTAGCGGTATTGCAGGATTTTGATGGATTCAGGATACCTCAATACTGAGCAGTCACCAGCACCAACATTTTTGTGCATGAACCAATAGATGGATTTTGGCGGATTCAGGATACTTTCTAATAAAAGTGCTCAAGGGGTTAGGGTTAAACCAGGTACCGGTACCAGACTACCAGTACATACATAAGCTTCAAATTATTTCTTTTAAAATAATTAAAAATACTGCAAGTTAAACTTGCGCGATCCCCCTGGCATGCTGGCAGTATTTAAACTGTCAGTTAGGTAAGCACACTTTGCAGTGTACCTAACCAAAATCAAGAATGACCTCATTTGACCCCTAGATGACCTATGACTTCAAATGTCTCAAGTCACCTGAAGTGCCCCTACCCAAAGATTATTGTCACCAAGTTTGGTTGAGATTGAAGTCTGACTTTTTATATGACAGCACTAAACAGTTAACCTAACCAAAATGGAACACATGGACACACAGAAGGAATACACCATCACAAGATCCCCCTTTCTTGGCTTAAAAGCCAGGGGGATAAAAATGAATATCTCTTGACAACAAAACTATGGTATATCATGATTTGATGCACATGTACTCGCACATCATGTACGTGATATACTTGCTTCACAGCCCAACTGTCCCAGCTACTGTATTACAAAAATACATTGTAATGTGTTAGCATAGCAGTACTGTAATTGCTGTATCAACATGTATGTAATGTTTACATGTGCATGGAGTGAATTATCATGATTCTACTTATATAAACAAAATATTGTACGCAGCATACATACATGTACCTACACTGAGATCATACAGATTGCCTTACTTACATTGCACCAACTTCAGTAGATACTGTGTTTCTCTTCACACATTGTGTATACAGAATCACCCTGGTAATGTCCAGTGACCCCTGATCAATTCAATCAAGGTCAAACTGCATATCTCACCAAGCGAGGGCGCTATGCAAGCTTGTTGCATGCCAGCTTCGATTACATGTATATCCTTGGCAAAATATGCACATGTATACATGCATACTGGGGAGCGTTACACCCAATTTTTTTATTAACATGATGAATTTTTTTTTCTCCAAATGTAGTAGTTCCTAGAAATTTAATGACTCGAAATCTTAGTTATTTAGTATCTCAAGCTGATGTTACCCAAATGATGGAGAACAGCAGCATATTTTCCCCCAACAAAATCTGATCCTTTTTCTCTGAAGAATGGGTTGCTCAAAAAATAAAGTTGAGCCCAAAGAAAGTGGATATATACATTGTATGAAAAAATATACATGTATATGAAAATTGTAAAGAAATTTCAAATTTTAACTTTTTTTAAATGTTGAGTGCGTCAAACTGCCGCGTGCGCCTTCCCTCGGCCATCCCATCTCCATACAAAAAAACCCATAAATTTTGAAATCTATATCCTTGGATAGTGCTTGGTATTTTTCAGGTGGATCCAGGAACTTTTGCAGGTGGCGGGGGAAGGGGGCGGGGGAAGGGGGGGGGGGGTTCAGGCCTGTCAGATTCTTTATGTCCGATAGTTGCGAACAGGCAGATATGTAGGTAATTAATATTACTACTAATTCAGGGGTGTGAGTGACCATTGATAAAAAGCGCTGAAAACACCAGAAAAAAAGGTGTAAAAAAGCTGAATTTTGTATACTTTTGTACACAGCAAGTGAGTTAAAAAGCTGGGAAAAAAAACTTAAATCCAAAACTAAAAATAGCTGAAATCAGCTTTAAAGCTGACGTTTCACACCCCTGATAATTATTATAATTTTGTAAGTTTGTGGGTGTTTCAACCACCAAACCTCCCCCCTTCTGGATCCACGCCTGATTTGATACCTTGATGTTCATGCACTGGCGTTATAATCTAATCATAAAAAAAGTTTCCCTTTATGCTGAAAATCCTTCCAAACTTTCAATGTCCTTCCTGGAACTTAGCTAGTGTGCAAGTCTTGCCAGTTCATGTTCACTGTTTAAGTGAATATCTAGGTGCCAAACTGACTAGTCTAGTCACAGACTCCCGTCTTTGAATTTGTAACGTGTGGCAAAGTCTGCAGCCGCAACTTACCACGCCAACAGGGTGGTTCTCGTGTTGCCCGATGTCTGGAACCTTCAGGTAAAACTTCATCTCTAGGTTTAAGGACTTTGCGTCCTTCTTCATGATGGCCCCTATCTCCTGGAACGTCTTCCGTTTGGTGTGTATTGAGGCGCTAGCAGCAACCTGTTAAGAGAATAAACCCCACCGACAAAATGAAGGCAAGCCTATACAGCTGGTCTCAGAGTGCACACCATTACATTCGATAGATTCAGAACTACTCCCTGGAAGTCGTCTTTTCATGCCTCTGGTCCACATAGTCGGTAAACCTATATGATAGCACTGCCGACCTCACAAGTGAAAGTCAATGAGTGAGTCCGTCACTGATTGTGTGAAAAAGGGATCATTGCCAAGTTCAAATAGATTAAATGTTATTAAAAATATGCAAGAAAAATATCAAATTGATCCTTTTTTTAGTGTGACATGAGTGATCTTTGATTTGTTCGGTTATAAATATTGCTTGAATAATGAATATGCATTTAATTTGTATTCTCTTGCGGAACATATTCATTCATTATCAGTACATAAAATAAGTCGACGAGTAAATAACATGAAATGAGTAGCTGAACAAGGCAGATCCAGAGCACAATTTTGGGGTAGGGGCTCAAAAAAATTTGTTCTCCAAAATGTCTCACTTAAGGACTCTTTTTTTTTGGGGGGGGGAGGGGGTTAGATGCTCTGTGGTGCGATCTGAGGCAATTTCTGACCACTATAGCCAATTTTTTTGGAGGAAAAGATTGTGGTGTATGCAGTGCCTGCCTTTATTGTGACATCACTTTAAAAACAAAGTAGGTTCATTTTTTTTTGGGGGGGGGAGGGGATGGCACCTGTTGGCTCCCCTGGATCTGCCCTTGTAACTGAATAAGAAACATGAGATGATAGAATAAACTAAAGAGTACGCAATCAACAAGGACAAGAGCATACACAATAGTAAAATTAATAAACAAGAAATATAAATTATCCAAAAGTCTCAATAATGTAAATAATCCCAAAGTGATCCGAGTTTTAAAGAATCCAAAAGTGATCTGAGTTGTGGTACCATATTACCTTGTAGTCTGGGAATTTGATCACTTTCTTGATGCTCATTACTGCTGGGCAGTCCAACTTCTTTGTTGATGGCGTCAACAGTCGCTTGGTGGGTCTGTAGTCATCGTCTTTACTCTCAGTACGCTGTGACAGATATCCACACATGTACAAGGCGAGCGTAGAAGAATAAATGATTGGATACAATTTTCACCAAGATTCAAGTTTCATCCCCTAAACTATATATTTTTTATATTGCTATTTTTTCAAGCACAAAAAAAGTTATTCACTTTTGAATTAGACATCTACTAAAAAACTTGGCACATGTTTAGTCATTGAATTATTATTGTCAGGCAATACATGTACATGTACATCCTTTTTTACATCCAGGTAGGCTGGTTTCCGACCCATAATCTTTATCGATAATACATGTATACGGACCGGGAGCCAGTCTGCTCACAAAACTAATCTGTTTGTGCCCATAATGAGGGCTGCAGACTTCCAAAAAAGGCCAAAAAGGAGGTTTTGGGGTTTGTATAATACATACAAGTTGAACATTAATATAAAAAAAAGTGACTTTGTTGAAGAGCACGGGGAATGGAACTTTAATCATGGAGTAATAAAGGAGTACATGTAATTATAAAATTGCACAAATAAAATTGACTGAATCAAGATTTGAACCTGGGACCTTTGGATTAATGTAACGGAGCTCCACCAACTGAGCTATCCAATTCAGTTTAGTTGTTGGTGGTTCCCATTTTGTCAGTATCTCTGTTCAAGGGCATAGTAAAAGAAGTAATGAAATGTCTTAGACAACCTTCAATGTCCGTTTTTCTTTCGAATGATACCATTTGGGCATTTGATACCAGTTCCACCGTATCTGCACTGACGGCAAAGATTGTCTCTTTAAATATGTAGAGATGTTTATTTGTGCCGAAAATGTCAATTTGGCAAAAGGTTGCTAGCAGGATGGTTGAAGGGTCTATCACAAGTCAAATTTGACATAAATCACAAGTCAAATCACAATTCACAAGTAACAGTACATAAACAGGACAACATAACCTGTGTCTTGACTTGAGAATGGAACACTTGTGATTGGCTCGCGATTTTGAGTTGATGGATGGGTTATGAGGCCTGCACACTGGGGGGGGGGGGGGGGGGGGGGGGTGAATGATTTCCCCCCCCCCCATCTAACACAAGTCAAATTTCACAAGTCACAAGTCTTGCATATAAAAAGCGCTCGCATACAAAAAGTTCCACTTTGGGATTTAAAGACCCCCTCCCCTGTCTGGGATCAGGGAACGGGCCTGGGTATGATGGGCTCCACAATGTATTACGTGATGGACTTGTGATTGACCAGTGACAGACCTACGAGGTCTTTAACTCCAACTGTGATCTCCTGTGCCATTTGTCCTGCTCGGCAATCGCTCATTCCATTTCCTTTGGTCTTACCTTGGCAACTTTTTCTCGGTACTTCTTCTTGATGCCCTTGTTCTTGTCCTTGCCCTGATGGCAGCCCATCAGGACTTGTCCAAGATACATGAAGGGCGTGCCGTCAAACGGGATGGCTACTGTGCTGGAGGATTTCTGTGACCAACTCAGCCTCTTGAACTTCCATCCTGTAGGGCACGGGGGTGCAATTGGTACAGTCGGGGGTCAGTTTCACGGAGCAGCTAAGCACAGAAATGTCCTTAGCATTGCAAATATTTAAATATTGAATGAGGGGGATACAAAAAGGGGGATTTGAAGGTTTGCATGGTGGAAAGATACTTAGACAAGATAAGTTTGCGGTGACACCATGTTTATAAATCTCTTTTATTCACATGGTGTCACATTCACATGGTGTCACCACAAACTTATCTTGTCTTATATTGCATGAGCTTGACTTGTGCAATATTGTTATAATGAGAGCATCATATTCTTGTATCCCCGGAAAAAAGCCATCCAATATTATTATTTATATCAGGTTGATTTGATCTGATAGTAATCAATTTCAGGACACTGGTTTTATTTCTCAAATTTCGTCGAATAGTCTTCGCTTATCAAAGCTGCCATTGCGGTTGTTGTCAACAGTGCGAGTACACCCTGTTGCACACTGCATCCGCAACAATTGTGAGATTGTACACTCTTGATTGAGCGGGAAACAGCGAAATTTGTTAAAATGCCCGGCTGTGGACAATATCAAAAGTAATATCCTAATCCAGGTACTTTTACGGACATAATATTGCACTCATCCACGTACCATAGTTTCTACGAAAGCACATGATACGCCAATTTATTTTTATTACTTGAAGCCTGATACAAATACATGTACATATTTTTTGACGAATCACATATTGAAGGATCAATACATTTTAGGGTCTTCCATTTTCGAATAATTTAGTATTTGATTACTTGAACATGCGTTTTATTGCATATTTGGAATTGCTACAACTAGTGCAGGGCCCGTCAAATATGCACCTGTTTGGTAGAGGCAATTTCAAAACGCTCATATCATGCAAACAACGCACACGATTCAATTGTGTTGTTTTCACAGGTTAAACTCACACTCATAGGTTGAGCACACTTTGTACATTGTACATGTCGCCAGGCCATCCCCGGCACTGATATTCACCCATACGCCCGTGCAGCTACTCACGTACGTGAGTTCCAGAAATACTCTGAACAATAATTGCCCCACAATGCGTGTGCCCATCCTTTTTCCATTGTTGCGTCATATTAAGCACGCGCACTTTAGCTCAAACATGACGTAAACAATTGAAAAGGACTGCGTGTGTTCTAGGTATATAATCTGCCACGTTGAGGCTAAAAAGGTGCTGCTTTTTTGCAGTTTTTTTGAGAACCGCTTGTCCAAACAACTTTAAACTTTGCACTGCACATTCTGTTGTCCCGAGCAGTATGCCTGCCAAAATTCAACTTTATATGGTGCCCGGTTCTGGAGATAATCGACGGACAGACAGACAGACAGACAGACAGACAGATTCCTGGAATTACAATGTATAGTAAGGATGAACCTGCTACTGCGTGCGCACCTGTCAAAAGTTGCATGCGGCAGTTGATATGGGCTGCTGGAGTGTTTTGCAGTAAGTATTTTTTTAACCTGCTATCAGGATGGGAAAAATGAGCCACTATCGAAAAAAAAGTTACCGTTGACAAAAAAGTGGCACCCCGGCAATAAAGCATCGAACTTTACGATAAAATAACATCACAGTCACGTGTACATGTGTGTAGTCGTTTTGTTTTTGAATATTTCAAATGGCTATTCAAATAATGGGTAGATGATTGAATATTCGGTTATTTGGTACATTCGGGAAAGCACAAATATATTTGATCGATTTCAAAAGGTCAAGTCATACTTCATAGTCCATATTTTAACATAAACATTTATTCAAAACAAATCAGCCCAAAAGTCGACATAAAACAAATTATAATTTGACAGAAAAAAGAAGTCAACACTGTCATCAAGGTCATAGAATAAATTCTACATAGAAAATACTTCTCAGTGCATTTAACGTTGAAATATTTTAGTGAACATGATACTTCATACATACATGTGCAACGTACATTTCAAAGGACAAAGTTTCAAATACTTAAAAAACAAAGTGAAACAAAATAAAAACTAGCATACCGGGTACATGGCAATACAAACCTACAATTGAAACAACTGGTACACACTGTATTTTGATAAAAATTAAAATGTAGGACTAATCCAATTTCACTTACATTCCAAAAACATAACTTTGTTTGTCAAATCAACATGTACCATGTATGTTTAATGCAACTGTGAAAAGTCGGGACAAATCATACACAACAAAAGTACATTACCTGTATGTGAAACTAACCAACATTAATTGCACATGGACGACTGTTATCCTATTTTTGAACTTGGCATTATTTTTCTGGAATTTATTTACTTGTATGGCCAATACGTATACATTCTAATGACTAAACTTTTAATGCTCGATGAAGCAAATCCAATGTTGTGTGCAACTATCAGACTATGGACGAGCTGTCACCGCGTTGTGGGGAACTTTTCACTGTTAAGCCCTATTCATACTTCACGCGAAAGCGAAAGCGCAGCAAAATCTGTGACGTCAACAATACATTTGAAGCACGTCCACCATTGTTGACGACATGAATGTTGCTTCGCACATGCTTTCGCGTGAAGTATGAACCGGGCTTCGGGCAAATTGGGACCGAGTTATGGGGACTTTCTGCTGTCCCCACAGCGTCTTTGGTCCCCATAGTACCATGGGACAACTCGTGTGTAGTCCCCACAGTTACAAAACAAGTACATGTATGTGTGCTGCATTATGGGGAAGTTTTTTATTGAGGACTTTTTGCTGTCCCCACAGCGTCTTCGGTCCCCACACAGGACAACTCGTGTGTAGTCCCCACAACTATGGAACAAGTACCGGTACAAGTATGTGTGTACATATGTTCATGGGTCCAGTGCTTTACAGGGGTAAAATTCATCCCCGGTTGGGACCAGGGCCTTATTTCATGGCATTGCTACATGTAAGCACACGATTTTCTTCTAACAGAGCCTCCATCTATTTCATGGAGACTGTAAGCATAAGCACAGCAAAAGACACGCTTACTTCAGAGGAAAAATTTGCTTAACTTAGTGACGTAACAAACGAAATCTCCATGCACGCGCGACCGTTAGCACACACACGCTGTGAAATAGTACTTAGGATTAGCAAATTTTTCTGCTATGCTAAACACAACTTTTCTGCTAACTGTTAAGCAGCGCCGTGAAATTGGGACCAGGCTTGAGAGGCTCAACCGGGGTAGAAAATCAAAAACATGCACCTGATCCTTAAATACTTAATTTAAATGTGAATGGTACATGCATGCCTTGTTGACTCATGTTCAAATGGACATGGTTCTACTCACGGTGGATCCGTGCTGCTTTCAAAAATAATTTGACAAGTCCATTAGAGCATTCACTATGGACAGGGTTCCATTTGTTGAAAGGATTACTGACAAGTACATGTATAAACTGGCTTGGCATTGATCAGTGAATCTCTTCTCCATCAATCTGAATCTCGTATCGTGTCCCATCTGGCTGCACAACCCGCTCAGTGATGGACTTCACACGGAAATTTGGCAGGAGGCTCTGGATGTCTGTCAGGCCCACACCTTGCCTGTGCTCGTCTAGAACACCCCCGACGGTTGTGAAGCTGTGAGTGGCTCTAGCGCCTTGCTGACTTGCACTCTCCTGGACCTGGCTTGGGGTTCCTTTGCATGAACCACCCCTTATTGGATTCGAAGAGGGACTCGATCGAGGACTTCGGGAGGGTTCCGTGTTGGAGTTTATCCGAGTTGGATGTCTTGTTTCCATTGAGGATGTCCCGCTATTTCTTTGTCCCAAACCAGTTGGCCTGTAGATGCACGTTGGCCCTGATGACTGAGCCTGTGAATCCCACTTCTTTTCAGAACCTCCTCTGGTTGACATCGACTGTGGTGCTTTGTTCTGAACATTTTGCGCATCTCTCGGAGTTGTAGCTGTACCTCCAGACACTGTTTCATGCATTGGCTTGAGTTGAGTGCATGTTGAGGTAGTCCTCTGAGAAGAGGATACACAAGATGCTGAAGCCATTCGATTGTCTTCTCTCGGTGAGACTGTTCTATGTGATGGCAGCAGCTGACGTGACCCAGATTCATTTGCCATGTTTGCAGGCCCGGAAAACGTCACACTGCGACCCATGTCACGTCTTGGGTCCGAATTCTCTTGGCTGTTCCTGGTGGTCCTTAGATTGTGAACTTGTTGTTCCCTGCTACTGTGGCTGTGGGCAGTGCTAGAGTGTAGCATTCCAGCATTCACACTGCTAGCATGGATGCCCAGTGAGCCGCCAGACACACTGGTGATCCTTGGGAGAACGGGCATAGTTGCTGTGTGATTTGTGACGTGAACAGTCTGTGCCTCAGATCTGCTGCTCTGTGCCTGAGCTTGGCTTCTCTGTGGCTGAAACTGCCGCCCATGCAATCCAGGATGGCTGACAGCTTCCCTTGAGTTGCTCAGGCTAACTGGATACACTGCTGCATGGGAAGTATTATAATGCACTTCTCTGGCCTGGCTGCTTCCCTGCAGCGACTTTGAGGCTACTGGTGGACTCTCTGAACTGCAGGTATCCCCCATATCTGAATAGCTCACAGTGTTTTGGGAGTAGCGGGCCCGCTTGTTGACAGGTTCTCTGATATGGTCCGCTTCTTCATCGGAGTCGCCCAATGGATACTCCAATCTGGTGTCATCCAGGTATGCAGATGGGAACATGTCGACGAGGTTTGGATCAAATGGGTCAGGCATGTTTGGGTGTCTCCGCTTTCGATGCTGCCTGATATTATACATGCGGGCTGAGGAGTACTCACAGTAGCCACAGCTGAATTTCTCCTGGTGGTTGTCTTTGTTGTGCTGCCAGAGGGACTTGTAGCTCCTGTACACCACATTGCACTCCTTGCACATGAACTCCTCCGAGAGGTCTGATGGTGCAGCAGTCTGATGGTGGGGCGGAGCAAGCCTGATGCTGTCCGAGTAAGCCGATGTGGGTCCGTCTTCAACTGTGTAGTGAAAGGAAGACAACAGATTCTCAATGAGTGAGTTCATCAACGTCATCACCATCATCGTCTGTCAGCAGCATACATACACAACGGCACAAATTCCTCCTCAAGCCTCGCTTGTTGAACCTTGTCAGCTAACACATCTTGAACTACATTGTATACAGGAGTGCAAGTCACTAGACACAGGACACTGTTCAGAATATGTGTATGGATGCGTGTGCGTGTCTTGAAAGTAGATGTTACCAACATGATGCATGCTTGGGCTGAGGTAGGGAGATGTACACTTCCATCATGTACTTTGTCAAGAGCCTGGCTTCGAAATCCATCCACACATTCGATACAGTATGTACATGTACATGAAGACTTTCGACATTGGGTTTAAGTCTTCACTGATGAATATGTATGTACTGTCACTAGGGCTGTCCCGAATACTGAATATTCAATTGTCAACCAAATATTTGCGTAGCTTTTTGCTGGTTTGAAAAAAAAAAAGAACGCATGTTCTTTTTTACCATAGTTACAGCGCTATGGCTATTTGTATTATTTATACTACTAGATGCCACTTGTTTTGTCAACAGTAACTTTCTTGTAGAAGGCGGTTCATTTTCCCCATCCTTTTAGCAGTACATGTCATGCATGTAGGCCTACTTAAAACAATCTAACAGTTTATAATATCAATCAATTTTGGGAAATCAGAAAAACAAGACGACATATTCTGTGTAGGATTACACTTTAATAAAAATAATAAAGGAAGACAACTTTTACTTTTGGAAGAATGAAAGGAAAAAGATACAAATGAGTGCCGCGCCACAAATTCAATTCAGTCACGTGAGTCCAAATACCCATCCACTGAGCCACACATCCATGATGTTTGCTTGAGTTGTCGAGGTGGTGGAAAAAATGTTGCAACCTAACGCCACTTCCGCGATTGTGTACAAAGTCTATGGAGAGTCAAGAAAAATATTTCTCAGTCCCAGATTCATGTCTTACTCATTTTTGCAATGAATGACCTTCATTGAGATGATATATGATTATGAAGAAAAAAGTGGCGTCAGGTTGCAACATTTCCCCCGATATTTCAAGCTAGTGAGCTGCATACCGGTAGTTTGTGACTGTAGACTACCTAAAAAATTAGGCCTAAATTGAAATGTTAACATGGTTAAAAACTTAAAATCATGAAAGTCGAGTTTAAAAATCTGAAAAAGTAAAACGATCCTTACTAGTTTGAGTATAACCCTTTTCCTTTTTCAGCACAATGAAATGCGTCCCCGATTTCGTCTCGTAAGTTGAGATTTTCTGCTTCACTTCAGCCTCGGTGTCCAGACAGAAGACGCCAGCATCGTCTATGAAGGGGTCGTCTAGCGGGCCGTCCTCGGCCAGCTCGCCCGCGTGCTCGGTAGCATTTCCTTCCTCGTCATCGGTCTTCGCACTACCGTCTCCTTCATCACGTTCCAAGTTAAGAATTAAATCAGATTCGTCCTGCCTCCATGACTGGTCTGGTGAGACAACTTCATGGACAATTTCTTCTTCAACGCGCTGTTCAACTTGTTCTTTTTCTTGAGAAGAAACACTGACGTTAATCTCAGATTCTTCCCCATGTTCGTCCGCCATTGTTAACAAATGGCCGGATTTACCGAAATCGCGATCTGCCAGCGTTTTGAAATAGCGCCGCCAACGAACGATCTTGGGCATCTGAGCTGACCACGAGTAACCAACGACATATTTGATTGGTCAGATAGTTGATATTTTTGACACTTTACCCAATCACAAAGTACAATGCTGGTAGAGGTGATAAATAGGTGAATCCTATTGAAATTCGAATTTGCCGCAGATTATCATGGCAGATTGAAATTGCATCTGACAAGTGGAGAACGTGACACAAATGTGCAACACTGAATGGTCTTGTTTAAACACCGCCCAAGAAGAAAGTAGCTTCCTTAGACAGCCTTATGATGCGTTATTGTTTTAAGTAAGTATGAAGCCATTGATCGATTTTAATTAACTTTTTTTTCTGTTGGAAATAAAGGCATTCCTTGCTCTTCCTACCTAGGCCTACCTCCGGCATTGATGTTGTGTATGTAGTCCCGCGGCCCCGCGCCCGGCCCCGGCCCAGGCGCGGCGCCGGGCGATGGTGATCGATAAGCGGCACGGCGCGCACGGCAGTCGCAGTGCATACAGTGCCAGTGCCTCCTGGTATTAATTTGCACTATTTGCATTTTTTTTAAAGGATTTCACAGACAGGTTTGGTATCATTGGAAAGCTTACAACCTGAGGTACTACGGTGCTAAATTGATTATTAATGCTAGCCTATTGCTACAAGTCAATGCTAGTCCGAGTAACTTGGACCCAGCTTATCGCCTTTTTTAACATTCGGACATGGTCTATCATGTCTATCGCCAGACCATGTCCGAATGTTGAAAAAGGCGATACGTTGGGTCCAAGTTGCTCGGACTATTTTATTGCCAATTTTAGGGGGTAGTTTTCTGTCATCATTTTATTTTTTTAAATTTGACTCCCAATTGTTTATTAAACAATTTATACTTACGCCAAAAAAAATAATACTAGTTCTGCTTCCAGTTTCCCTACCTACCCTACCACACTACCTACCACTTTGACGCGGGAATGACATACAAGCTTTATATGGGCTAGATTGAAAATAACAAAAAAAAGCCTAAAAAAGGAGGGGGCCTCCAAAAAGGAAGCCGGCGGGGACGCTAAACACGTTTTTTTTATTATTTCGCCTTACAAGGCCAAATAAATTGTAAACAGTGACATCATTTTGGCCTCTTTGTCAGTTGCATCTAGCCCATACATAAAGCTGGTACATATGTCATTTCCTGAGTCCAATGGTGGCCATTTAAAAAAAATATGATTACATCTGGTTTAATTTGTATTTAAATGACTTTATCTTGGGAAGTAATGCATAGATTTTGCAGAATTCTGTTACTTTGTATATCCTATTGTAATGGTAGCCCCCTGTCAATTCTCATGCATCTGCCATGATCTGGTATTGGTACAGTGGCACACCCAGGGGGAGGGGGGGGGGGGGCATGTAAATTATTTTTTTTTTGGGGGGGGTAATTTTTTTTTTAGTCCCACGATTTTACCTTGGTGATGTATTTGGCCTGTTTTTGAGTAGTATAATAGGGGTGTAAGTGGTGTTACCAACGTTAAATAGGCCCCCCCCCCCCAAAAAAAAATCCCAATTTTTTTCTGCGGCAAAAAATTTTTGGTGACATTTTTTGAAAAAAAAATTGAGCCCCCCCCAACCAAATCCTGGGTGCGCCACTGAAGTGGTACACACAATCGGCCAGATTTAGCCCATTTCAAGATTTACAATCCTACAGTACTTGCACTGCCCAACTGTCTTTACCAGCACATAACCAGGCTAAGTTACAACAAGTAACGGTCAGTCAGTCGTCAGAGAGTCAGGCAGTTGTCAGAGAGTCATCACTCAGAGAGATGGGCGCAGAGAGGACATTAGGCTGATCCTTTGTGACCAGCAAACATGGTTTAGGTTTTAGAGTCTCGTTTAGCAAAACCAACACTGGTGTGTAGTACACCCATACTGGAATTTGTATCCTTGTGGAGACATTTCTTTGTTCTTGTGTAGTAAAGTTTTCGAGTTTGAAAGTGTAGTTTCAAAATGCTCTTATTTTAACCAGAATTAATTTCCTTGGCTGAAATTCGGACTTAATATCTCTTTTCTAAAACTCTTCCATATGCGACGGATCAACATACCTTGGAAATTCCTAGTTTTTTAGTAAAGTCCATATATATCTATTTCGTTATAAACTTGTGGAGACGTATTCATCTATAGAAATTGCCTGTGGAGACGTATACAATCTTTTGTTCCCTATTGTGTGCATGTCTCCAGAGGGCACTGTGTATCAGATCATATACACTGAACCTACCATACAATGTACAATGTAATTGTTTTTCTTTCGATAGGATCGTTGATGATCATTGATCAATGGTAGAATGAAATGTCCCAGATGCTGACTTTCCAAAGGTGACTGTTGCAACACAACACGACGCCTGATCCTCCAAACCAAAACGGAGGGAGGCCAACATGAGCGGCAATGCAAACCAGAGGCCTAACATTCTCAATTTGGCTGAGAGGACATCAGTGCCAACCAAGAGGGCGGTCCGGGCCCCCATGCCCAAGAAGAGGAGCAAAGGGGTACCCCTCTCAGAAAGGGTAAGAGGCCATATAGGACTACATGTACAGTGCTACAGATAGATAATCTTTCCAAATATTCAGGGTTCGAGTTTAATGTAAAAATCTACTGGACAACATGACTCGTAGCGAGAAAATATTCCAAGACCATTTTTATTGGTCACATTTACGGTTTAAATTCTAAAATTTCTTTATTGGAAAAGGTAAAAGTCACAAATTGTATTCCAACATTTCTAATGGGAAAATGGGAGTCAACACCAAACATTACAAAAACAGTTGTGAAGCATATTAGCAAAGTCAAAAACTACTGGACCTTTGGTCTACGGAAGTCATAGAAAACTAAACACTGGACCGACACTTAAATCATGGGACTTTGCCCAGTTGTCCAGTAGATTGTGCCCTGTGTACCCCCAATTTCTGCCTGGGAAGTCATGGTTAACATGTTTAGTTTTATTGTGGACTTGCCCTTCAACACCTTCAACACATGGACTGTTACATAAGGATAAGCTTATTTCTTACTTTCAGCCATATTGGGCAAAGTACATGTAATGGTTAACATGTTAAATTTTATTGTGGACTTGCCCCTCAAAGCCTTCAACACATGGACTGTTACATAATGGATATTTCTTACTTTCAGCCATGTTGGGCAAATTTTGTATGCAGATCCAGTTCAAATGAAACTTACAGATCTTTTCAAAATGGAATTATGGAGAAATGTAATCCGCAATGTAATGTACACGTATCATTTCAGTGTTTCCATACACTCAATTCCAAAGTTACAGTTCACCTGTTCATAATAGAACAGGGTCATTTATAATGTAAAAAACACACGCACAGGTAGTGAGCTGTGGTGCTGCAGCTTAGTAATAATTTACATCGTGCATCTGGATATGAGTTAAGCACAGTTCAATCTGAACCCTTGCTAAGAGTTCCTTTCTACGACCCCCTATTTTAATAAAAAAAAAAAAATAATAGGGAAATCAAATGTACTGTAATTGTTTGATACTGGAATTACACTGTGCAATTAAAAAAAAATTCAAAATATTCAAAGTCATGTCCAGTTGTAAAAAGTACCGGTTCAAGAGAAGAGTGCAATTTTTTTCCCATTCCTTTTACGTATAGCAGCTCACTATGCATACATGTGTTTTGGGTTTATCTTTATGTAAATTAAATGTGTTATTGACAAAGTGTTATTCAGCCTGATGTATTTTTTTTTGCTTTTTAAGCTGATTATAAATGTACACATTTTTGTAATTTTTGTATGTCATACATGTACTTGACATCTCTGTATTATGAATAAAAAATGGTAGTGTACACATTGAAAACAAAAGTGTCGATTTGCTTAGAAGTTGTATAATTTTGGATTGCAATATTTTGGTTTTGTCAATTGTTATTTCAGGTGACCCTTGAGCGAGTTCTTGGCCTGACAGTTCGAGACAACAGAACCTTTGCTTGTGACCCAACCACGGGCCTGGTGGTGTACCCAGCTGGGTAAGTCCATCACATTTTCCTTGCATGGAACAGACACAACTTGACACTTTCTGAAAACTTATTGTTAAAAAAAAAATCATAATTGAAATGCTTGGTTCAATTGTTGTAGTCAAAAACGCTTTTTGCATGGTTAGTAGGTTATATGCTAAATTTAGAAATGTGTTCTTTATTGCCATGATTATACACAAAGTTGTGTACCAATGCTGCCTGCAGAACTACATCTTCACGTATTTATTTATAGTGCCTCTACTGTAAACATATAAAGCCACTACAGATGGTCAAGCTCTTCAAAATGCACTGCCATTAAAGTTTGTTTTTAATTGCAGTTGCAGGTATTAATACTGTACATGTAAAGTGTATGTGTACATGTACATACCGGTACTTACATGCATTTCATTTGAAGCCATGTAGGATCATTTACAATTACCCGGAAATATTCATGTACCTACCAATTTAATGACAGAAATCTTACTCAAAGTGAAGATAGGACTGGTATCAAATACCCTGTGAAACAGTTCTGCTTGAAATGGTATTTTCTGGAAGAAAACAAACATTGAAGGTGGTTTCATAACAGGGTACGTGCCTGCGGGTACATTTTTGAAGAGCGTTAGCAACAGAATCCAGTTTTGAGATCCAAACAACGTTTTCTTTCTCAGAATGCATCGTCATCATTGTTTAGTATCCACTGAGCTGAAAGTTCATTAGGTTAGTTGTTATCCTCCTGCCATGCTTTTTACACAGGCTAGTCACCAACAGTCAGATCACATTTCAAGCAAGCACTGTGACTAGTCAGATTCAGTCAACAGACAAAAGCAGGCAAGAAGTAGGCACAGCTGGCTTATCAATCAGCTGGAGTCAAACTATCAAAGCATATATATGCCGTACATGTAGCTGTATCATGTACGGTATCAAGCCTATAAGATTAGAAGATGATTAAACGGTCATAGCCACAGTCAGTCCTGCCTTATGTAGGCTGGGAGCTCTTTAACAGTCACTTGATTGATTTTGACTGAAAGGACAACTTTGCACAGAATGTATGTTTGCAGCATTAATAATATCAGCTGGATAAGCGTACACACATTACAAATCCTTTATGTTACCATGGTTACCTCATTAAGAGTCTTCACTTACAAGCGGTATCGTCGCATTTCAAAGAATGCTGAAGACAGGGCTAGACTACAAATGTACATTTATTTGTTCTCAATTGCATTTTGCCAGGGCCATGAAGCAAGAACACTTTGTTATTCTGCCTTTTTGTTTGGTGGACATTTTTTTATAAACACCAAAACATAACCCCAGGTAGGATCTGTGATTTATTCCCAGGCATGATATTTTCATCAAGAGTATTATGACTTAAAGGCACACACGAACGGTTATCCAATTATTTTAAAGCAGTTGTGTTTTGTTGATCCGTCGCAAGTGACCCAAATCCCAGCTTGGGCAAAGGAAATCAGGACAATACAGACAGAATGCTGTGAGTTCTCAATTCCCCAGCATGCAGATAGAGGAAATCTGAGGCTTGGACAATAAAGGAATCGCCCCATGGCTTTCCAGCTTCCTATGGGCGTACATGTTTTTAAGGAAATTGGTTATTTGAATTGGAAATTTATGGGAGTAGTTAAAATACTTAGCTGCAATGTGGAGTGTGATAAATGTAGCAGGCTTCAGTGTTGCCATGGTTTCTGTGCAGCACTTGGTATATATATAAAATTAAGGAAAGATGGTTAGGAAGAACCAGGATATTTGTATCATTTTCTGAGTAACAATAGGAGAAATAAAAATTAATGGCAAATGTACATGTATGTAAACAGTAAGTCAGTTGTATTTAATCAGTTTGTGTAATTTTTTTTCACAACATTAATCGAAAAGTAGCCTACCGGACAGATGTACCGGTATGTGTGTAGTAAAGATACAATGTAGGCCTACATCATGTACACTATACATCACATACATTTTCTATCACCATACTTAACATGCAGGGATAATTTAAGGAAATCGGATAATAAAGCCTAGAGCTTCTACCAAAAACCCCCATAATCTACATGTACCTTAACATATGAACAATTTAATAAGTTAACCCACAGTGGGGAAATTAAAACAAAATCTAGAAATTTAACTAATTTAAGCGGTCATACAGTTTGTATATATTGTATTGTCTCACAGTATAGGTTGCATTTGCTACAAATCCTGACAATTTTTTTTTTTAAATTTAATTCACATACATGTGTAAAAATACTTTAATTAATTCGCATGAGGCACTCTGGTACATGAAATCTATTCACACAAAATGATAGTTTTATAGGATAACCGGTGCAACTGCTTGCAGATCACCGGGGAGTCTAATTTGTTGCTGGCTGGATACTGTCAGGCCATGCTGCCCAGACGCACCATCTGTCGGCCACGTGAATCTGCCTCGCACCGCGTGAAATTGTTGCACTGCAGACGGCAAGGAAACACTAAAGCCGCGTTCGGACTGGACTAAGTGTCAGGCTCGGCCGTTCGCACATCCTTTGTGCTCATATTCTTGTATAAATTATGCTCATTTCTCCGCGGCTTTTTGGGGCCTCCACGCATCAATTATGTATTATGAGATTAATAAATGTGGGCACAATATCTGTTGGGTTTTTAATTCATATTGTTGGCAAGTTAAGATAGCCAAATCAATTAACTGTCTGAACACAAAATTGATTTCATTTTGATCAAGGCCGTTATGTTGTGCAACATTTTTCTAGTGCCGTATGTTCATTTATTATGTTTCGCAACATTTTCTAGTGCCGTATGTTCATTTATTCAAACGTGATCAGAAATTATTATGCACAGTTTCAACAGATGTGTTATGTGTTTCTTGTTTGTGAAATTTCTGTTTATACCAACAAAGCATTACAAGCTTTATTATAATAATAAAGCTTGAAGCCATGTAATAATTTATTACATGGCTTCAACGTGTAATTGATCTCATTGGGATCTAGTAGTGATTACTGGCTGTTGCTTGTAGCCATGATAAAATTAACTATGTAGATGCAGTCCAACATACGTACATTGTAATGTGTGAGCGGTCACTTGGTATGGGCAATTCCTCTGTACCTTACGTTAGATTTTGGAGCGGGTATTCTATCAACTAAGTTGTTATTCTATAAAGTCATGCATCGAGGGTGAATTCTTCTTACAGAAGATCTTAAGATCATAAGAAATTATGTGACTTAACTCCAACAAACAGGGCCAACGAAATGAAGTTCTATTGGTTTGGCAATAAGGTTTTTTTTAATCGGTAACTCACGTTACAGAAAAAGGACATGGAAAAAACTTAAATTCCTTACATTTGAAAGTTTTCCTCACACAGTGCATCGATGGGTTTTTTTTTAGTGCCCTTACATCATTAGGGTAGTTTGTCATTATTCTACTGGTCATGTTAATTATTAAGAAATAATCAATCATAAAATCTGTAGCGGTTTATATTTTGTTAACTCACATTATGATAACTCACGTTACAGATTGCCAGCCAATCTTTGGTACAAGGTTAAACATTTAAGAAACCAATAATAACAAAAACACTCTTCTTTTGGCATAGAATATGAAGGTTTTTTTTCTTAGAAAAATCACAATAACCGCTTGCATTTTGCATGTAAAACAAGGTGCCAAAATGACTACTATGTATTTCAGCCAAAATACCAGTTTACAAAAAAAAGACACTTACATGAACATGTACATTTCCATCTCACTGCCACATCAAGCAAATGAAATATCTTGTCCCATTTTATTTGATACCAATATTGGGGTTAAGCTGCCTGTAATTTTGAAGATTTCATAAACTTTTCCATTTTTTAGCCATGTCTACATTCTCATGGAATTGCCCATATAAATTATACATTACAATGTCTGTCGCTATTAAGTGACTGTCATTTTGTGTGATATTTTATAGTGATCGTCCATTTGGCTCAGTTCTCATTGATGTGATGTTCACACACAAAGTACAAACTTCCTCATGACTCATTGATGAGCCACTTTTTGTGAGAACTTCTATTGTCAATGACATGGTTTGGTCAAAAACAAAACAGGAAACACCATCAGCAAATACTTTGAATTGTTGCTAAGATCATCAGTTTGGTGGTTTTTATCTTTTTTATTTAACTTGGTGCTTAAGAGATCAGAACTTAATGAAACAATATCATAATTTACTTAAAAGATCTAATTACTCGGTAGCAAGTATCAGGATTGGATTTCTGTCACATTACATCACAAGAATTATTCCAATGGAAAAATGCATGCCATGATCCATCTTGAATTGATTACACTGCATAATAAACTGTGCATTGACGCACTGTTTATTGTCAGAATGTTTTTGTTTACTCATTAACTACCAAACTCAGTTGACGTGTGCATAAGTGTTGGAGGCCATAGCTTGGTTGCCTGGCTGTAGGCTGGCTGCCTCCCCGTAGCTTGGCTGCCTGGCCATAGCTTGGTTGCCTGGCCGTAGGCTGGCTGCCTGGCCGTAGCTTGGCTGCCTGGCCATAGCTTGGTTGCCTGGCCGTAGGCTGGCTGCCTCCCCGTAGCCTGGCTGCCTGGCCATAGCTTGGTTGCCTGGCCGTAGGCTGGCCATATTGGGTAATTGTTATGACATTGTCACAGGCACCTCATCCTCCCACTTCTTCCAGTTGACACATACCCTGGGAGACAGGGTGAGCTAGAGATAGAATGCTGTCCCTACTAAGGCCAAGAACAAAATACATTGCGTTTCCTATTACATTGGAAAAAAGGTGGGCGGGAGGGGTTTTTTTTTTGGTTCTTAATTCAGTTTTTTTTTTTTTTTACTAATTTTTTTATAGCCAAAAAAACATATGGTGGAATGATGGTCAAGTTTTTTTCAACTTTTTGCATACTACATGTATGTTCTAGTTAAGAGATAACGGTGCAGCAAGACTGTACTGGTGACTACTTACAGCAAATGAAATAAAACTTAAGTTTTCATTAACCCTAACCCTTTGGGTATTTTTACTAGAAAG